CTTGCGCAGCTCCTCCAGCTTGGCGCTGTACTTGGGCACACCGAACATTCCGGGAAGAGATGTAGCGAAGCTAATCTGGATTGCTCCACTCGAGGGATTGCTGGGGTTGTAGAGACCGGCACGCTTCCAATAGTCCAGCGCGAGCCACATGACCTTCTGGGGAGCGCCTGCGCACTTAATCACGCCAGCCGGCTGGGTGAAAATGGCKGTACCTTTCTGCAGTTGTTCGATGGTGTTGTAGGCCTTGTCGCAGGTGTTATAGCCGTATATGGACGAAACGAGCGAGTTCGAATCTGCGAGAGCCTCAGGCAAACCCTTGATGCTGTTGAAGTCGACCTTGATACCGGGGACAACGACCAAGTGCTCATAGTTGACCTTGTCGCCATTGGCGAGGGTGATGAAGTTGTTTTCGGGAGAAAATGTGTGCACACTGTCGTTGTAGAACCTGAGCTTGGGATCCAGCAGGCCATTGAGGGGTTGTCGCAGATCCTCCTTGTTCTTGAGACCACCACCAACCAGAGTCCATCCGGGCTGATAATGATGCCAGATAGCGGGATCGACCACCGCAATGTCGTCTTGAGAGAACTTTCCGGTGCGGAGCAACTGATGACTGACGGTGAGACCAGCGCTACCACCACCAACCACGACTACCCTGTGATTGCGCGCAGTGCTCACTGCAGCTGTTGCAAAACCCCGCGTTACCGTTGAGGCATTCTGTGCGGCAAGTACTGAGCGAGAAGCAGCAGCAGAAGCTGCCACTGTTACGCGACTGCGAAACACGACTGACATGATAAGAAAATAAGTGATGTAACAAAACTGGAGGGGGGTGAACAAAAGGAAAGCAGGAGTTAGACTGGACACCACGACGATACAAAAATACAACGATAAAAAGGGCCCCCGGATGTCGCAATCAGGAGCGATTATTAATGGTGCGATAAGGAACTTAGATAAGACAAGTGGGCCCACCCAGACTCCATCGGCGACCACGTTATGCTTCCCCCTATATTATGTCAGCTGCATAAAGAGTGAGGTCATAACGGACGGATGCATCAAAAGTCAGTCGCCGACTGAGCTATCACGTGACTGGATCGGCGAGTGGATGCAGATCCCCGATGCATTGTTCCATAGAGACCGAGAGAAGTATAAACAGCTTCGAATTTGCATGTATCTTTCGATTCTGCCATGCAGCACACACACATTTGGACATGACATCCATTCAACCTCAAATCTGCAAAAGTTGGCTAGCAACAGCGGGTCTGTTGTGGGCTCCTTCCACTGCAGTCCGAGTGCCCCTGCGTCCTCTCCATTATCAAGCTGCAAAGAAGTCGGCTTGCACCATGGGAAAAGGACCTGTAAGATCGTTATCAGTTTCTGCAAGTCCATCGTCACAATACCGTTCTCAGAATACACGCACCTCTCCTCACAGACGTTCCCTGAATGGGACCGTCGTTCGAGCGACATACAGCACTGCGACCATGGAACCAGGAGAACCAACAATTCACAATGTGTTTGAAAGCAAGACAGGCACCTGGCAATATGTGGTCGCTGATCCAACTACATCCGCAGCCGTAATCATCGATCCGGTCCTGGACTATGACCCCGCCACCCAGATCATCACCACGGACTCGGCTGACGCGCTACTGTCCTTGGTCAAGGAGAAGGGATACAAAGTCGACAGAATCCTTGAGACCCATGCACATGCAGATCATCTCACCGCAGCGTCCTATCTGCAGAAGCGTTTGGCCGAGGAGCAAGGCCACCCGCCGCCCATCGGGATCGGCAAGCGCATTGGACAGGTGCAGAAGTTGTTTGGTCAAAGATACGGCATTCCTGCGCAGGAATATGAAGGCGTCTTTGACAAACTATTCGATGACGATGAGACATTTAATATCGGCAATTTGACTGCCAAGGCCATTCATCTTCCGGGACACACGCCAGACCATTTGGGATACCGCATTGGAGGTAAGATGCCGACTCGCGCCCATTGACTTTTCACCTTGGCTAATTTAACCTGCTAGACAATATTTTCTGCGGCGACCTAATATTCCATTCGGATATTGGCACCGCGCGCTGTGATTTCCCCGGCGGCAGTGCCACCAACCTCTATCACTCAGGGCGGAAGGTCTTGGGCTTGCCAGATCACGTCAGGATCTGGACGGGCCACGATTATCCTCCCGAGGGGCGCAAGGAACCTGTCCCCTCGCTGAGCGTCCAGGATCATAGGCAGCAAAATAAACACCTCAAAGAAGGCGTCACCGAAGAGGAGTTTGTAGCGCTGCGGAAGGAACGTGATTCGAACCTGGCTGAGCCGAGGCTGCTTCACCAGTCACTGCAGATGAACATTCGGGCAGGACGATTGCCGAAGCCTACAGAGTCAGGGCAGCGATTGCTCCATGTTCCGTTAAAATTGAAGGGGTTGACATGGTAGTGCTGGTACAGTCAGACATCGATAGTTTGTACATACTCCTTACACCACAAAGTAATTGTAGTAAACTATTCTCATCTGGGTAACCTCGGTAGAGCATCCAAGCAGATCCTAGCACCCAGGCCCGTGCTTTTCATCATATGTCGATATGCCTTAAGGTGGATGAGGGCATGCGCTGTGATAGTCAGCAATCTAAAAATCATTGTCCTTTATCCTCTGTGGCCAGGACGGATGCCCGATTGGGTTAGGGCTAAGCTTGCTTACTTTTAGCTTCCTACTGCATCTAATCTTATCTGATCCTGACATGACCGGGTCATATGAGGGGATAGAGTTGTAGACATTCGTAGACTGTAGCATATAAAGACGCAGGCATACCTGGCTGTCCTTTCATACGCATGCACGCACTGATGTTCATTTGACAGCCTCATCCTCGAATCCAGCCCATATCAGCTGCGGGCCGAGGTTTTCCCGGGAGGGCTGGTGGTGTCTCTCACGCGCCAGAGCAGTTCGACTCTTCCCTCACTTCCATTCACTGTCTAAAAACCAAACAATCGATGTTTTCTTCGTCACTGCCTGTATCATCTCTCCTGGTTCTGCAAAGTCCACGGAAAGAAAATCTGTACATTTCTGCCAGTCCTCCTAACTTGCGACCGCAAAATGCAACTTCCCTTGCGGCAACCACGTACCAAGGGCCATGCTGGTATTCTGCATCCCTATGTTAGTAAGAGGGACTGCTCCATCCGACAAGCTTTTGTTCTTTACACTAACAATACATCCAATTGCACAGTGTGAAGGATTGGTCGCTTTCGAGTATACTGATGGCCTCGTTCGGAAACCAAACACCCTCGTGTTCATCGGCGGCCTAGGAGACGGACTCGGCACTGTCGAATACCTGACCGACCTTATTACGGCGCTGGAATATACAACCTGGTCCGTCTTCTCGCCTATCCTCTCTTCTTCTTATAGCGGCTGGGGAGTGGGCCATTTGGGCAAGGACATCGATCAGATTGCGCGCTGCATGCAGTATGTTCGAGATTACAAGCAGGGGTTATTCGGCGCAGGGAGAATTGTGATCATGGGTCATTCGACGGGCAGTCAAGACGTGATGCATTATTTGAGTTGTGCGAATCCGCGACTGCGACATCCTGTGCTGGACAAGGATGCGGCAGTAGAACCTTTCACGCGGCCTCCTGTTGACGGAGCCATCATGCAAGCGCCTGTCTCGGACCGAGAAGCGATTAGTTGGGTCATCCGAGACGGAACGGACAGGGACGGCCCGGAAAGAATGCGCGATATTTACCAGAGAACTATTGCGCGCGCCAGATCTACCCCTTATGAAGACGACAACACCCTCGATACCATCCTCCCACTGTCGGTAACCACCCGTATCGGGTATCCAAGCTCAACGCCGGTGAGCAGTCGACGGTTTCTGAGCCTGGCTAGTCCAGACAGTCCGGAAAAACCAGAAGAAGATGATATGTTTAGCTCCGACCTCAGCGATGGCCAGATACAGGCGACCTTTGGCCAGCTCCGCTCTCGGGGACTGCTGGGGTCAAAACTGCTGGTCTTATATTCCGGAAGAGATCAGTCAGTGCCGCCGTGGGTTGACAAGGAGCTTCTATTGAAGCGATGGTCCTTGGCAGCTGGCGATTGCTGGGACGGCAACAGTACGATCATCCCAAACGCCTCGCATGCGCTGAGCGATGATGATCAGGCCGAGCCAAGGAGGATACTAGTGGACCGCGTCATGTTCTACTTGGAAGATGTAGAGAAACACCCGACAATTGTGGGTTGAGTTGGAACACCGAAAGCAATTTCGAGGTGAAATGGGCGAGACCCTGTCGATGTAATGCTGTCTACAGTGGTTGGGATTCTCCCATGTGCGAACGGCCTATTGCAAGCAGATGTGATCGATCAGCCAACTGCCTTGCCCGGGCCGGGGACATCCTTCTGTGGTGAAATGCTGCTCGAGGATGTCATCATCGCCTGAGCCGGTGAAACGGACCGAGACCTGCGAGAAGTACAAGCCTAGCGGTATGTTTTTCTTGTCCCCATGACAACGTGGACTTGTTCGATTGAGACTGATTGATGCCCAGAGCACGGCGGCAGGCGCGAAGATGGCCCGACCAGCGCTGTTACAAGGAGTGACATATGTAATGCACTTCTCCTATAGCTTGGCCTTTAGTGTAAGTCATTCCTAGTCATACAATTGTAGGTAAATTAGATAGATACTTGGAATGAGGATATCCACATAGAACATACATGTCTAAGCGCAAAATTCTCTAACAATCCTGGATGCAGCCGAATTGACTGCCATCGTGGTATACGACTTCCGCTGCTATCAAGAAAATCACGAAGAAACAGGGCCCAATTACTAGATTACACTTGAGCACATGATGATGGAAGGTAAGTTTTCTGAATTCTCGAATAATACACCAAATCTGTTCCACAATTTATCGAACATGTACCAGTCCCCTCAGAGCATATTACATATAGACTAGGATCGAAAGACGATTGCTTGACCAGAGGCTCCAGGGTAGATCCCCTACCGTCTCCCCAGAAGGTTGTTGAGGCTTTAAGCAGTAGGCTGGGCGGCAGGAGCGCCAGATGGAGCAGCACCGGTGGGAGACTGGCCCTGACCCTGACCACCGAATCCGGCAGCCCCGGAGGGGACAGCACCCGAAGGAACAGCGCCAGTTGGAGAGGGACCGGAGCCCTCACCACCCTGTCCAAAGCCACCGAAACCTCCGGCAGCGCCAGAGGGAGCGGCACCAGAAGGAGCAGCGCCGGAAGGAACAGCACCGGAAGGAGAGGCGCCAGAACCCTTGCCATGACCGGGGTGGCCACCGTGATGGCCGCTTGCCGATCCGGAATGGGAAGCACCAGAAGGCGAGGTGCCAGAGGACTCGAACTTGGCGTTCCCAGAGTTCTGAGATTCTTGTCCGAAGCCGCCAAAGCCTCCGACAGCGCCGGAAGGAGCAGCACCGGAAGGAGCGGCTCCGGAGGGAATGGCGCCGGTAGGGGACGGGCCAGAGCCTTCCTCGCCGTGACCGCCGTGGCCACCATGACCGAAACCACCAAAGCCACCGGCAGAGCCCGAGGGAGCAGCCCCGGTGGGCATGGCTCCAGACGGAATAGCACCAGAAGGAGCGGCCCCTGAGCCCTCAAAGTCCTCGGGAGAGCGGGCATGAACACCTTGGCCGCCGAAGGAGCTGCTGTCTCCCTCACCCTGGGGAGAGCCGGAGGGAGCGGGACCATTACCGAAGGAAGGGAAGCCCGAGGGGGCAGCACCAGTGGGAACAGCGCCGGATGGCACGGCACCGGTGGGGAAGGAGCCGCCTTTCTGGCCTTCACCACCGAATCCTCCGGGGAAACCGGACGGCATGCCAGATGGGATACCGGAGGGGAAGCCAGTGAGGAATCCGCCAGGAGCGCCATGTCCGGTAGGAGTGGGCTTCACATCGGAACCTTTGTCGGCGTGCTGAATGGGGGCGGCCAAGGTAGAACCGAGAAGGCTGAGAAGGAAGGCAGCAGTCTGAGGCTTCATTGTGACGTTGGCGAAACGAACGGTTTTGGTGAAGTAGAAGATTTTTTGGATTTGAAGTTGAAGGATTGAAGTTGGCAACCAGGCCTTGAAGGTTAAAGAGTGTGGATTCTGAAAGGAATGGAAAGTTGGGTTGTCAGATTCTTCAGTCACCGGGACTATGGGTAGGAAAAGGCATTCTGGGAGCGGGCCTTGACTGCATTTAAATAGGCATGCTGGTCGACTCCCTGCGTTGACTGGGGGTTTCCGAACTGGGCTAACTGGGAGGACGCTACATGTCCATACTGAGCCAGGTTGAGCTGGATGACCCTTCTGTGTCTCAATCTCCTCCGCGAGCTTCAGGACTGCAGCCACCGATGCCGGTACACGTCAGCTTCAGAGGGATCGTCAGGTGGAGACTAGATACATCGTAAATATTCGAAACGAAGAGAAAGAAGGATGCACACTTGCTTCGATCCTGCAGAATTCCACCTTACACAGGCTGGACACGATGAATCCGCATCTAGGCCCAGGGATCGTCCTGCCAGCGTTGGTGCCCGCTAGTATCAAGCTGGTAATGTGAACGCTGACGAGTACAGGGGACAGCTGATACTGGCTAGTGATACATTGGGCGGGACGGCTGGAGGCAAATGAAACAAGAAGCAAGCCACCTGCTTCTGATTGACAACCAACGCCAAGCAAAGCCAATACGAATTTGGCAGCGTCACTGACTCGGGCTGGGCGCGAGTGCTTCACATTGGACTTAAAGCCATTCGAGACGAGTCATTTGTCCAGCTGTATAGTGACTAGTGAGCGGTACGCGTCATCTTGGTCTGTGCTTTAGGTCGAACCTGTTTGAGATAAGGTTGCTGAGTTACTAGCAGCATAACCCTATGCCACAGAACCTTGCTTGCTGGTGGATCCATGGCGGTTAATTCGGGGAAATGCATCGTCTCTGTCCCCTGATTGTTGAATCGGAAATGAAGCAGCCGGGGGTGCTATTTTTCTGTAGTAACGACTCTTGCTTAGAGGCCCCTGATAGAACCAATAGGGTCAAAGTCCGTATACTGTGGAGCATGCAATACCTTATGTGGATTAAAGTGAGACAAGATGAAGCACTGACGCAGCCATGCAAAGAGCTTGATAGGAGAGTGGAGTGTGGATCCGCTTGGAAATAGTTGCCTATGTTCAGCCGTCTGTCCGTCAGTCCCCATGGCGAGACCATGAGAAACTGCTGGGGAATGGGCTTTCGGATTGGTCTGATAGGTATCGCCGTCCTAAATATAGGATAATCTGTGGTTGCTGCAGCTATCTTTGGAAGCATCACTCCTATCGATGCTATTACACGACTTGGAGATATGGGTGTCTACAGCTAGGATATCATGAAACAGCGGTAAAGATGCTGCGTTTAGCCTGTAATTCCGAAGAGACAATGTGGCGAGAACATGCTCACTTAGCGAGTTTCAAGTGAACCACAATTCTACAAAGTCTCATGTATGTTCTGCCATCAGACATCAAGAATAGTAATCTTGCGCTGTCACGGGAGTGGTCGTGTGAGAGGGCCGTGCCATGCCTTGGGGAAAAGACGATGACTGGTGGAAGGGGCAAGATGATCTTCATGCATCATGGACGTTTGAACAGAGGATAGCATACTCCTTTGAAGGCTGAGGAGGGCTACAACATATCACAGTACATTGTGACTCCGATAGCCCCGATTTCAACTCTTCAATGAGAATGAACTGGAGTGCAGTCTAGCCTATCGATTAGATGCAACAAGCTCTGACCGTCGTTATTTAGATAAAAGATATTCGCCCCTGATGCTAGAACGCGAAGTCTCGCAAGAGCCAGCATGGAGTGGAGTGACGGACTTCAGTGCATAGTCGGGGTTGATGAGTATGTCCACCCAGGCTAGACAAGCCGGATTGTCTGTCCTCATGAAATCGGTGAATGCCTCCCGGATCTCGCCTGTTTATCTTGGACAGGCAGCGGACATGGGCATGCCAGTTGCCGAGAGCATACTCCGGAAAAGGATTTGGTCGAGGTAGAGAGCCCGGACGTGATTGTCGTCGTCGAAGGCCCGGGCAGTCTGTTTCCGACCATGATACGAAGCGAGGCAGCCAGAAAGAAGATATTTGTGACAGACCACGGCCAAGAGACAGTTGGTTTCTACCGGCTCAATGACCGGAACGGCATCACTCGGGATTAGCTATAATGAAGCAGCGTACTCGCGCCATATGGCTTGGTTGACCGGAAACGTAGCAACATTTTGCAGGGATTATTGCAAACGGGGTAGAAGTGTGGCTGTATTATTATTATGAGAGGCAAACCTTGTGCAGAGTTATTTCCCTGGCTATCTGCCATGGCTGAAGTTGCTGTACTTGTGTCTCAAGTAACAGGCCTGGTAGACCTTGAGTTGACAACATTTCTCTAGTAATTATGCCAAGCGTACAAGGATACGTGTCTTTGAATACGACTGATAAGTTGACTCACCGGTTCCGTCTGCAAGACCAAAGACTGGCGTAGTGGCCATCGACACCAATGATTCTTCTTACAACCTGGGTGGTCTATAACTGCAAGGTTGTCGAATTGTATCGAGACTGCTCTGCAATCAGAAATTGACTTTTATCATTTCCCCGCTGTAATTGAGTCTATCTCGGCCTGGAATATCCGGAATGCAACCCTGTCTGGACTCCAGCCCCATGGATACGCTGACCATGGACCGCGTTTAAGGTTATCTCTGTGGTTGTCACATGGACCATGAGTTGCAACGGCCTCTTACAGCTTAGACTTGGCTTTGATTAATCATGATCCATGGTTCCCTAGTACAATTCTTGCCTATAAATGTTCGTTGGGTATCTTCCTGATCCGGCCACCAGAGCTCAAGATAACCATCCCAAGTCTCTTTACGTCCAGTATCTGTAGAGCAGCAGTTTCGCATAATGATGCAGTTGTCTAGCTATCCAGACCTTGCTATCACCCTCAATCGCAACATACTAGACACAGTATGAGAACCAAACAAGCTGCGTAATTCACAAAGCTCATCCACATTCCACATTCCACATCACGTCCAGCTCATCGTCCCGCAACAAGGGTAAAAAGTCGCTTGATAGCATCGTCGAATAGAGCTAGCTAGGAGTGAGCATAACCTTCACTTTCGAACTCACTTGAAGGGATTCTCACCTAATCGCCTGCTTCGTAGTGTAGCACAGAGACTGGTATGAAGCCTAAGCGCTCGCATATGATGCAGATTGTATATGAACTGACAATATAGACTGCAAGGGTGCGTGGTAGAAGATAGAGGATAGCGAATAGGCCTAGTACAGCTTCCATTATTATCATGCTCACGGAGTATTCGTTTTGCGGAACGACTGCAACACAAGGGGCCTGCCAAGTGTGCGAGGAGAATGTCCGGCATAATTTTATAAATGTAGTGGGAAGTCCGACAAAATCAGCACGGCTTGCTCTGTAGTCATTTGCTATCTCTCAGTCATGGACACTTTGTTTAGGTACGCGTCATGCTTGACGTTTTCAATGCTAACCCGTCAGATTAATCCTTGAGCAGCCTCAGAAGCCACGGTGATGTTACATTGAGGGTGGGTGCGCGCGGTCAGAGAGGGTTTCCTTGAGGTCAAAGCACTCTATAGAGGAGAAACGGTAAGGATGGGAAGATGCCATGGACTGTCAAGCTGAGTTTATTCGGATTGCGCGTCACTGATCCCTGGTACGGAGTACTGTCTGGCATTTCCTGTCAGTAGAAGTATCACTAATGCGAGTGTCTATCCTATTACAGCACACTCGCTGTTCTTCCACAGAATTTTGGACAGAACCCATCTGGAACACCTGGAGCAGTGGCACCTATCAGTGGCAGACCAGCGTTTCCGTAGGAGGATTGTGTTGGTCAAAACACCCTCCAGTACTACATTACTCTCCTATATGAGCACAGGAGGTATAGAGGAATTCCAACGGTTAGATGGCATGCCACTCACTGTCCCTTACATAGTCCGGCCACGATTCTAGGCCATGTTGCTGGAACATGATATTATCTCCCACCAGTTACTTCCTTGTTTGTCAAACAAGCGCCATTTTTAAAAGGTCAATGGACTTCTTCAGCTTGCATAGTTTCATTGCTTATCAAAGAGACAATCCTACATGGGCCTTTCTAGAAACAAGACTTGATCTCTGGTGTTACTCCGACGTTCGCCATCTGGGTGAGACTGATGTGACGTTTGAGGATCAAGCATAATCAAGCTCATGGGCCCACTCAAAATCGTACAGCAGGACCGTTAGAAACTTTATTGACAGGAAGAAAATTAAGCTACATCAACATGAATGAAGGAAGCGGCATTTCTGACGGTCCCATTCCATGGAAGGCGAACATTTTTCGTTTCCACGGCACATTCCAGGATAACCTCCTTGATCCAGACCAAAGCCGGTTCAGCCACCATCCATGACACCTGTCATATCCGCAACCAGCAGCTGATCTTAAATCCCAACTTATAGACGTCAGAGGTCTTTTGGAGTGAGCAGCCAGCAACCGAACGGGACTTGTAGTCGACTCTGCCAGTATACGGATCGTAAAACTTTAACCTAGCTAGAGGCACAACGTCTCAGAAGAATAGAACCAAGTGTAAGCGTAGTTAGGCCTCCAGTGTCCAGTATGCAGTCATCAGTGAGATGAGAAACACGCCCGCAGAAGCATAAGACTAGTACTGAAATGAGAGTTAAGATATACATCTACTTACTGCGCGCCGTTCGCCAGTCAGACAACACTAACCCACATAACAATGTCTCGTACAGTGGAGTTGGGGACGCAACTCACTGCTCTGGCTGGCTGCCCTCCAGAGCAATATTGCCTGCTGTCAGACGCAAATCGGTCGCTTCGATTGTCTGTCCAATATAGCAAGCTTCGGAGAAACCCAGGGGGTAACTGGCGTGGAGAGACCAGGACCGACGACATTGCAACAACAGCAGAGCATATCCTCACGCACCAGGCTCTCGGTATCAACCTGGATACAGACCGAGATGCATTTATTTCATGGCTCTATTCTGTCCAAAACTCGGACGGTTCATGGGGCATCAACCCAGGGGACCATGACAACCTTTCAGTCACGGTGGAGGTCTATCTCGCATTGAGAATCTTGGGCGTCTCGCGGAAAGATCCTCACATGCGTAAATCTCAATCGTTCATCCTTGCAGCGGGGGGAATAGGAAAAGTCTGCTTTATTACCCGCATTCATCTTGCAATGTTTGGCTTATATCCCTGGAATGCTGTGCAAAGTCTTCTTCCCGAGTTGATATTCCTGCCCCAACGTATTCTAAGCAGTATATGTTGCTGGCCAGCTATGAATCGGACAGCATTGATCCCTCTCCATATTCTCTGCCATCATCGCCCAATCTTCCCATTACCCAGTCAGGAATGCCCAGCCAGGGCGTTCCTGAATGAATTGCGGTGCAAACCACAAGAATCGCAAGAGAAAGCCTTTTGCGATGCTTTGCCAACCCGCACTTGCAGGGACATTGCAATAGCCTCGACCTCCACAGACTTGATTGTGCATTTTCTGAACTCGCTAAAATACGTATTTCCCCTCCGACGCTATGCTCTCGATGGAAGCGTTGGGTTCGTCCTTGAGACAGTGCGGGAAATCGTAGGTACAGGGCATCGGTCGCAGCCGTTGCACATGGCGATGCTTGCATTAAAACTGGAGGGTTACTCGGTCCACTCGCATCCTCTACGCACAAGTCTGGACTATCTCGGACACTTTGTATATGAGGATGAGAATGGGAAGAGGGTGCTGAGTGGGAGTACAACCTTCCGCGACAGCAGCCTGATGATTACGGGCCTCGGAGACGCTGGCATCGCAGACGATACTCCGTGGTTCAGGAAGTCATTGCAATGGCTGCAGCATTGTTTACTTCCAGCGGGTAATAACAACACATCGAGGACGTTCGACACTCGCATTTTTCGTGTGGACAATGTGGCAGCAGCGATTTATGCAGTCATTCGACAGGACCCTCTGATGGTCCGCTCCGCCTTTGTCTCCAACGCTCTGAGATGGCTTCTGAAGCGACAGAATGCAGATGGCGGATGGACTTCTATATGCTGCAGTGACTATCGCACCTCACCAGATACACTTGCGCGTCAGTCGATGCCAGACGTGACAGGTCACGTCCTCGAAGCCTTCGGCTTGGTTCTAACGCTGAGTCGACGGAACGAGAAACTGGCTAGGCAAGGGATATTGATCGATCATGTCGCGTCTGCTTGTCAAAGGGCAATACACTATCTATCCTTGATCCAGCAACCCTGCGGGGCCTGGTTTGGGTGCTGCATCAGACACCACATTTACGCGACAGCTGCTGTTCTGCGCGCCTTGGCCTATTTCATCGGGGTCAAAGACCGCAACAGGTGGGCTGAGCGAGATGACAGTATCAACGACGATGTGTACCAAGCGATCCACTGGCTCCAGCGCGTCCGCAATCCAGACGGAGGCTGGGGGGACGTTTCCTGGAGAGAGAAAGGGGGGAAGTCTACAGCGTCACAGACAGCTCTGGCACTCCTGGCGTTACTTCCTTACCTGCCACCCATGGAGAGCGTACTGCGAAATGGCGTGGAGTATTTGCTGCAAACACAGACCAAGACACTCGTTGGAGGGGCAACATGGACGGAGGATCAGTCGACGAGGGCTGGTTCCTCGGCCTGCACATATATCAGCTCTTCCTATAGCTCGCATTGTTTCCCCATGATGGCAATTGGCAGGTATGCACAAGCACTGAGGCAGTATGAATGTGGTGGGGAACCTATCTTTTCAAGCAGGGCGGAGAATGTACAATGATTCTGTAAATTCCTATTCTATTTGTTAATGGTATACATTCCTACTCCATAATGAGCTTTGTGAACTTAGGTATGAGTGTTCCTTTTCCCGGTTATAGCAATATATTCTAGCACAAGTATCGGTAAGGCAAGGTGTCCGAGTGGTCTAAGGAGCACGGTTCAGGAACTGGACCTATAAACTGATTCTTCAGTTTCCGTGTCTCGAAAGGGGCGTGGGTTCGAATCCCACCCTTGTCATTGATTCTTTATTTTTTTTAATTGTAGTATATGTAGTATATACATTTATTTATGAGCTTTTTAGGACGCTCAGAGGTATTGCATCTTTGAACTATGGTTATTAGCGTCTGTGTAGAAGAGTGAGAAATTCAGTCTCTATGCTAGGTTGTGATTATCTATTTTATTTTGCGGACACTGAAAGTTTCTCTGAAGATGCATGCTATGAAAGTATTGCTATATATTCTTCTAAGACAGGCAGCCCGCGCCTGTTTATCTTCCGCCGCTGAGGTCTCCGTATTTCGCATGACTCTTAGTACTCATCTGATGCTGATGAACGTGGAGTAGAGGAGGTCCTKGATACCGGGTCCGCCGAAGGAAACGACGAGCGCGAGGCGCTGGAAGACATGTCATCACCAGAACTGTTCTTAGGAGCCACTTCCTTGCAAGCCATCGACACTCCACGCAATGGGAATCAAAGCTTGTGGCAGCATTGATACAGCAGCCGCCGCGAGCGTGGCAATGGACTCGCCCAGTCAAGATGTGCATCGTGGGCATTTCCACCAACAATTCCTTTTGGAACCACCGCCGCAGATCGACGGCGACGAGTGAGTCAATGCCGAGGTCGGTGAGCCGCGTGTCTGGCGGCAGCGCGGCATCTGAGGGAAGATTGAATTTATTGCGCACTTTGCGAGAGAAACCCTCCGTGACGACCTCGTCTGCTGCCTCCATGCTGGTCACAGTTTCCAGGCACGTCCTCATTGACTGGATTTCACCTTGTGTTGTAGGGCCGTCGGAGCGAGACTGGATGTGGTAGTTGATGCGGTGCCAGGTGAAGGGGAATGGTACCAGATGATGTCGGGCTGCTTTACCGGGTCGGTGACTGGCGCCCCTGCGACAATCTCCGGGTTTCGATTCGAGGAGGGATGACCGGCGATAATGGCCTCGGAGAAGAGTTCATGCAGGTCCCGTTCGGAGAGCTCTTCAGCGCCCGAGGCTGTTGCGGAGGTACTCGGCGAGCTCAGCTCCCTTGCGGGCAATATAGCCCACGCCACTGATAACGCCGGGTTGGACGATGCTGCCGACACGGTTCTGCATGCGCCGCCGGCGAATCAGCCCGGCTTGAAAGCAATTGGCCGCTGAATAGGCGGACTGGCTCCAGTTCCCGATCGCACCAGCGAGGGAGCTGCAGAGGATGAAAAAAACCAAGTCGGTGCCGCCAGAGAGCTCGTCCAGCACCAGACTCCCATGCACCTTGGCGGCAAAAGTGGATTGCATCATTTCCAGCAAGACACTAACGAAGGGGGCGTCATGCAGAACTAATGCTCCATTCACAATGCCTCCGAGGGGTGGATGATGCTGCTGGATATGGCGATAGACGGACGCGATGGACTCCCGGTTCGACAGGTCCCTGATGGATTAGATGTTGTAGCCAAATATTGGAGAACGGAGACATCTTCATTGGGACTACCTTGGCCCCCTTTGCTGCCATTGCCTCCAGCCATCGAGAACTTACATTCGGGGATCGACTGGTGAGAATTACATTGCGGGCTCCGCGGGTGATCATCCAGCGACAGACTGAGCGACCCAGATCGCCTGTCATCCCAGCCAAAAAATATGTCTTGTCTTGGGACAAATTGATCATGGAGCTCGCTTTCTCGACCCGGATAGACAGTGGGTTAGAGACATCGTACCGAGTCTAGTCAATAATGAGGCCTTGTTTCGCCTCGAGTCCTGTAGCAGAGAATTGCTTGAGGTTGACCACCGGCAGCGAGGTAAGTCTTGTTAATTGCATTAATTGCGTGACCATTGTAAGAGTCTCGGTCAGTAAATGGTAGGACATCTGGTTTTCATGAACTGGTGGTACCGCCACGACGCCGTATAGGCTGCTCATCGTCCCTCGTAGCACATGGTAAGGCAGCAGCTTGCTGATGCTCCGAGAGAACCCATCGTTCCCATCCTCCGAATCAAGGGATATAAACATGAAAAGCTGTGGGGGAATGAGGTTGGCAAGCACACGAATCGAACTCCGTGGGTGTACAATTACGGTATTCTCCCGCTGACTGGACAAATCCGCCGTGGTGAAATGGCGTCGAATTCCTCTGGTAACAGCGTGCATTTCAATTGCCTGTTGTAGGGCTTCATCTGCTTCATGCACCCACACGACCGTGGAATCCTCTGCCTGTTGGATGATCGAGTAGGCCACAATAGCTGTTACAGCGGCATGTAAAAAGGTTTGCTCGTCGTTCTCGGAGACTTCAGCTGGAAGCTCACGGCACCAGCTGGCTGGCGTTGTGACAACAGTGGCATTTCTGTCAACAAAGGCAAGCATGCATTTGTTGCTGTTGGTATCTATTCCAATTACCAGATGAAGGAAGACTCTTCCACTCCCAACCCTAACTGCTTGCGCGCTGGAACATCGAATATGCAGGCGGATATACGCCTGGGTAGCAGCGAGCGTTTTTGGGGCATCGCTGTGCTCATTGTCCATATGAAGCTCGTACTGACCGCTGGAATCAGACAATACTAGCTTGACGGATGCATCTTCCAGCTTCACGGATTGGTAGACTGCCTGTCGACAGGCTTCGTACCGAGTGTTCAACTCCGGCGCGTCCGCAAAGCTCGGGATTTTCATAGCGCCCTTTTCAAGTCGCAGCTTGGGCTCTGCCACCCAGACACGGTCAGGCAGAGTGTAATGGTTAGGCTAGCCAGTATACACCAAGCACATCAGTGTGCGAGCAACAACGACAGCATCAAGGTCCGCGAGTTCGACCACATTGAGATACTGATACAGGCCATCCTTATGCTCGTAAGGGAGGCACTTCAGCCAGCCTTTGCTCATGCAGAACCAGTCGCAGTCCGATTCCGAGCCAGCGGTCACCCAAAGAAGCTTCCAAGCCATTCCGACCAGGTATTGAAGCCCTTTGAGGCGGTCTTCGCTCAGGTCCTCGAAGCATGGTTTGTCGACGTCGGTAAGGACTAGGGCGCTACCGGCCGAGACATGCAAGCCATTATCACCTAACGTTTCAAGAGTTTGTATTCGAATAACGCGGTAAAAGTAAGGACCTAAAAGTCCAGATATGTCGTCGACAAGGCGCGATGTGTCGTTTTCAGCACCGCCAATAATCACCAGCGTGTGAGCGACTTCAGTGTCTGGTTCTGATAAGGGCTCACGCAGAAGTCGCACGCGATCATCGACCGCCTGTGAGAGTAGGACCGAATAGGTGCTCAATCGCGGATCGCCCAACTCAGAGACAGAATCAAACCACCAAAGCCAGTGTCCTGAAGAGCCTCCTCCCACTGTGAGACGCTCAGTCTAGGACCCCACATCGACCGTCCTTCTCGCCAACCCACCATCCCTCAAAGCCACCAAAGCAAAAGGAAACGCTGAGAGCGTCGGTGTTGGTGGCCTCCATCAGAGCGAGGTAGCCACGAGGCTTTAGCAAGCGGCGAACATTGCTCAAGGTCTGTCGAATTGATGGCGTGGCATGGAGGACATTGGATGCGATCACCAGATCGTAGCTCGCATCCTCGAAGCCCTGCTGGGTAGGATCCTGCGTAATGTCAAGGGACTGGTAGAGGAAGTGGTCTCCATGTTCGGCGAACTGCTGCTGGGCGTCTTCGAAGAAGCCGACGGAGATATCCGTGAAGGTGTACGAGTGGTACGACCGGCCAATGCGAGCCAGCGTGGCGCTGGTGGTAGAACCGGTTCCAGCTCCAATCTCCAGGATTTTCATACGTGGATAGCGGAAGACGATCTGGCTGGCCACGTCACCCAGACAATTATTGGCAGTCTTCGTCTCGACATCGTATTTGTAAAACAGGCCGAGTAGGTTGTCATTGCGCGTTTCCTCGAGGATCGTGGTCTCTCCGCGCAAGAACCGCAGCATATTGGACCCCACCACCCGGCCCAAGGCCACTGCTGGTAGTTTCGAAGGCAGCGAGCTCATCAGCCTATCGAGATCCTCCTGGGCGCTATCCAGCCATTCTGGAGGACAGATTGGATGCTTTCCCCACCGTGTCAACGACAGCACATGGTCAAACCAAGCGACGACCCGTGCACGATGCCAGTCGAGGCCCTCGTGGTCAGCGGGAGTAAGCTGCTCGCTAATAAGTTTGATATGAATGAGCACTATGCGCTCGATGGTCAGAGTCTGAGTCACAGATTCCGCCGAAGACGTATACGATAGTCTTTTTGCGTCCGGGACGAGGGGGCCCCAGACTACCTGGGAGAACGGCCGGCGACCCTGGCATGTCTTCTCCAAGGGCGCGACTCGCACTCTCTCCATCTGAACAATGTCGTCGCCATTCTGTGTAAACAACTGCACGTTTCCAGAACATCCTTCAGGGCCAAGGCTGTTGACGACAGCGTCAACTAGGGGCTCCTCACTACCGACGGGGTCCCAGTGACGGCTGTAGGCTGGATTAAAGATGACACGATCGATTCCGGTCGGGATTAGCATATTATCCAGCTGTCCGTTTCTGATTGTGCTCAGGGCAGCAAGAAGCATCTGCAGACTGGCGTCCAATACGGCGGGATGGAACTGCAACGAAGAGGCAAGGTTCGTGATATTGCCTCTTGACGCATCTAATTGACGGGAAAGAGAGGTAATACACTGAAACGGTCCTGAATAGCCGTAGCCGACTCGTTTCAAGGACTGATAGAAGCCATTCACATCCACCGGTCTCATGTCTTCATTAACAGGAGCTCGCGATGGCAGCAGGCAAGCTTCGGGTTCTCCCCATCCCAGAGTCAGTTTCCCCGAGGCGCAAAGAGTAAAACTCCCGCCGATCGTGGCATGGCAGCTGAAGGAACCAGTTTCTTTATCTCTACTCTGGAGTCGGAAATCGCTCACTCGGAACAGGGTCTCCACCCCCATGGTATCATTTTCGTCCGAGAAAATAATGGCCTGGGTTATGCTGAACTCATCAACCTGCACAAGCCGCACGCCCCCACTGGCAGCAACGATGGCAGCCGCCTCTAATGCCATGACCAGATACCCTATTGCCGGAAACACTGTACGGGACTGAATCTGGTGCGCATCAAGCCAGTCAATTTCCTCCCGGCGCAGGTACTGTCGCCAGCGCCACTCGCCATCCGTTGAGTTAGTCTCAAAAGCTCCTAGTAACGGATGCGGTTGGTGTCAAGCATACAAGCGGTCCCGCACCGCCCGTGTCTCAAACCAATATGGTTGATTGTGTTCAAAAGGGTATGTGGGAGGGCCTTGGACGATCTTTGGTGGCTTGCGCGATCTGTCGAACAGTGCGACGTAGCTGGCTATATCTATTGAATGCGGCCCGAAATGAATCCAGAAGTGGCCGATGGCTTTTGCCAATGATTCAATACTATCTTGGCTACGGTTCAGTAACCCGACGTAGGGAATCTCCGAAGGGAAGAGATCTGTGATCGTCTGTTGTGCCGGGCCTTTGAGAGCCGGATGAGGCCCTACCTCGACGACCAGATCAGGGCGCACATCGTGACTGCTGGAGCGTAAAGCTGCCTCCAATGCTGGTGAAAACAACACAGGCTTGGCCATGTTGTCCTTCCAGTAGTCCCTAGTCATACCGTAGCCATGTTGCTCCAGCGTGATTTCCTGTGCTTCATAGACGCTAGAGTACCACTGTGACGACAAGTGGGAGCGAATTTGAATCTCTGCTGCGTCCAAGGCTCGCAGGTAAGCTTCTACGCAAGCAGCCATGTGATGGGAATGGTACGCTGTGTGAACGCGGAGAAGCCGCGCGAACTTCTTCTCTTTCAGGAGTATCTGTTCAACCTGAGATATGGCATCAAGGTCACCGGAGAGCGTGACGTTGGAAGAAGAGTTCACTGCTGCCAAGCTGATTTTGTCGTCAAATTCGGGTTGCTGGCAGAGAACGGCGGCCTCCTCCTGAGAAATTCCAGCCGCCAGCATTGCTCCCTCTCCAGCCAGTCCCGCGACGTGACCTCGCAGGTAGGCGACTCGGATGGCGTCAGCCGATGACAAGAGTCCGGTAGCATATGCCGCCGCAATTTCACCGGAGGAATGACCAACGACTACAGCTGGGGAAATACCCAAAGCAGAAAGAACATTAACAAGAATGATCTGGAGTGCTGTGCATAATGGTTGTGAGATTGCGGCCTCATGCAGCCGGGAGTGAGCCTGGGCTGCAGCCAGCTCTTCTTGGAGGGAGAAGCTTGGTCGGAGCTCGACAGGAAGGTCGGCAAGCGATCTCTCCATTTCGCTAACCAGTTCCTGGCCTCAAGGCAGTGAGTGATAAGGTCCAACCCCATCTGCGGCCACTGTGCGMCTTGGCCTGTGAAAATCCCCAAGATGCGTCTCTTCTCATCTGTATGTGTCTGGGAGCTTACGACGGACGACCGCCTTTTGGCCTTGATGAGGTCAAGCTCTTCGCGGATTCTCGTGATTAAGAGATCTATTGTAGGTGTCCAAAGGGCGGTACGGTGCACCAAGAAGGAACGTCGCTGTAGTAAGGTCCATGCCAAGTCCACTAGGTCGACCATGGGATTGTCTTCGAGATATTGAATGTACTGTTCCAGCATGGCAGCAAGCGCTCGCACAGAAGACGCGGAGAAGACAAATGGCAGCACGACGGGTATTGGGGCTTTAGGCGATAGTTGAGCGTGCTTGCCTATTGCAAGCATGCTGTCCTCATAGCTCTCAAGAATCGCATGCGCATTAGTGCCCCCAAAACMAAATGAGTTGACAGACACGCGGCGTGGAACCCCGGGCTTCAGAGCTGGCCATGGCATAGCCTTCACTAGGACATTCAGGTTGGTAGAAAATGGTTCAAGCTGTGGGTTGAGTTGGTCGAACAGGAGGTTGGGTGGGATCACTCCATGCTGAATGCACAATGAAGCCTTGACAATGCATGCTATGCCGGCTGCGCCTTCTGTATGTCCAATCACCGTTTTTATTGATCCCACAAACAGTTTCTCAGTCTCCCTATGTTGCTGCTGTAATGGCAAATCTCCAAAGAAAGCATGATAGATGGCTGAAGCCTCTTGGGGATCCCCGGCCGGAGTCCCGGTTCCGTGGGCCTCGAAATACTGGCATCGATCCTCGTCTCTGTGCTCTGGGTCCAGGTCGAGCATCTGGTAGGCGGACCGGATCAGATCCTGTTGTGCTTTACTAGACGGCATCGTGAGGCCCGTTGTTCGGCCGTCTTGGTTGACGCATGTGGCTCGGATCACGCATTCAATCGGGTCACCTGCGGCAACTGCATCGCTCAGGCGTTTCAAAACGATAGACATAATGCCTTCGCCACGGGCATAGCCATCAGCGTTTGCGTCCCACATGCGGCCGCGGCCAGTGGGGCACAACATTTGAAGCTTCAACGCCGAAACAAAGACATTGGGGTGCAGCAGAAGGTTTGTCCCCGCCACTACTGCTGTGGGACATTCTCTCTGGCGTAGAGCCGTCACGGCCTGATGCAAGGCGACCAGACTCGAGGAGCAAGCTGTGTCTACCACAAGGGATGGGCCGTGCCAATCGAAGAAGTTTGAGACCCGGTTCGCGATGTTGGTCCGCGCCAGCCCGGTGATGGTATAGCGGGGGCATACTTGATCGTCGATTTCCACTCGAGTCGCCCAGTCTGCCATCATCACACCACAGAATACGCCTGTGGAGGAGCCACGAAGAGCGTCGAGCCGCTGCCCGGCCCGCTCTAGGGACTCGTAGACGGTCTCTAGCAACAGCCGTTGCTGAGGGTCTATGGCTTCGGCCTCGCTGGCGGAGATATTGAAGAACGAGGCATCGAACATGCGAATATCCTCGGACAGGAAGTAGGACTCCTTGGTGTTGGTGGTCCCATGATGATTGCTATCCAGATGGTAGTATGATCTTCCATTGAATCGAGTGGAAGGTGGCTCAGCTGCTACCGCTGTCGGGTTGCAAAGTAGATTCCATAACCTGGACGGCGAGGAAGATGATCCCGGAAATTTGCATCCGGTTCCAACAAGGGCGATAGGTTCAAGGGTCATTTTCAGTTGAATCGTGGAGGCAGAGTGAGGGGGATTCTCAACCAGAATTGTCCTTCCTGGGACATCGATTTTATTCTCCAATTCCGAGGCATAAGCGCGGGGATGCTCAGTAGCGCCGTGAGGATAGTACACCTGATATGCAAAAATCTTTATGTCCAATAACTATCTCCATTATGGTTGGATGAATGGCCGTGCCTATGTAAGAGGCCAACGCTTGGCAAGAATGTCCCGTCTTCCCGAAATTAGTCCTCATTCAAGGACAATTGTATATAATGGCCCACGTAACTCATTTCCAAGACAGAATCCGGATGGCCAAGTCACTGTGGGTGTGGACAATTTCTCAAGACTCATGACACCAAAAGAAGATTACGCAATACTCAGACGTCATATGCTATGGAGTCGAGAATCTAGTTCCTACGCACATGTATCTTGAGATCAGAAACTAATGCTTCCGCTGGACAACCTCATAGAATAGGTAACCGTATTTGGAAGATCACTCACCTTCAGCTATCAGTAAATGTCAAGAGCCGCACGTTCTTCTTTAAAGGACGGATGCTTATGAGTGTAGAAATCTCTGTCAATATAATCCATACTATACTGGAGCGGGTCTCAGCGATAACCATAGCAATGGAGAATGAGCAGACTAAAGATTAACCCTGAATGTCCCACTGACGGAAGTAGCGCATCTTGACGGACCCGGGATGGGCACGCACGTTGTCCGCGAGTATGCGTACAAGAATGAGGTGAAACGGTGTGTCAACATGTCCTCAGCCGAGGTCTACTGACGGCTAGTAAACCTCTATGGTGCCAGCAATGCAGCGTCCGATGGTCAAGCGGTATGAAACAAGGGGGAGTGATTACCAACACTGTTCGCTCGAAGAATGTGGACGGACGCTAAGCGTTGATGGTATATCTCTGACAGTCGCAGTGCCTTCAACACTGTCTTCCTGCGTCGTCAGCCGAATGCTACCTACATTCTGGATTCGGACGACGCATCGACAAACTACATCTTTGTACCCGGATCATCGATGCCGTGGTGTCGAACCGAAGTGATGGTGCAAAGACTGGCAGCGCAGAGAGACGGATAAATCACGTCACTGGCCTTTATTCAATGAACCGGCCATTGGAATGAGATTTCCGCACCCCAGAATCTCGGATAGACGCAGCTTGTAGCCTCGAGGAAGGCGTTAAGAGGACTGTGGATTGGTACAAGGTCAATGCAATGGCCTGGTAAGGTGATTAGCAGAATACCTTAGAAATCCAAATTATGCAGAAATTAGAATGCGTCTGTGTAAGCCTGGAAAGGGAAGTAAAAGCGAGTAAGAAAAAACACATAATGCTCTAATCATAGAGTGGTTACAACCTGGTTAATACACATAAGCAGGAGTTGATCCTTTCGGGTAGGATCGTCATCGTAGACTAGGAATAAGCAAGTACCCTGTCAGACAGTGAATCAGCTTTGTAGAACCCTAGTCTAGAGGCTGCAGCCTGGAGACTTGGCTGTCCATAGATATGCTATGATTCCGAATCAGTGGGTCAGGTTCTAACAAACAAAGACCAGATCTTGAGTCATCATGCGGGGAAAGATGCTTACGACAGTATTTATTAACTCATAACAGCACTGATATCCCTCGTTTTACCTGCCTCGTTCTGTTTCTCTCTTCTAATCAAGCAAATATGTCGACGACCACAGTTGAGCTTGCTTTGCAAGGACAACAAGAGTCACGGAGCCCAGTCCGCACATTTGGTCCGAGTGCTGACGATGCAATCGTTCAAGCAAAGCAAAAATGGAATGACCCTCCCATCAACAAAGGGCGCCTTTTAGCCACCTTCGCCAGCTTCGCGGTTGTAGGAGCGAGCGATGGTGTCTACGGAGTGAGCTGTCCCTGCACGGAGACAAAATACAGAGCTAATGATATTTCTCCCAGGCGCTCGTCCCATATGTATGCGTGAACTAAAGTCCATTCCATTGCCTCACGACAATCTGACACACAGTAGCTTCGCGAAGACTATAAGTTGTCTACCACCGTGGTCTCGTTGATTTTCGTGACCCCGTTTGCCGGATACACGATGGCCACCCTCATTGTCAACAAGATTCATATGACATTTGGACAGCGAGGGATTGCGATCATCGGTCCCCTATGCCATATCATTCCGTTCGCGATAATGGCCATCCACCCGCCCTGGCCGGTAATGTTGGCCGTCTATGTGATTGTTGGTTTGGGAAATGGCCTCATCGACGCGGCATGGAATTCTTGGATTGCTGATATGGCCAATGCAAACACGATGATGGGTTTCCTCCAGGCATTCTATGGCCTCGGGTACGTGGGTCATGTGTGATGACCGTCACAGTAAAACTGACGGTGATCGCAGGGCGACCCTTAGCCCAACAATTGCGACGCAGATGATCAAGTCCGGCCTACGCTGGAACTATTTCTACTACACTCTGCTTGGTGGCTCCGCCCTCGAACTGCTGGCCAGCGTGGCTATGTTCTGGAAAGAAAATGCGGACAGCTTCAGAGTCAAGAATTGCAGGAGTCCCGATAGCAGTAGTGGGAGCAGAACTACAGAAGCAATGAAAAGCCCCATTACCTGGCTGATAGCGGTGTGGCTGTTTGTGTACATGGGTGTTGAAGGTAGGTCGTCTTACTTTTCCCGGAGGGAATGACCTGATCACTAAATCTGATAGTGTCCGTCGGCGGCTGGGTCGTCGATTTTATGGTCCAGGTCCGCAACGGAGAGCCATTCGAAGCTGGTCTTGTCTCAACCGGCTTCTGGGCTGGTGTCACTATCGGCCGTCTGGTACTCGGATTCGTGAACGACTGGTTGGGCATGTACCCCCTCCACGCAGCTCTGGCACTTGAATGCTGACTGACTATGAAGGAGAGCGGATTGCTATCACTATTTACCTTACTATTTCGATTGCCCTGGAGCTTGTGTTTTGGCTGGTCCCAAGGTTTGTCGTGTCTGCCGTTGCTGTCTCGCTGCTTGGCTTCTTTACTGGCCCTCTCTTTCCCGCAGCAATTGTAGTGGCGGCCAAGCTACTCCCGAAGCATCTGCATACTCCAGGAATCGGGCTGGCGTCAGCATTGGCCGGCGGTGGTGGTGCGATGTAAGTTCACATCCTCGTATACTATGCGCATGAACTTTGCTGCTTGACCATCTGGCTAACATGTAAATCCCCATTGGGCGTAGACTACCCTTTGTTGCTGGTGCTATATCTGGGGCGCACGGAGTGCAAAGTCTGCAGCCCTTCATTCTCGCTTTGTTGGTTCTCTTGATCATTATCTGGGCGTTACTTCCTCGCAATAAGCATCGTCCTCACAGCACTTGAGGCAGTTATACAAGTGGTAGATATGATCATATTATAAGCACGGAGTATTCCACGGCATTGAAGCGTAAAATCTGTCAGATAATAGTATAGCACAAGCTGTAGCAAAAGTTCAACTTAATAATCACGTCCAATCCAATATGACTAGACTGTAAACTTTGTATAGCCCCGATGAGACGCAAATGAAAAGAATGCTCACTTGGACACATCACATATCATCACCATATTATCTTCCCCAATCCATTCCCTCAAGGCCTCCTCGCTTGCATCCCGCACCATAACATGGAAATGCTCCAGCGCCGACACGCTCTGCAACGCCGCCCAATTCTTGAACCACAACACGCGATCCTCAGGCGCATCCACATGGACCTCTCTGGCCAAACGCTGCACAAAAGTAGCCGATACAAACGTCTCGATACACGCGCGTGATTCGGCGGTCAGATTTCCGTCTTCGTGCACTGGAAACGGTGTCTTCAGCCAGACGACCAGGTGCCGGATGCCCGGTGCAACCCCGTACGGCCAGTCGTTAAAGCGAATACAATAGTCAGATGGGCTTGCAAAGGGGATCGGATTCTTGAACGCGACTTTGGAGTCATGCTGGTCCCAGCCGAGACGCTCCTGACAGATGTAGTTGAGGATGTCGCCGTACTGCTCTTTTATTCCTTTGGACCAGTTGATGTAGCGTCTGAGATGCGAAGGGAGCCGCTTGAAGAGTTCAAGTCTGTTTTCCTCTGGTTTGTGTTTTAGTGTAGTATCTCGTAAAGGGCAATACATACTGATTATCCATTTTAGCTCGTCCCAGGAGTGTGACTCGTATTCCTCGTCAGTCTGGCGAAGGAGCATGCGGTCTACTTCTGTAAGATTCCAGTCGGGGATCTCTTGATCCTTTTCGGCGTTTGGAGCTGCTGTCGCAGAACCCATGATTGTGGTAGAGGACTGTTGATAGATGCAGAAAGAGGGATGGAGCACTCGATTTTATTAGGCAGACGGGTCGGTCTCTTAATACCCTTGTCCGATTTACTAAACTAAATTCAAACGTGTCACCGCGTTGTGCTTCACTACTCTCCTTGGCATGCAGCTACTTGGTAGGGATGCTCCAATCAGAGTCAACTGGTAGCAGTAGGCAATAGTGAGTGATATGAGCATCTTTTGGGTCATTCAGCGCCTCGACATCTCTCCAAACAAGTTAAGGTACGGGCCTCTGAAGACTTTTTACACATAGCAACTCTTCTCACGTATTGGTTCACCACACGGGAAAGTCTGTGACTGACTCGGCTGCCATTGTTCTATTCCAGACAGATGACCAGGTGCAGCATGTCATCCAGCCGGTGTTGGAACTGGAACGGTGAAACAAGATGGACGGGCGGCACGAAAGAGAATACTTAGTTGGTTTTGGGACAGCAAAGATTCCAGCCGCGAAAAGATACTGCTAGTGGGGTGTAGGTAGTAGAAGAATTGGAATAGCTACGCTACGAAGAAGAATGTAACGCATTACGAATCTATCCCATGCCCCTGATGTCTCTGCTCGTTGCTCTGTGCCCCTGATCCTTTCTCTCTTGCACTAAGACAAATGGCAAGATTAAGGCGCTACTGGCCGGTGATCGAGAATAGATTGGAAGGAGAGACAAGCTTTTGCAGCACCTCAAAGCCATCGGCGCCACTCAGTGCAGCATGCAAATACTCTGTCCTGAAAAGAATTGTCACTGACAAACCTTGAAATGATTATGGTCCGAGTAAGCCTTTCGCTGAGACTCCGTACATGCTGACAACGAAAAGGAAGGAGGCTTTAACTCGACGAAGGCGAAGGAGCACCGACATTTGGTCTGAACGCTGACTGCGCATGCGCTACAGGTCTTCCAGCCTCCCTGTCCTCGCTCTTTCCCATCACCAAGTGCCTGAATCGGGACGACAATATTCCCCGCACTGAGCGAGGCACTGTCAGGATGGCGGCCTCTTATAGGATTGCAAGTTCTAACAGAACTKGGAGTAAGAGATGGAGCATTGTATCACGCTTTGTGATGAAATACTTTGGCACTGTTAGTATTACCAGATTGATTAAACCGAATCGTTTCGCGAACATGAGTTAACTCGTGAACAGGACTATAGTATTTCTTTATACCAAACCTGCATCACAAGGGGTACGTGGTAAGATAGCTCTAAAAATAGTTCTATTTAGAATGTGTGGCTGCCTATCACTGTTACTCAGACTGAGCATAAGGTTAAGTTAATAACCCTAACTAACCTTACAGAACACTAGTGAGCTTAACAGCACAAGGACAGGTCAGCATTGTATATAGCCTCTTAGTAGTTACTTCTGCAATATGAACTTGCGAACACACTATGCTAATGTTTCAGTAAGTATTTTCTCTACAGGCACTCAATACGGTGAGATTAACTGAGCCACCCAGTTCAAGGCCCCTGAAGTCTGTCCCAAGAGTGTGACATGATTGGCTGGGAGACACTGGTAAATTCATCCGGAAGCAGTATACAGAAGTTAGTTTACGTCGCATTCAATAAGGTTAATTAAGCTCTACCCACTAAACTTTTCACTTTTCGTCTGTGTTAAAATCTGGACATTCTGGTTGGCGGGAAAACGGAGGGTTACATATAATCAAACGTGGCTTGCCGACAATGTAACTCAACATTCCGGCCTGGATTAGACCAGAATGATGAGGTAACAGTTGTTAAACATTAGTTACCTGTGTTTGATCAGCTTTTTAGGTTTTGGGCCATCGTTCTCCTTGTCGAGTTTTGCCTTAAGGAACATCAGTCTACGAGCTAACCCTAGTTAACCTTCGGATGCATGAAGGTCTGCCATGGACAGGTATCTTTAACGTGCCATCGAATTTCTTCTATGAGGGAGCCGCCGAGAGCCGACATGTATTAGATGTAGTATCCAGGAGATTTCAGGTTGACTGACGCCACGCCGGTGTTATCAGTAACAAAACTGCCAACGCTTCTCCAGCCCATTTCGGAAAGATCGTTTCCTCCCTCCTGCGCGGTGCCCAGCTGGGCCCTCAGCGAGTGGGTACGGGGATGAAGTCCAAGACTGTAGCCCCTTCTAAAATCTTCAAAACACTCTTCGCGGTTTCGTCCCCAGCGTATGGAACCAAATATCGCAACACTACCCTGTATACAAGGTTTGCGCGAGTGTGCAAGCGTTCGACGATCCTCGACAGGGCGTAGATTTTGGACATGCGTTTGACTTGTACGTCGCTGAACTCGGAGACAAGGTTGTCAATCTCCTCATCGCAGAGCCTGTGTGCTGAATGCCCAGCCCGCAGAGCGTCATGCAGCCCGTTAGCCAAAGCGGCCGCGTCTTCAATAGCGCAGTTGGCCCCTTGCCCAAGATTCAGTGTCATCTGAAGTAGCAAAATGTTAGACCCAGCAGGGTAGTCATCTTTTCGTCAAGTGACATACTTTGTGCATGCTATCGCCAACAAACAATGCGGCCACAACTCCAGGTTCGAAACACCTTTTCTTCCAGTGCCACCATGGCGAAGGACCCGCGATTCTGCCACACCTGCTTGAATTTGATGTCCTTCCATATGTACTTGTCTGTAAATCGCTCACCCCAGGCTGCAGCATCTTTGACAGAGAAACGCGGCGCGCTGCCGTCGTGATATTTTTGATCCAATTTGACAACGATGAAGCAGGACAGTCATCCATTGACACATGGGATGAGGATGATTGTTGTCCCGTTGCCAATACTTGAATGAATGTGTTGCTCATTCAATTCTGGAACCGTAGAGGAGGCGCCAAAAATGCAGGCATACTCAATACTCATTCCTATCAGCCATGATCACAGTCAGTCTCAGTTTCGCTAATTCCGACAATATAAACAGTTGGAGGAACCTTCACCCTTGACTTCGCTATCACTGATCAGACCAGGCCGTCGCACATTTGCTGCGCGCCACATCTGAGTTCAAACACAGCTGCGGACCCCGTCGGCGCGCACGACGATGTCACCCTCGTAGGTGCGTCTATCTGCAGTATGCACCTGCACACGGCTATCTTGTTGGTCAACCCGGATGACGTTTAGATGTTCACTCTTTTGGGACATGATTGATACGGAATCTGGAGTAATTTTTGACGGTCCAGACACGCGATTGGGAACCCAAAGCTGTCGATACCAAAACCTATCAGACAGGAGGACACAAGGCAAAACTACAGCTCATTTATGATCTTGAGATACAGGTTGCTGAAGTGGAATCCGTCTGGGAAACATATATTCAATACGTGTTTTGGCGTAACCAGCTTCTCAACAGCATCATAGAGCCCCAGTTGGTCTAGGATTCGCCCCCTGTTTGGTAGGATTGCGACAGGCTCCGGCTCCTTCTTGGGGAGCAATTGCAGCTCGCTTTTCAAGGACAATGCAGGGAATGTCTGCCTTGTGCAGACGGTGCGCAAGAGTAAGGCCAGCAATTGATCCCCCGACAATGATTATCTTGAAAGTCGGGTCCATTCTGCTGCAGCATGATAGAAGTAAAGGTATTTTATACATTCATGGGAAGGTTTTTCGCATAATATTGTGGCTAAATATGCCAAGTTATGGCCATGGCCCTGCTCAATCGAGTTCATGGCTCTGCATTCTTATCCCACTAAGGAGCACTGCCCACTTGTTTCACTCTGCTTTTCTCGACTGTAATTGGGCCTTCCTTTCCCCCCGACTTCACTGCCACTGTCCTTTCGGATCGTAGGATCTTCCAGAGCAGAATACCATAGGAAATATCGAATACATAGAAAGCCGCTCCGCCCCACCAGCCCAAGGGGTTGTTCCAAAAAACGGTCGGATCTTTATTCTTATACCGCAGTATTTCGTGGGGTAAGACAATCGCAGTTCCCATGAAGCGAGTTAACCTAGAACCAGGAAAAGAATCGTCAATTCAATCCGTAAGCGAGGACAAGAGTTTCTTACCAGATAAAAGGAGAAGTCCCACGGCTACTGCCTCGGACCATTAGTTGGCAGAGATTTGCGGCACTCAGGAACAACTGGCAGCCAAAAGCGCTCCAGGCGGCTGCCTCGACAGGTCCAAAATGGGCGATCAGTGCCAGATGTACAGTTATCCAGCCGGCAATGCTCGCGACCAATATCCAAGGTAGGTTCCGTTGGACCAGAGGGGCATGTCCCCATTCATTGGGGCCGAATCGCATGGTAGTGTAGGCGACCGCTACATCCACAGCCAGCCAGAGGCCAAAGACAATCGGCCACATCGGGCTGTCTGGGGGATAGAGCACGTACACCAGTTCGTAGGAAATATTGCAGGCCAGGGCAACCAACGGCATGCAGTAGGTGCGGTCCTGGAATGACTTGCGGATCATTCCGAGGTAATTAGCCAGCCAGCCCACGCCCACTCCGATGACGAGGAGGGTGACCGCCAGGGGCTGTTCGTTGGCATCGTGAGGAATCTGCAATTTCTCAGACTCGGACATTGTCCCGAATATTCAAGATCTGTCACCGTTGGCTATTGCAGTTGGAGATTGGGCTGGACTTGTTTAGACGTGACTGTATATAGTGGGAATAGACACTCATGTATATCTCAAGAATACGCATAATTGTATTGAACACAACCGCCCAGGTACGGAGAATCATCCGTTCCCAGCGATTTAACGCTGTATAGTGGATCATCCAGATCTCGCGGCCCGCTGGAACTCATCCCGATCCGGCCTTACTACTACAGTACGACTCCGCAAGAGCTGGGGAATTCTAGAATCCTACATATTAAAAAAAAAATATCTAATTAAATAAGCAAAAATTATCTTATATTTCAAACACAAATATGTACCGTATATCTTATATAGGCCGAGTCTCGGCCGAAAACCACGTAGGAAATGATTTCGTCGTCTGATGGGCTTAAGGTTGCAAATGTTACACGGTTACATTTGGTGCAGTTGTCAGGTGCCTGGACCGATGCTTAAAAACCATCAGTACTGGACTCAAAAGGCTATTTCCCTGGTTATTATACTCCCAGGTAAGGTTCAACCCGCTGTCATACGTCCTACCGTCCCTGGAAGGATGTGACCCATCGGTTGCCGCGGGTCCCTGGGTCGGATACTTCACCCAGCCACTGAGGAAAATGGATGACGAGGATATACAGAGAAGGAACCTGCTAGCTTTATCTTCATCACCTCTGTAAAGGCAGGGCTTGGTGGCTGGACTACTTGCAACCTCAGAACGCACTGGTAGCATCCTCCAGGGAATGGACTGTGTGCGTCACTCATCATTACCGCTACAATTGTGCAATTCAGGATGCATGGAAGCTCCAAGTATCCATAGCTGAACTCTGACTGAGCTGGACGATGGGTGGACAGGTTGCTTAGCATGCAGTGGAGCCATAGTGCCAACCACAACCACCAGTGCCAAGTACAGTTTACTAAGAGAGTTCAAGGCTATTAACTTTCCACCCTCTTGCCGGATTCATAAGGTCTACAGTCATGGACCCTCCGTTAGGTAAATACGTCGGCAAGAAGTGCTACGGCTCCGCTGTGACCACGCAAGTAGCGTATTTAGCGAACCATCGCATCTCAATATAGAACCCGTACTCCTGTTGACTTTGTCGATTGACGTTTCTCTATACAAATTAATCTTTCGCAATGTTGCAAACGGAGGCGATTACCACAGAAGGGCTACGAATTCAGGGCCAGGCCCCAGATGATCCCTTGCTCCCCAGAGTCAAGCAAGCGCTCGAGCTCTCTGGCCTTCACAGCAGAGAGCTGATGCACTCTGACGGACACTGGTGCGGCGAAGTCAGAACCAACGCAACAACCACCGCTGAGCATGTCCTGCTGTGCCAGGCTCTCGGCATTGACCTTGATGCGGACAGAGAAGCATTCATCTCCTGGTTTCGTTCCACGCAGGGTGCTGACGGTGGTTGGAGTATCGTCCCCGACCATGTGGGTGATATCTCGGTGACCGTAGAGGCGTACCTTGCGTTGAAAATCCTGGGGGTCTCAGAGGACGACGCGACAATGCGCAGCGCACGAGACTTTGCGATCACAGCGGGTGGTGTCGCGAGAGTCCGCATCTTTACCCGCATATACCTCGCCATGTTCGGCTTATTTCCTTGGGCCGCTGTACCGGAATTGCCTCCAGAGCTGATCCTGCTGCCTTCCATGGTACCAGTCAGTATCTATCACTGGTCAGCTTGGGCGCGGGCAACTGTGGTGCCTCTTCTGATTATCTCACACCATCGCCCAATCTATGCTCTTCCGGCTGGAAAGTCAACCTCTAGCAACTACCTGGATGAGCTGTGGTGCAACCCGAAGGATAAAATGGTACCATACAATCATGATCAACCGACGGCATGGAGATTCGACCCGTTTATGTTGATCTTCACTTTGGCGGACTCGATCCTGCACCGCTTGAATGGGCTGAGATCTTTGAATCCCATCCGCCCATTCGCACTTCGAAAGTGTGTCGACTGGATTCTGGAGCATCAAGAGGATGTGGGAGACATCGGAGACATTATGCCGCCGCTACACGGAACTATCCTTGCTCTAAACCTTGAAGGCTATCCGCTGCATTCGGACCCAATCCGCCAGGGCCTAGAAGCTATCGAACGCTTCGCATACCGTGACAAGCACGGAAAGAGAATCCAAACCACGGTCTCTCCATTCTGGGACACGAGCTTAATGCTTATTGCCCTCGGCGACGCACGCATGGAATCCGGCCCGTGGCTCACAAGGTCCTTGGGCTGGCTACAGCAACATCAGAGATTAGGCAACTATGGAGACTGGAAGGTGAACAACCCTGGGCTAAAGGCCGGCGGATTCAGTTTCGGGTATTTCAACACATGGTACCCTGACGTGGATGATACAGCATCCGCCGTTATGGCAATAATCCGGCAAGACGAGCGGCTGGTTAGCTCTGCCTCCATTTTGGATGCCCTGAATTGGCTTCTTGGAATGCAGAATACCGACGGGGGCTGGGGTGCCTTTGATCGCGATAACAATAACCTATTTCTGAACAAGATCCCGTTCAGTGATATGGAGGCATTGTGCGATCCGTCCACCGCGGACGTGACTGGCCACGTCCTTGAGGCTTTTGGCGTTTTCCTAGCAGTCAGCGCACGGCAGGAATCGCAGAATAAGGCAAACGTCCTCACTGATCGCATTGCGTCGGCCTCTCGAAAAGCCTTATGTTACTTGTCGGCGACACAGGAACCATCCGGAGCCTGGTATGGGCGCTGGGGCTGCAACTACATTTACGGAACAAGCGCTGCCCTCTGCGCAATGGCATATTTCGGCTCGAAGGATAGCATATGGTCCAAGAGAGCCGACGGCATGAAAAATGACGTCGACCTAGCGATTCGATGGCTGGAGACGGTTCAAAATCGAGACGGTGGGTGGGGCGAGACCGTGGACTCTTATAAAGATTCTTCGCGAGCTGGCTCTGGCCCATCAACGGCATCGCAGACTGCCTGGGCGCTTATGGCTTTGCTCCCATACCTACCACCGTCCTCATGGGCAATACAACGGGGAGTAGAGTACCTTTTGCGGACGCAGACGAGGACTGCTTCTCAGGGAGCTACGTGGCAGGAGAAGGCTTATACCGGAACTGGATTCCCGAAGCACTTCTACATGGGATATTCCCTCTACTCTCATTATTTTCCCATGATGGCCCTCGGCCGATACGCTTATCCATGCATCGAGTGGCAGGAGAATTGGCGGCCGAAGACGGAGTGAACCGATTCTAGCTATAGCTTTAACTGTCAATATATCATTTGTTTCTCAGGAAGTATCTCGATCAGATAAGGTTTAATCATGGGTGATCCCTCTGGTTTCAACATGACACTGTAGAGCCAAAATGCTGAATAGGGAGCGGTGGCCGTTCTATATTATTTAAGCACCACTACTATGGTCAGTCCCATCTAGTAATATGGACAGGTATCGCTGTAGTATTGGAGACAAGCCAACCTACGATCTACGACTACAGCACCCAGCCTCTCGCCTCTTTCATCCGCGCATACCACCCCTTGACATACGGAACCGACATATGCGGTCCGTAAGGCTCCAGCGTCCATTGCGGACTCGGCGCAGGAAGCCCAGTCTCCTTCAGGCAAGACTCGGTCAATTCCTCGATCGTGCCTCCTCGATCATACTGCTGGGCCTTGCCCACTGCATCCCGAGCAGCCATCATACTCGTCCTCAAGGCTCTGGTCTCGGCTTCACGCACGCTCAGATCATCCGGATTCACTACCACACCGTAATTATCGTAGGCGCCCTGGATGGTCACCAATCGGCGACGGACCTCTAGTCCCACCTTCTCTGCCGGTCGCGTCAATGGATCTCCGAGTCCACCGCCTCCCCAAGTCACCCACTCAAGGAGGTCATCTGGGTCGACGCGGATGTGGTCGCATTTTGAGGGTAGGACTTCCACCGGCGGGTTTTCCTGAGACTTGGAGTATCTATAGAGGACCTTCCGGGAACGTGAACCCGGTTTGCCGCCGCGGATCCCCCAGGGCTTCGTGAACCAGCGGTCATCGTGCAGACTGAACTCTCCTCGACACAGGAAGCGGTAGAGCGTGCGCTGTGCGTTGCCACCGCGGTAGAATCCCGGCCCGCCGCTGTCCGGGACGCTCTCGTTGGCTTCGATGCGCAGAGGATAGTTCAGTTCGATGATCTCGGTGGGAATCGATTTGATAGCGGGGAACAGGCAATGGCAGTCAAGGCCGTCGCCGACGTTCCGTGCTGGAACGCCACCGAAGCCAATCTGGTATAACTGGTACCACTCTCCATCTGGTTTGTATCCAGAGTAGAAGAAGTGGGGAGAGTCGCTGAAGCCCGCGGCGGCGGCATAGACTGGGTTCCTCTGGCCGATAAGCGCTTGCATGACGTCCATTGTTCTGCCCAGCAGATGAGTCCGGCAGGAAATCGGCGCTGGTCGGAGGGGCTTCAGAACGCTGCCCTCGGGGATATAGATGTCAATAAGGTCGTGGAAGCCGTCGTTGATCACTGTGCCCGGTGCGGCTGCGGCGATCATGTAGTAGCCGATGAACATCTTGAACATGGTCTCCGAGAGATAGAAATTGATGCTGTGCTCGCTCTGGGGTGAGGTCCCACTCCAGTCAAACAGCAGCCTGTTCCCATCGATTTTCTTCATTGTGCAGGTCAAGGCCCAGGGGCCGATGCCGTGACCATCGTCATCAACGAAATCAGTGAATGTGCAGGGCTGATCGGTGAAATCGTTCTCGATGATCTGGGCCATCGCTGTGCGATTGCGCATGAGCAGTTCAGAGCAAGCCGCGAGATAGACCTCGCATCCAAACCGCAGGACGAGCTCACAGACACGGCTGGCTGCCGTTCTGCATGCAGTGATGATAGCAAACAAGTCCGCTCTGTACCAGTCGGGCTGTCGCGAGTTGCGACAGAGCAGCTCGACCAGGTCGGTGTTCATAACCCCCTTATTGTACAGCTTGATACACGGGATCTGGACGCCGTCGTCAAAGATGGATGACGCGTTGATGGACATACTGCCCGGGACCATTCCTCCGACATCAGTCAAGTGCCCGAACTGCGACGCCCATCCGATCAGTCGGTGCTCATGGAAGATTGGCAGCAGGACAATCACGTCGTTCAAGTGTGTCACAGCTCCTTCAATCATGTAGGTATCGTTGGTGATGAACACATCACCTTCCTCGATCGTGCCTTTCCAGACGCCCAGAAACTGGGTGATGAAGCTGCCAAACTGGCCGACAAGCATCTTGCCGTCGGCAGTGGTGATAACATTGAATTCATCTTGCTGCTCACGAATCGCAGGTGACATGCTACAACGCAGCATGAGGGTGTCCATTTCACTGCGAATGGAGGCCAAGGCAGACGCAACCAGCGTGGGGATCAGGGGCGTCGATTGCACTGTCTCCAAAGCCGCTTCTGCAGTCTGGCCGTTCGGCTGCTCTGTTGTCCGATCATCAGCTGGGCGTATCAGAATGTTTCCGATCGAGTCAATCTCGGCGTAACATCCGGGAAGGATCAGGGTGTTGCTGTCCATTTCGGTGATGATGCAGGGGCCATCCACCCGTATCCCTTGCCAGCGCAATTTCTCCCGATCCCACAGCGTGGCCTCCATTGTCTGTCCTTCGATGACGACCTGTTTCTTTGAGACGATTGCATCAGGTGGTGGTGCAGGTGATTCCGCCTTGCTGAGCCGGGGGAGCTCGATGCTGGGCGAATCGTCAACGGCAACGACCTCGAGGCGCATCAGTTCCAGCTCATAATTGGAAAGGCAGTACTTAAACTGCTGTTCATGGAGCTGGTCAAATTTCGCCCGCAGGAGCTCTCGCCATGGCTGGTCTTCTAGTAGTAGCTCCTCCGCCTGCAGATCGACTGTCAGATTCAATGCCTGGCCTCGGTATCTGAGATCCACATGATAGGCGATGTTCAGCTGTATCGGACGGTTTGCGTTGGATCTTTGCATGGCTGCCCGGCTTGCCTCTTCGAGCTCATCAAATCGGTCCTTCACCTCTTGTGCTGTTGTAGCGGAAAGTAGGCGGATGAAAGAGGATGACTGAGAGTAGCTCAGCCGAGTAGTCGCATCCCCCAAGGCGCACAGAGTACCTGGCGAAGGGGGAACAATGACCGGCCAAGCGCCGAGAAGCTTGCCCACGGCATTGGCATGAAGGGGTCCTGCACCTCCAAAAGCGACAAGAGCGAAATCCTTCGGGTCATAGCCTTGTTCGACCGACACGAGGCGCAGGGCTCCGTACATGGTCTCGTTCACGAGCCTGATAATGTCCTCGGCGGTCTGGGTAACCGACAGCTTCATCTGTTCCGCGATGTTCCCGACCGCGGCCGTTGCAGCCTCCACGTCCAGAGTAAATTCGCCTCCCAAGAGGTTCTCGGGCAGGTATCCCAGCACAAGGTTGGCATCCGTGACGGTGGCTTCGGCCCCTCCCTTGCGGTAGCATGCGGGTCCCGGGCTGGCGCCTGCGCTCTCCGGACCAACTCTCATGGTTTCAGTGATGCTCATGTATTTCGCAATGGAACCGCCTCCTGCTCCCACGGTCCGGATGTCCACGGCGGGCGACCGAACGGTGAGTTGGCCGACCACGGTCTCGCGACGAAGCTGAGGCTTCCCTTGGTTGATCAGCGCGCAATCCGTCGACGTGCCGCCCATGTCGAAGGTGATCAGATTCTTATAGGGAGTGTTTCGCGTGACGACGTCGGCGACCCCTTGTACTCCTCCAGCTGGACCAGACATCAGAATATTGACGGGCAGCTGGCCCGCCAGCTCCAAGCTCGTCAGACCGCCGTCCGACTTGAGGATGCGGATTGTATCTCCATCCTCCGCCAGTAGGCCCTGCAGGTTACCGAGATAGCTCTGAACCACGGGTTTGACCAGTGCATTGGTGCAGGTGGTCACTGTTCGCTCGTACTCGCCTACTTCTCTGAGAACGTCGCTTGAGCAGATCACAGTCACATCCGATCCAAGCTCCTCGCGGACGACATTCGCCACCAAAGTTTCGTGCTGGCTGTTGCAGTGCGAGTTCAGCAATGATATCGCCACAGCCTCGGGCCGTTCCTTCACCCAGGCCTTTAGATCATCACGAAGCGCATCCGTATCCACGGCAACAACTGTCTTGCCATCCACCGACATGCGCTCCTGACACTGGATTACACGCTCCAGGGGCACGATCGGCTCCGGGGGAGTATAGTGCAGCCAGGCACCCAGCCCACCAGGTATCTGGGACCGGCGAACCGCCAGAATGTCTTTGTGCCCAGAAGTCACGATCAGGCCGGTCCGTGCTCCTTTGCCTTCGAGAACCGCGTTGGTGGCGGTGGTAGTACCATGGTGGATGAATTGGAACTTCCCATCCCAGGAGTAGCGTTCTTTGAGCGTTTGGTGCACCTTCTTGATTCCGGCCTTGACCCCAATGCTTTGATCTTCAACAGTGGTCGGAACCTTGGCTCTTGCAATCTGGCCGTCAGGCGTGAAGGCGTAGACGTCTGTGAAGGTGCCGCCGACGTCCACTCCGAGCCGGTATCCGTCTTGGTTGGCGTTACGTGGCATGATAGGCGAAAAGGAGCTAAAGGAGAGAAAAATCAACTGCAACCGGTTCCAGAGCAGTTTATCTCATCCCAGTACGGACTGAATATATATATCTCAACTCCGAGAGCAAGAGACTATCCCAATGACCAAATCCAGGTAACCAGATTGAACATGCAACAGAATTCGCAGACAGGGAATGGCCCCTCTTCCAACAGAAAGGAAAGCAGAACAATCCCCTACAAATCCAGAAAGAATAATAATAACCTCGGCGTCCCGCAAGCGGGAGGGGGGAAAAACATTATTGAACAGGCGCATTGCAGGGATCGGCCCGCCCAGCGCCCTAAGGCACATGCTAACGGTTTAGTAGATGCAATTTTTCAGATAGTGCTATGCGCGGCTGTGTTTTAGTGGCCAATGGCCCCTCCCACCGATTTAGCGACGAATATCCTGGTTCAAATTCATAATCCTGCGACAAGGGCATTACCCAGATAATCGTCTTGCATTAGTCTCTCAGCCATAAGGTTCTCTGTGGGCCTTGGAAGTTAATTCGCCTCCATGACCAAGGGCCACGGGATAGCGAGCAATAATTGACCATTCGGATAAATGAATTGGCATCTAGAACATACCGCTAAGTGGGTCGAAGGACCAGCTGTGCTCTCAAGCGAGGACATGCTATCGCAAAATTCCGAGCTTGGGGATTTGGGTAAAGTATCGAACCTGTTTATATAAGGCTCCCTTCGCTAGCTTGGGAAAAAGCAAAAAGAAGGAAAAAAATAAAACGAGACAACGGTAGAATACGCTTCCGGTATCGCCATGCTAGACAAACAGCAGGCAGAGGCCCATGGGGCGTACGATTCTGAACAAGCAAGCCCAGGCGCGGTGGCATTCGACGAGGAAGGGGAGGTTTTCAAGAAGTCAGCTTCTGGGGTCAACTTCCGCCAGGTGGGTTGGTTCAACGCGGCCGTGATCTTCACCAAGATCCTTTTCGCGACAGGGGTGCTCTCGCTGCCGTCGGCGCTGTATTCGCTGGGAGCCGTGGGGGGCTCGATCAGCATTGTGGCCTGGGGATGTTTCAACACGTACTGTTTTGTCATCCTCGGTAACTTCCGCATGAGACACCCTCACTGCCACTCGATTGCCGACATGGCTCAGGTGGCCGGGGGCGTTGTGGCCAGGGAGGCAACCGGCCTGTTGTTCATCATTGCCTATGTGCTGGTGACGGGCAGCGGCATCGTGGGCGTGTCAACGGCGCTGAATGCCCTCTCGCACCACGGAGCCTGCACCGTCTGGTGGTCATTCCTGGCCGCCGTGGTGATCACCGCAACGGCCTCGATCCGCAAACTTGAGCACGTCGGTTGGTTGACCTACGCAGGATTCCTGTCCATTTACGCCGCCGTGCTCATTGTGGTGATCGGGGTGACCACGCGAGACCGGCCAGCCGCTGCACCACAGGAAGGCCCGTACGAGCTGGGCTTCGTCGCCATTAACAACCCAGGCTTTGCCGCCGGCATGGTCGCTTCCTGTACCATTTTTGTCTCCTCAGCCGGTACCAGTGCCTTCCTGCCGGTCATCTCCGAGATGCGGAACCCAAAAGACTACAAGAAGCCGCTGTATGCCTCTATGTCGCTGGTCACCGCATCGTACCTCGCCTTTAGTTTGGTCGTCTATCGCTGGTGTGGGAAGTGGGTGGCGAGCCCATCGCTTGGGGTGCGTATCCATTGCTCTCCAACCTTTTGTCCATGTCCCTTGAGCAGTCGATAACAGCCGCATATAGAGTGCTGGACAAACGATCAAGATGGTGTCATATGGTGTGGCCTTGATCGGACTGATCGTGAGCGGCACCCTCTATCTGCATGTAAGAGTCCCCAGATACCTGCCCGCGCATGGTCGGTCGTAGCTGAACCGGCGCTCGTGTAGATCGGKGCAAAGTACGTCTTCGTCCGGATCCTCGGGAATTCGCGCCATTTGCAGGCCAACACTATCGTTCATTGGGGCACCTGGTTCGCCAGTACGATCGTCCTCGGCGCACTCGCATTTATTCTGGCGGAGGCGATCCCCATATTCAATTACCTGATTGCGCTCGTGGGATCGGTGTGTTTTGCCCCTCTGGCCATGAGCCTTCCCGGTTGGTTATGGTTGTACGACCACGGCCACTACAGGAAGGGGACGTTGATCCAGAGGGTCGTGTACCTGCTGCATTGCGGCCTGGTGATTCTGGGGCTCTTCTTCCTAGTTGGGGCGACGTACGGCGTTATCGTCCAGATCGTCGACGCATATAGCTCCGGAGCAATAGGTAGGTGTCCGAGATTTGCCAGTCATGGGATTACTGCTGACAACATCTGGTAGGATCGGCATTCAATTGTCGCGATAACTCGAATTCGTCTTGACCGGGTCAGAAGCTACTTGCGACCCACCTGGGGCGTAGAAATCTGCGTAAAGATCTCCACTGAAGGTTTGCTCGTGCTCTGAGGCCGTGTCTTCTACTTCAATACACTCTTTTATGGAGAAGGCATTTGTTATGGTGTATTAGTTGAGTATATGGCCTGTTTGAGTTCTATCCCTTGTAGACAGTATGTCTAGTGGGCCTTGTGCACAGCTCCTGGGAACCCCTGGTATTATAGAGGTTTCTATGTTTAAGTCTAGTTGCCTAATATTCATGCCCTGTAATCGGTTCTTAAATTCCAGGAGTTCACTTGCGTGGAGAATATACAGCTGGCAGGCAGCTTGACTTATTACAGAGCTTGTCTCTCCCAGCTCAAATGCCGCGAGAACGACGACACACGGGAAGTTGCCCACTAATACTTGCTTGCAGCAAAACAGCGCAATTTGCAGGTCTAGCAAGTCCGTATGCACTAACAGCTTTCGTTGCGCTTTCTTTAATGACGCTAGGTGTTTGTATTAACCCACCGGGGGCCAGCAAAAATCATCATCACGACAGGCCATGTGGACCTCAGTTGCGCTACAATCTAGCCAATTGCATCTGGCTCAATGGAGACGTCAAGGACGACCAGTCGGTTTGTTAGCGGGTTGGCGGACACGTTCCGCGAAGATCAATACCTTCTAAGGATTTGCGCTACAGGGATCTAGATCCTGGGGCCATCCGCCTGTGCCGTCATTTATCTAGTGCTCTTGGCTGCGAGGGATATTTGATGAACATGGCGATCTCTCTATAACTAGTTAATCGAAGGAAGGGGACTAAATTTGCGGTGGAGCTAGCGCGTTGATGGCGCCACTACCAAGAACCTATACACACTCGTAGTCGTAGGAGATCTGGTGGAACGGAAAATAATCCCAGACTCGTGGTTGCGTTTCTGTTGCTTCCCGCACCTTGTGTCCCCAGTCCAAGGCATGAAACGCGATGGACAACCCTGTACTTATGGATTCCCTAGCCATTTCTCCATTCATATACGTTCGGTCACCTATCCATTTCCTGTTCTTATGTGTTTGTTCCTCCTCTTTCTCAATGGCCGTGCTGCCCGAGCCTCACGCACAGATTCTCCCCTGAACCGTTTACGCACCACTCTGGTGGTTGGAGATACCACTACTCGCTATCTACAGCCTTGCTTGCGGGCCCCAGATGATCGAAGAACCAGTGATCCCGCCACCACCTGGGGCCGTGTCCAATTTGGCACATCCTGAAGACGTCCTTCATACGGTGAATCTAGCAACTCAAGTGTTGTGTATGATCATTGTGACTATCACAGTGCTGTTGCGTGTCTTTATCAGTGCGCACCTTCGGAAAAGCCTGGGACTAGAGGACTGTAAGTCGACCACTATGATACCTGATCGTTGCTAAATAGTGACTGACCATTGTCTCCGCAGATTTGACAATTACAGGATGGGTATGACCCTCGACCATTTATCTTGAATTTGTTGAATTTATATCCATGCCGTGACAGGTACTGTTCGTTGGGTTTTGTGCCAACATGCTTGTGCGTACGTATAGCCAAAGACCAAGTAAGCTGGTGAACGATATTGACGGAGACAGTTAATGCCTATGGTGGTGGATATCACGCCTGGGATGTTCCTAAGAGCAAATTCATCCATTTCCAGAAGGTAGATAGACCATCCGGCAGACAGAAACCCCAGCAAGTACTAATGCTGACCCGAGTCAAGGCCTCGTACGCGATCACGCTCATCTACGTTCCCATGGTGTTTGTTGTCAAGCTGGCCCTGCTCTCCGTAATGCTGCGGATCTTCGCCCCGGACCCGCACAAGGTCATGATCATCTACGCGAGCATCATCGTGCTTCTGCTCTACTACATCCCGGCCTTATTTATCAAGATCTTCTTCTGCAAGCCGATTTCCGCATATTGGCAAGGCACCAGCCACGGCACCTGTATCGACCAACAGAAGGTCATCATAGCCGACTCGGCCATCAGCATTGCCAGCGACCTTTGGATCCTCATTCTTCCAGTGCCGATGCTGTGGTCGCTACAGATGTCGATAACCAAGAAACTACGGGTCCTCGGCATTCTGGGGGCCGGAGGACTCGCCACTGCTTTTAGTATCTGGCGCTTGGTCATTATGGTCAGGGAGGCACGGACAGCGGACACAACATGGTTTTGGATTCACTGCGTGTTGACTGCGTATGTGGAATGTCCTTCGTCCCCCGTTACCGTGACTGATGATCTCTTAGCAATGCGGAAGCGGGTATTGGACTGATCTGTGCATGTCTGCCCGTTTTGAGCTCGTATGTCGTCTCTATGAAGAACAAGAGCCGAAAGTCCACGCGCGGCAGTTACCAGCACAGTCACGAGCTCAGTAGATGGAACAAACTCTCCAGCTCAAAGAGGAGCGCCAATCACGACTCCTTGCTCATGACACAGACTGACCAGGCGCAGCTCATCTCGACCGTCGAGAGCAGTGAGCCGCAACAGGAGTCGACGGCAGGTCTTGAAGAGAGCTACCATCCGCCGGATCGTCCCGTCATCCACAAGGAGGTTGTTATGTCGCAGAGCTACGAAGTGGTAAAATAGCCCCTGATCATGGTCATCTCGTTTGTGTATACCTGGCCGACTGTCGTGGTATTACAGACGAATGACAGATTCGGGTGTGCTTCAGGAGACGCGAGCATCTTGAGAGCAGAGGACGTGATCTGCCGGAACGACCCCGTATCTAGCAGCCACAAAATAAGATGGTCAACTGTTATGTTGGAACGAACAAAATCAAGCTTGCAATCGTCACCAGTTGTCCTCAGTCATAGTTGCGAGCACTCGTAGAAGTGATTGCCGAATCCAAGCTGGCTCAAATACTGCAGCAGAGTTATGTGAGCAGCGTACCTCCCACAATCTCCAGCATGGCAACGATCGAAATTAAGCTCAAGTGCGCGTTTTACTCTGCAACCGTGACCCTTCATGATTTCTGACAGGCAAAGCCCCGGGTGTGCATTTTCCCAACGACCAGATCTCTTTAGTCTCTTCCCAGCTGGCTATAGAGCCGAGGGCAGCAGCACTGCTTATATCGCGGCAAAGTTGGACAACCGGGGTCTTTCTTGCTCTCCACGTCAGTCCAACCCGACCAGGGCAATGAGAATGTGCATGAAAGACGAGAGTACCTCTGGTAGTATCAAACCCAGAACTACAGTAGTATTAATTACTAATAGCTCTTCGCTTCTATTTATAAAGCCTTGTATAAGAACACCGAGCTATCACATATACACACGTATTCTGGCTATATTCTAGCTTGAAATTGGGATTTAATATTCAGCCTTTTTCCTTTGAGCAACTAAAAACGGCAACAATCATAAACAATAGGAGAAAGTCGAGGCAATCTCCTATGAGAGAGAGAGAGAGAGACAAGAATGATAAGCTTGAAGTTGAATAGTGTCGTCTGTCAACATTCAAGAGACAGGTAAAGTTGCCTCGCTTTATTCCTCAGGCTCAAAAGCCTCCTCCTCCTCGGCATACTGTTGCTCCTCTCCGTCGGAGATACTCGCATCCTGATATTGTTGATATTCGGACATCAGGTCATTCATGTTACTTTCTGCCTCGGTGAACTCCATTTCGTCCATGCCCTCGCCTGTATACCAATGCAAGAAGGCCTTGCGGCGGAACATGGCTGTGAACTGGGTCGCCACGCGCTGGAAGAGCTCCTGGACGGAAGTGGAATTGCCCACGAAAGTGGCAGACATCTTCAGGCCCTTTGGAGGCACAGAGCAGAGTGCTGTTTGAACATTATTTGGGATCCATTCCACAAAGTAACCGGAGTTTCTGGTATGGATATTGTGCATCTGATCATCGACTTCTTTCATGGAGATCTTGCCGCGGCTGAGTCTTGATTAGCTTTGTCTCCGATTCAGAATGAGGGGGGGGGAAGCTTACAAGAGTGTGGAGCAGGTCAGAAAGCGGCCGTTTTGAAAGTTGCAAGCTGTCATCATATTCCGGGCATCAAACATCTGCTGTGTGAGTTCTGGGACAGACACTGCGCGGAAGGAATTGGCTCCTCGGCTGGTCAATGGAGCAAAGCCCACCATGAAGAAATGCAGCCGGGGGAAGGGAACCATATTCACGGCCAGCTTCCGAAGGTCGGAATTCAGCTGCCCAGGGAATCGGAAGCTGGCAGTGATGCCGGACATGACCGTCGAAACGAGATGGTTGAGATCACCATACGAAGGAGAAGACAGCTTCAACGTACGTGTACAGATATCATAGAGCGCCTGTCTTTGTTAGCTCGCCTCGACGTGGAATCACCAGGACTTATACCTCATTGTCGATGCAAAAAGTCTCATCTGCGTGCTCGACCAACTGGTGGATTGAAAGGGTCGCATTGTACGGCTCCACCACGGTATCAGAGACCTTTGGGGATGGCAGGACCGAGAAAGTTGCCATCATCCGATCGGGAAATTCCTCCCGTATCTTGGAGATAAGAAGCGTGCCCATGCCAGATCCAGTCCCGCCGCCCAGAGAATGGGTGATCTGGAATCCTTGCAGATAGTCACAGCTCTCCGCTTCACGGCGAACAACATCAATGACTTGGTCCACCAGCTCTGCACCTTCAGTGTAATGACCCTTGGCCCAGTTGTTGCCCGCACTGGACTGCCCAAACACAAAATTATCGGGTCGGAAAAGGCTGCCGTGGGGGCCGGAGCGAATGGCATCCATTGTTCCCGGTTCCAGGTCGACAAGGACGGCTCGAGGGACGTATTTGGAGTTGCCGACCTCATTGAAATAGACATTCATCCGCTCCAGCTGTTGATCGGATGTGCCATTGTACCTATGTTAGTGTCAGATAGATCGTAAGCGACAGCGACCGGATGACTGACATGCCGGACTCATCGAGACCGTGTTCGCCGGAGATGGTTTGCCTGGACCATGTCAGAGATAAGAACGGTAGAATTAGGGAGTGATCAGCATTATGGAGCTATGCTGGGTACTCCGTATGACGGCTGAATTACCAGAAGGCAGCACCAACTTGGTTACCCTGCAAATGAGTGTCGCAACTTAGCAATCCTTCAATTTCTCCATGAGACCCGGAATTGACTCACGCATTGGCCGGTTTGAAGATGAACCTTTATTTACGTAATCGAGATCAGAGTCAGCGATCTCGACGGCAGGCAATTCCGATGTCAGTGAGCGAACTCACAATTTCACGCATGTTGGCGGGCAGACACGAGTACCTAGGCTCAAGAATGAAGGTGAGGCAATTTCAGGAGATTCTCGTAGGATAGGAGAACAAGAGGTGTTTGGAAGTGGGAGGTCGGGCATCCATCCTTAAAAGACGGACTAGTGATTTGCACGCCGCTAGTAAGATACAGGCATAAGGTAGATACGGTATGGATCGAATATCTGATATCATGTCAGGCCTGCATTGAGGCATTTCTTAACGCGACCTGCCATTCGTGGAAAATAATCCACTAGCTGACTAGCAATGATTATGAACTGGAAGATTGGACAACGAAAACTCATGACAACCGCAGAGTACCTAACCTACCTTAGTATGGAGGTATGGATGTACCTTAAATATATATATATATATATATATGTTCATCCACTATCTACACTGGTAATATTAATTGTATGAATACTCTGGATAGCAGTCCATTGGTGATGGTTTATAAGTTATGTACTCAAATATTTGCCTCGTTCCTGAATTTGAGTATTATAGAATTAATACAGCTAGACTAAAAAGGTACCGGGAGACTTCGGACAATGTACTCTTAGCCAGCCCAATACGTATAATGATCTGTCCAATAGAAAGATTGKCCATCACCGAAACCCTGCTAGCCACAAGCAGTCATGACCGAGCGTCAGCGATCCAATTTTGATGACCAATTGGTGCAACAATCTTGAGGCTCAACTTTAGCTTTCTAGAGGAGGTAGATCATGGACTCGCCCCAGTTGACACGGAAAGAGGCGCCACCCGTCATCTGCTATAGTGCTTCCTGGCGCATCTGAGAGTCATGACATCTTAAATACACTGGTAGGAAGTGGAGGAGACTATATCATAGTGTGTGGGTCAGCGTCTGATATTGCCTCAACTTACTGGTGAAACACAGATACAACACTAAACATTGAAAGACCTCGCGAATCATCGTGTGCGGCCAGCCGCCCCCTAGTCTAGGTAACCACGCTAGCAGCCCCAGTAGACAATGAACACCTTGCTTTTAAATTTCTACTCTTTCATCTTTTGAGATCATCAACATTTGTTTCTTTCGCATTCCCCGTCTTTTGCGTCGCGCCCCCTTCATCATCGCCGCAATGGCCGCCTCTCCTGCAGCTTTGGCCCCGGCCGCCCCTGAGAAGAAGCTCGAGGGCCTTGGCCTCTACGCTCGGTTTGCTTTTGCCGGTGCTGTCTGCTGTTCGGTCACCCACGGTGCCTTTACACCGGTTGATGTGTATGTTGTTTAACAGCTTCAGCTCTGCTATCGGGTATTCCCGACTTCTGATGCTCCTACAGTGTCAAGACGAGGATCCAGCTTGATCCAGCGACCTATAATCGTGGTATGATTGGTGGTTTCCGTCAAGTCATCCAAAATGAGGGCGCTGGTGCTCTCTTGACTGGCATTGGCCCAACCTTTGCTGGTTACTTCATGCAGGGCGCCTTCAAATTTGGTGGTTATGAGTTTTTTAAGCAGCAGTCCATCAACATTCTTGGTCTTGAAAAGGCGCGTCAGAACCGTGCGGCCGTTTACTCTGTCTCGGCTGCCTCCGCTGAGTTTTTCGCCTCTATCGCTCTCTGTCCTCTCGAGGCTACACGTATCCGTCTTGTCTCTCAGCCTGGCTTCGCCAATGGTCTGATTGGTGGTTTCGGCAAGATTCTCAAGAATGAGGGCGTTGGTGCCTTCTACCGTGGTTTTGGTCCTATCCTCTTGAAGCAGTACGTTCCATGGTCCTGATGATAAGATTAGAAATACGATGATAACTGATATGATGCAGGGTGCCCTACACAGTGACTAAGTTTGTCGTTTACGAAAAGGTCGCTGAGGCCGTTTTTGCTCGCCTTGACAAGTCTAAGCTGTCGAATAGCGCCCAGACTGGTGTTAACTTGGGATCTGGTCTCATTGCCGGTTTCGCTGCTGCCATCATTTCTCAGCCTGCTGATACTATGTTGTCCAAGATCAACAAGACCAAGGGACTTCCCGGGGAGAGCACCATCTCMCGTCTTGTAAAGATTGCTGGTGAGCTGGGTCTTCGTGGCTCCTTTGCTGGTCTTCCCACTCGTCTGTTTATGATTGGTGGTCTTACCGCTGGTCAATTCGCCATCTACGGTGACATTAAGAAGGCTCTTGGTAAGTCCGGTTACTTTCTTGGTTCCCTGACTAAGGCTGACTTTGTATCCTAAGGCGCCACCAATGGTGTTGAGATCGCCAAGTAACAAGCTATTACGGGCATTCCAAATCGCATGGTTTAGACAGAAGATGAGCTGCTTTGGTATAGAGATAGACGTAGCCCGATCTAGGGATCTTCCTTTGCCTGCACTTCCTCCTTTACCAAGTTGCAGGCCCTGTAAGCCCTCCTCGAAGATAGTATGTAAGCATAACAGGCCGGTATAACAGCGTACCGTGTGGCAAGCATTATCATCCTCTTTCAGTGGCCGTAATAGATTATGTATTATAGCTTCGACAACAATATAGATCCAAAGCAAACCCAAACATTCGTAAGTGAAATTAGATGTCTCCCTTTCGAGCGAGCTCCCTCATGGCACTAATTGTACCCTCAACAGCCACCTTACTCATCTTCTTTTCCCTTTCCCTCAACACAGCCAGTTCCTCCTCTGAAGCGCCTGGGTGCCTCCACTCAAAGACATACGTCATATACAGCTCCCCCTCCGCACCTTCGCTGACAATGTTACTGACGGTACTCCCATCAGGTTGGACAAAATCAACGCGCGAGTCTTTGTGGGCCGTCACAGTCTCTTTGACTTTCCGCTGGTCTTGGCGGAAAACCACTTCACGGATGGTGACGGGATTTCCAGCTTCGTCAACAGATTCACTGAGGACTGACGTTGACTGAATGCCGGCTGGAACGAATGTCTCTGCAGAGCGGATCTTGAGGAGCAAACCAGCCCAGATCTGACTGCGGGTGAGGATTGATTCGGACCCAGGAGGATTTATTGGAGAAGTGAAAGCTATATTGTTTGTGGGGCAGACCATTTTGGCAAGATGTGATCGCTAGTCGATGTGATTGATTGAACAAATTCTGATGAAGGAGACCTAGTCTATATAGGTAATCAATACCCCGCTATAATCGTCCCTTAAGGCGGTTAGAAGTTGGGCTTACAAAGCTGTCGCTGCTTCGGACCGCGAGTGCTGACAAGCTGAGTAAGGTAATTCACGCACGGCCCCATCAAGCCTTATGTCATTATCGTTATCGAGCGGTCAGAATCAAACGGTCCAATTTCGGGCATCCACTGATAGGGCTCAAGCAGATTAAGAAGCTGGTGGACGCTGAGGGTCTACATGTACCCAATGAACAAAGGAGACGTCAAACTCCAATATCAAAGAAAATCCTTGATGGGATGGGGCAACCGAAGAGGTAAAAACCGTCAGACCAACCCTTTCAGGTTTCGAGGCCTAATTATTTGAATATACTGTTATACATTGTATGAGCAGATTTAACAATTATAGACTGCCTAACGCATCTTCCATAGCTGGATTTCAATAGATAGGCTACATCAGGTTAATAGAATCTTGGTTGATTGATTGGTTAAAGTATGACGCTTTCTATCGCGACCAGTTCAAAGTCTGCTTTGCTGGATGTGAATATGGTTATGTTATCGATATTGAAGGGCCGCAGACTGCACTGGCGTGTACGAATGGGTATGCCCTGGAGTCGTGCGTCTAGTTCGGCCAGGTACCTGAGTCCTCCGACGGGTAGATAGACAGTGGTTCTACGGACTCTAATTTTCCCAAGTGGGTTACCCAGAGATAGCCTGAAACAGACGATCCCTTCATTGGCTAATACAGGATCAGCTTAGATGCTCGTATTTTAGGTTAGCATGGGAAGCGCATCCACCCACCAGGCGTCCAGGCCTATCTAGTGCCTCGTATTCTGCGTTGGTTCGTGGGATTCGCTTGCCGCATTGTGATCAACCCAGATCTTTCTTATTATTAGAGCATCTAGAACTTATATTTTACTTCCCCCCACTTGTCTGTCTGGCCTTTGTCACATTTGCCAATACGGTGATAATGGGAAAAATCACCTTCTACTGCAACATCTGCGGTGGGCCACTGTCCTGCTATGATCTCCGAAAGGCTTCCACCGCCTGGGAAGGCGAAGACCGAAGCCTTTGTTACGATGATGAGTGTAACTGCGGGGCTCAGACCAGACAAGAGGCCGAAGACGATGAGGACGGAGAAGATGACGAGAACTCTACCGTGGAATGTGGACACGATAGTTATTGCGCATCCCTCATGGGATACAGCAGGGATTTGGTATCTGAGAAGGATATCATGGTATGTTAACAGTCGACATAGGAATCTTGTGACTGACTCTTGCTAGTGGCTAGAGAAAGTGAGAATGCTGCGTCCTAGGGATTGCAGGAGTGACAAGCACAATCGAATGCAGGACGATGACGATGCATACTATCTCACTGAAATTGTAAGTCCATAAATGTTGGGCTGTAGAGGTGTCCATCGTCATGTCCGTGCCTGTGCCTGATGAATTCAAGGGCACCTATGATCCGTGGTATGGACTCACAGTCCCTGGCGAAAAGACAGGTAGCAGCGATAGAACGCTATGGGCCAATCTGGATGGCTTTTTTCTACATGATACCTGCTGGCAGATGCTTCAACTTGTACATCAAACTGTGGGTTCGAGCTCGCAGCCATTGGGCCCGCGCCGGGTGTATCTCGCTATGCAGGCTCGATTAAAGCATACCATGGACAATTCCATCGACTGGGAGGACAGTAGAGTCTATGGTGGTACGGAGGACTTTCAAGCGCAAGAGTGGGAAGCGGAGCCAGGGTATGAGGTAAGACTACCTAAATGATGCTCAAGCGCGCACTCTCCGTGCATCAAAGTATGAGCTGACGCATTTCAGTGGCTAGTTGCGGACCCGTTGAAGCCAGTCGACACCTCTGATCTCATTTCTGCCTCAAAGTGTTCGAACCCAGGCTCATCGAATGCAATTGTAAACGTGGGTGCGTTAGAATTGTCTGGTGTAGATCCATTGTCAAGTCTACCGTGGGACCTCCGCTACAGGGTGTTGCAGATGCTTCCATCGCCGTCCGTCATCAATCTGGTCATTGCCAGTACCGCATTTCGTGGAGCTGCACGGGCCTTACCCGATCACTTCTGGAGGTTACGTCTGGGCTACGATTGCCCATGGATCGACCAAGACTCAGTTCGGCAAAACCTTGCCCAAGCAGCTGGGCAGGTTAATTACAAGGATCTGATTCGTCTCATCAAGGAAGCTGCAGCAGGGCCAGGAGACGGAGAGAACGAAACACAGGATAGCTGGTTGAACCTGAAAAATCGCCGTCGGATCTGGACCTGCTGCGAGGTTATCCTCGAGAAGTTGGAAAAGGAAGCAAAATTGAGGGTCCCGTCTTAAAATGCAAAACATGGCGAGCATCCGGCTAACGTCAACCAGCGAATCCCTAAGAAACTCTGAACCTTATTCGCTCTAACTTCCGTCGACCCCCCGTAATATGTGGTGTGAGAGTGTGTATTTGGGATCAAGACCTAGTGTCCGAATAGCTTGGCATAGAAGAGAGCCTGGCATGTACCGGACCCAACTTGAGCAACAAGTCCTGGTAGCTGTTTGCGCCAGCATGATAATGAAAAATCAAGTTAATGAGTAAATTCGTTATACGAGAATGCTCGTTTAATAAACATAACGGGTGAGCGAGCCGCTGCTGGTGAGGCCGAGTCTATTAGTCGGGATGGACCGAAGGGCCGGAAGGTACCTGTGCATGCCGCTCGACCCTACTACACCTAAGCCAGCAGCTTTGCCGGATTTAGCAAGATGCTTAGGCAATGGAATGCCATGGACTAATCTAATCAATTAAGGTTTTTGTGGCAGTTACTTGGCAGCTGAAAATCCACAAGTTGAGGTTGTTTGGCTGAGAACTATAAGGTTCGTGCGCACACTATGGCAAGGCCTTAAAAAAGAAATGCCACGCTAAATGTTGGGTGTAGGTACTTAAACAGTTAACCGCTTCCTTTATTTTAACCATCTCTTCCTTTGTTTCCTTTTCATTTTCAGTTCACTTCACCAAATTTTCCAGAAACACTATAAAAGAAAATAACAAAGAAATACACTACTCCTGCTAGTACTTCCCTCATGCCGTTTCTCGGCCTACCAAATGAACTGCTGGAAATTATAGCAGCAAATCTTCAATTTGAATGCGACGTCAATGCACTGGCAAAGACTAATCGGTCACTATACAATCTACTGAACCCATATCTCTACCGTTTCAATGTGCAGCAGAGAGGAAGCTCAGCCGTATCCTGGGCTGCAGAACGTGGCCGGCCGGAAACACTACAAAAACTCATTCAGGAAGGGGCGAATCTCAATATAAGGGTCGAGAGGCATGCAGTCGCCCAGCCGCTCCTTACGGCAGCCATGGAAGGACACATAGGGGTAGTCAAAGTATTGCTCGATCACGGTATACCTCCGGATCAAATACACGACCCCGCGGATAACGAGGACGAAACAGGCTATGACCAAACCCGCCTAACAGCAATGGGATGGGCAGCGGCCAGGGGACATAAAGACGTGTTCGAATTGTTGCTCGCAAGGGGGGCAAGCCCAACATGGAAAGAACCATACAAAAAAGAGTCCATTCTAATGTTGGCAGTGGAAGGGGGAAATCCAGACATTGTCGGGCGCCTAATTGAGGTGGGTTGTGAAGTAGATGCTCGAGATAGTGATGGAGTAACGGCGTTAGCACGTGCAGCACGCTATGGGGATGTGGAAGTGGCTCAAGCGTTGATTAACCATGGAGCTGATCCCGAGTCTCGAGATCAACGGGGTGAAACGCCGATCTTTTGCGCGGCCGAAAGAGGCCATCAGAGAATGGTCGAGTTCTTGCTTGGGAAGGGAGTTGATCCCAATGCCAGAAACAACGGTCGTCAAAGCCCATTATCTACGGCCGCAGCACAGGATCGACGGCCATGTGTTGCGCTGCTACTGGAGCATATTGATATAGAAAATGAGATCGCAGCAGGTGGTCTGGAAGCATATACTGTACTCACGTCAGCAGCCGCATTTGGCCACGAGTCGGTAGTGGAGCAGTTGCTTAAAAAAGGTGTCGACCCTAATTCAAGAGGGGCTACGTGGAGTGAATGGTTTGTTGGAGGACGCACTGCCCTATCATGGGCAGCAGAGAAGGGTTATTATGAGATTGTTCACATGTTGCTAATCCATGCAGCTGTCGACCTTTGCCCCGAAGACGATGACGACTTACCTCCGCATATATTGGCAGCAGGCAATAATCACAAAGAAATAGTGGCGCTGCTGCTTGATAGGGGAGTGAACGTCAATATGACCCACACTTCAAGTGGGCACACAGCGCTGTCTAAAGCCGCCGACGAATATGCGGACAGTGTTGTTCAGCTACTGCTTGAGAGAGGAGCGGATCCAAATCATCAGATATCCGACGGACGGACACCTCTCTTCTTGGCAGTAATGGGTGGTAATGTATCGTCAGTCAAGATGCTGCTTGATGCGGGTGCAGACCCTGACTCCGAGATCAACTGGACCCGATATGGAGAAGATGAAAGCTGGACACCTCTACAATTTGCTGCCATATCTTCTAGAAATGAAGCTGGGGCGATCGTCAAGTTGTTATTCGACTACAGTGCGAAATGTCGAGACATTGACAACATCTCCAATCATGAAGTGCTGTTTACGGCTGCAAAAAATGCGAGGGCCGGAGTTGTCAGGGCCTTCTTGGAACAAGGCTTTTGTTCTGGAACCAGGGGCGATGCACACAATCGCCACCGTTTATTGTTATGTGCGCTGGAATCCACGGGCTCCAGAGACATCATATGCTTACTCCTGGAAGAATATGGTTTTGATGTACATTTTCAAGATAATGAGGGTCGAACGGCATTATGTTGGGCAGCCATGGTGGGCAGCCAATTTGAAGTCAGGTTGCTTCTTACAAAAGGTGCAGATCCCCTTCATGAGGATAAGGAGGGTCACCGTGCACTATTCTACGCTATTCGTTCAGCCAACAAACCAGCAACTCAACTTCTTGTTGAATACGTTGATGCTAGGGATCTCAAGAAGGATTATCTTGACGACCCACAAGTCACAACAATGCTTCAAGAGCATCCAGATATACAGAAGGTACTACAGTCTCATTACTGGCGGAAGGTTTACCCTGTGCCTTGACTTAGCAATTCCATGCATTTTGGCCATGTGCTTGCTGTCAACAGGACAGCCAGCATCGGATATCACTTGAGTTTTTAATCGCCATCGGATCTGGACCTGCTGCGAGGTTTCCTTGAGAAGTTGGGGAAGGAAGCAACACTGTGGGTCCGTCTCAGTCGAAGAGCAAATCTGGCATCCGGCAGACCTTAACCAAAGAATAGGGATTACTTAGTATCAGCGCCATAAAGCCTAAGCCATTTACTGTTTGCAGCATGTAGAACATAACAAGTTCGCGTTCTCAGAGGCCTATGTCACAACAGAGAGTTGAATAGTCGTCATGTGGCAATTAATGTATAAGATTTGGGAATTTAGTGGTGTACAGTCACAACATGATTATTCAATGAGAAGATCTCAGCAGTTGAGATAATTAGACCTCCTGTCCTCGCTAACACCTGCTATAACCCCTTCCCGGATGACTCTTCTAGACTATTTCCCAAATGGGATATTATAAAATGATAAGTAATCTTATAGATTAATTATTATTCATTGTTTTGGTAGCTGGAACATAAATGGAGCCATCTGGAGTGTGGAGAAATCCCATGGTTTTCCGAGATAGAAGCTTCGGGTGAATCTATGTTATAGCAAATTAGCTGCCTTGGTACATTGATTCGTTCTAGAGCTACAAGTTATGTAGGGTTCATTGCCCCGACGAGCCGATGGCGCTCGTAACTGGACTAACACACCACCCCGCTTGCTTGATCTAAGGGTTGTTTTATCAAGTTAGTCAAACATGATTTTCTGAAAAGTTTATTTCTGTCTTTAGCTAGGTATCTACCATCCATCCCATGATATATCTCCTTCCAGGAACTCCGTGATTGACGTCATGCATAGAGACTATGTAATCCAACACTACCCTACCTAGTCAGCACTCCACATTGACAGCCTACTAGGATATATTTAATCTTCATGAATTCATTATTGGTAGCATGTAACCAGACTAGAATAAGCAATATATTGAACTCCTCCGCGTATTTCAATAGACACGGGTGGCGTATAAGCCGGCTATGAAATTGCCAGCCAGGCAGAGTAACTATAATTCCTAATAAACTGCAAGGCCACTGCCATATCTCAATACAACCTTGTTGCTAGTCCTTATTGTCACATATGTCATTACTGCTCTGATTTGCCACCGAATCGGTTGCGGAGAACGTGACGAACGCCGTTATCAATTAAAGAAGCTTCACCAGTGAAGCTGAGGAGTACCATCGACTCTAGAGACTTGGATAGTGAATATAACTATCGGCATCGCTGCATTGTTGCAATAGTATCGACCAGAGTCCTCCAGGTTGGATATGCCAGGACAGGAAAAGAAGTATCTGAACAGTATGATATTCCATTGAGACGTACTCCAATCATTATAGCCTCTGCTTATGCTGTTTATTTTGCTATTGAAGCGCCGAATTGCGCAGGATGTGAGTCGACGAGACCACTTGCTGGAAATGTGCTCGCATTCTCCAACCTTCGGGACCGCAGAGTTCTACTTTTCTGGCTCCTTGAGCTTGCAAGTGCTGTTTCATTCGTTTTCTGGCTCATCGTGGCGAGTTCCGTCTCCGAATATCCCATTACCCTCAATTTTCGACGACTGGGACATACTAATGCAGTCCGGGCTTCCAATTCTTCTGCCGACTCCATCTCGGCCAGTATGCCAGAGTATGGCAGCAGTGCGTTTGCTGCGAAACCCTTTTCAAAGCAGTTATTCGTCGATGTCTGGTTCTCCTTGAGCCTTACAGTGGCAGTAGATGCATTAGCCGTTGTGTCTACCTTTAACCGGCTTTGCTTTAGATATGTTTGAGAAGCGCATGTCGTCCAGTGGGCTGCCCTCTCGATGGGGAACACTCCATGAATACAGCGACAAACTAAGTAGTTCTGATATATCCTGGAGCCGTGCTCTGTTTCTCACGATAAGTGTGGGTGGTGTTGGACTGTTCCTGACAATGTTCATTTCGCCTCCATGGTCGACTTTCGATCCGGTTGTACACATTATGTTTGAGGTACGTCAGTAGGCTTAGTTAATGTCCTTATTAGTTCCCACTAAACCGTTCTTTTGAGTAGGTCGTGTTACTATCGCTGATGAAAGCAACGAGGACGCCTCGGTTTCTTGTGTTATGCTCACCTCCATTCTTTGCCACCATCTGCGTGCATTGGGGCCTAGCACAAGTAAGTACCAACCCGCGCCTTGCTATTCATCCTTGGACCTTTTCGATACTTGGTCTGGTTGGTCGGTTTTTGCTTGATGCGAACCTCATGTCCATTCTTCGACCTCGCTCTGAGCTGCAATGGGCTCGAAAGAACGTCCTCATCTCCACGCGCAGACTCCTGGACATCTATGTAGGAATGATTCTCCTAGAAGATATGGGTGTGAAGGTTATCACCTATATAAAGCCAATTATGGTGCTGATAATCTTTGGTCTGGCATTCACTGGCTTCGTGACGGCTGCTGCATATAGTATTGCTAATAGGTAGCTGTTATAGATCGCGATATAGCCCCAAGCTGGGCAGTCTTCATTTAGTGTTTTATCATTATAATCTTCTCCTGTAGCAGTAAGTGCCTTCCTTGACTTAATTTCATCCTCCAACATCAAAGTGAAGAAAGACAAAGAGAATCCACTTTGCTTCAGCATATGGAGATGCCAAGGAGACTTTTCTCGCGTACAGTAAAGAACTTGCTCAGAACTAGAAACATCATTATGAGGTATACGTGTTTAAATAAACTGAATATATAATTCATGTTCACCTTGTTATACCTACTCCACCTGTTTTAGTACGAATAGCGATAGTGGCCATCTTGTCCAAGCTCAAGTCACAGGTATACATGCTGACTACGACCGCTATTAGTTTTGAAAAGACCATCCAAATAAAGAACGACGTTTGTCCTTTATTTACGGATTGGTACCCATAGCCTTCAGCTTCATCTACGCCACCCTCATCTAAGTCTGTACCAGATGCCGGCCAAGGTAGAGGATGTGTCTCTCCATCCGAGTACGAGTGTCCAAAAGATCCCCCACAATCACTCAAAAGGTATATCCTGCAAATTGGAACACACGAGATTGCCGGCCAATACCCAAGAAATGGCCCATGTGCCTGTGAGATGGTAACGAATCGCTATTGTCGAGTCGCAGCAGCACACATTTGGCTCGCCTGTTCTGCCAGAGGCAAACATCACCCGCCCAGACAATCATTCTGGAAAGGCACATTTTCTCGGCATTCATGCAGGGACTGATGGCCTCCAACGTGAACACCCGGCCCACAATCCTCGCCAGTGGTCCACAAGCCGCTGTTGCACTGGTCACCGCAAGTGTGGCCCTGGCACATGTACAAGCATTTCATAATGGGCCTTCTGGATGGCACGGGTGGAAACAAACTGATACCGTACCAGAAAATACTAGATGATACCTGTAAAGTTGTAGAGCCCTTCAACATACAACCAAACCATACAGATTGATGTCAATATTAGGCAGAAGTATTCCAATCGGGCTAGTCTCTACTAGTCTGCTGCATCTAGTCTGTCTCTGCCCTGAATCAATCCCCGTCGCAGCAATTCGAAAATGTGGTTACGCTCGTCATATTGTCTTCGTAATGTCTCGACGGCTGTCTCATACCCTCCAGCACCACCCTTTTGCTTTCAAGAGGCTCCGACGGTCTCCCCTCACTCTGTCAGCCTTCTCGAGTAGTGGGAACAAAGCTGCAGGGATCGAGACGGGTAGCCAATACTCCGTATTACAAATATGAAAATTGGCCAGTCAGCTCTCTTAATTCTTTGTTCTTTTCTCTCTGTTATCTCGTTTCCGGCGACATTGCTGCTCAAGTTTCTAGTCTGGCTGCAGCATGGTAGAACGGCACGGTTGCTTTTATGCTGTTTGAGCTCGCAATTGACAGCCCATGTAGGTGGTTTTAGGTCAGGTCCATCCCCATCATCTACGGCATTACTTTCGCCGCCAAATCCTCCTTGCTGGTGGTCGAGAGGAGGCGCATCTTCACGCCTAAGGACTAACATTATGGGCCTGAGGCGTTCGCTAGCTTCAACTAAGCTGTGTTGGATGGCTGAAGTTGCTAGTCCTCCGTAGCTCTAGCGAGAGTCTCCTATTTGGTAATCTCATCTGCTCGATCGCAAGCTGCACTCGTATGGAAATATCCGTGGTATCCATGGAGTATGCCTATTGAAGGGGAGATGCAGACATAAAGTAGCAGTGGGATTCAGGAGCGATATACCTAGCAAGGCGCCAAACAGCAGCTTCTCCCTGCATTCCTACTGCTAGATTTTAGGATTTTGTCTTGACGTTCTCTAACGTTTGACGCCCGATACTCTCCAGCCGAACGTCGATGACCTGCTCCATGTCCGTGGAGGCCGGCATTTGTCGGCTTCTGCACACATTATGAGGACTGCCGCACATCTGAGACTATATGGGTAAATCCAGCTCACGCAATGTCTGGTGTACGGAATCAGTAGGTAGCATAGTGCTGCTGGTAACTATATAGTTTATAGTATATAAGATCGAAACTCCACTAATACCAGTATTTGTAATACATCTAACGGGGGGTAATAGCGCAAACAGCCAAGCCACTGCATATGATATTTAGACGTCAACCCCGCGGCCACCTGCACCATTGAACTCGTCTATACTCACCTTCCCGCATCTCATTCTTAAGAATCAGACTACACTCTCGTTTCATCATTCATGGCAGACTCCAAGCAGTCTAGCGACTCCAGCCAACTGCCGCCAGCGTACTCCACGACGGCCACCAGTACACCGATGTCAACCTCCCCTCGTTCGCTCACGCTGACGCTGAGCCAAGACCTCCAACAACCCCCTTTGTTGACGTCCATCAACTTCTCACAATACCAAATCCCAGGCGCTACGTTAACAGATGACCATGTATTGACTGTGACTCGCCGTGAAGAGTTCAGTCGTGATCCAGGCGCCCTTCTGCACCTTATGCAGGAGCAGGTTCAGCTGCCTCCAAAGCTGCTCGTGCAGATTCGTGGCAGACATTCCGAATACGGAGAGACGAAAGATGACTTTGATATCACTCTAAACTTACTGCCGCTGCTGGTGTCAGAGGATGAGCGCTGGTCCTACGTCAAGTTGGACCCGAGCCGCATCACAATACACAACCAGCCTTTGTCCCCCGGGCCACCATACGAGGTGGCCTCTGCAGATCTCGAGACGCTGACCAGGCTGTATTGCGAGGATCCTGCTCCCCTCAAATGGTGAGTCACTTACTAAAACCTAAAGACATCATTCCTGAATTCCCATAGCTTCACGCTCAAGCGCCGGGTGGTCAATTTCGACCAAGAGAGACTTGACGGCTTGATCCGCACCGCTGTGGCCTCGACTCGCTACCAAGGTGTGGTGGAGATCAGCTTTCCCTTGACCTTTGCAGAGGTCGTTGTCCGAGACGGAGACGAGCCGAAGGCTTCGTTCAAGGACCTCTTCTATTGGAGTCTGGAGCCGCCTCCGAAGAAAGATCCCACCAAGCGCTACGAGTGCGTCGAGGTGATCTGGCCGTTTGCGAATGTTCCGTCCAATGAGGCTGGTCGACGGTGTGCCGTCCAAGATGAGCAAGACTGGTGGGCCAGCTGGAAAGACGCCGTGCGAAATGCCATCCTTGCGAGAAGGACGGGCTATGTGACGTTGGAGGACCGCATGGACGTGGCCGTGGGGGTAATTGCGCCTGAGCCGGGCAAGGATTGGGGTGTATCCAAGTAGTTCTGCACTTCCATGGTATTAATTGTATGCTAAGTATATTAGTTCCTTTTATTGAACTCATGTCTCAACCTTTCCTGGGGGAGCATTCTATCAAACTTTACACTGCTATTGTTGGTCTCCTAAACAATAGCGGGACAGATGAATGCATATATCTGATGCTACCTGCTATAGACTTAGCATTGGCCGGCGTCTTCTACCAAGTCTGGAATCGAAGAATTTCCGCGTTCCTGAAAACCCACCGGCGCTGTTGTCGAGACCGGCATTGCAAAAGGGTTTGCTTGCGACCGCTGCAGAGGCCTCAACCTACGAGGCCCGCGAAACTTTGCAGATGAACCTTGTGAACGCTGTCTACCTGTAGACGCTCACTGCGTCACCAGCAGCGGTCGACCGCTGGGTGAACAGCCAGGGACACCGAATCGCACGTCGACATGGCCATCTGTCCAGCTAGTCGTCACCCGCAATACAAACAACAAAGAGGTACCGGAGATCCTCCCGCCATAACCAGGGCCCTCAGGACGGTGGACGTTTCTGGTGCACCTGCAAATACCAAGTTCACAGCCCCGCTAAATCGATACACGCGTCCTATCAACACCACCCGAGTGTTCCCACAGATCCTGGTCTATCTCAGTTTGACGGCATGCCGGACATGCAACTGGAAGATATTCACGCACCGTACGACCTTTTAGAACCGAACACGGAGACCACACGTCTCAGGAACCAGGGAGGTGGCTTCTCCGCGGCGGGCTGTGGGATCCGCCACTCTTCATCGAATCGCTCCACTGGTCCGCCCACAGTATCCCCAACCTGGACGGGTTCTGCGACTATGACATCGGGGTTCCTGATATCCAGCCGAGCTTATACGGCGAACCCCACAGATGCAATTGCGCACGGCCAGACACCACGAATACGAGCCGCAACAGCAGAAACGGCACCGATACGGGGTCCACAACCCCAAGGCTCGACCGCGAACTGGACGATGCCGCTGATCAATGTATTAGGGAGCATCTCGTGCCAGCTGGCAGAGCTGAGGATGCAAGCATGCGACCTATCCTCTCAGCCGGCCGGAGCTTGCACGTTCGAAGGCATCACGCCGAACCTGACTTCTTCGACACTCCACTTTGCGATGGCGCCTCGGCCGCTTCGCTGTGGACAAAGCTTCTCGGAAAGGCAGTTGTGGCCACAATGAGATTCATACTGGTGCTACAGATGATGACGCCCTAAGCAGAGACATTATTATGCTTTGCTTATATTGGCTATAGTAGAAGTCACATCCTGCAGGTTTTTATGCTTACTTCCCTCTTAGAGACAGAGAGGTAATATTACTTTCTATGGAATAATCCTCAAGGTATACTTGCGGGCTGGCCGCTGGGACACAGTTACTTGGACTTTGAATTAGTCACAGTATATAGTTAAAGAATGCTTGGCAGAACAGTAAAGTAGTAAAAAGTAATTATAGCTAGGCCCAATTGGGAGCGCAGCTTTGGTTGCTTTTCAGCCTAGAAGAACTACCTTGACTATTATCTACCTACTTATGGCCATGGCAGCCATGTACATGCTAAATCCTAACGCCTCCGCCGGCGGCCCGCCGTTTCCGCCTCTCAGACAATTCTCAAGCTACGAGAGTATCCTGATATCAAGTCCACTAGGTTGCTAAGTCACAGAAACTTAAGCTGCTTTGTTGATGATGACTTCAAAGGAATGTGTGTTCATGAGCGAGGGGAAACGCTACGGAGTGCGACTGTCCTCCTCTTTTATATATTTTCCTCTCTTCCCCCAAACCTCTAACCTTCAATCATGTTAAACATTGGAACCTGAGATAAAATGGCACCTTCTCCAGATCGATCAGAATTTCATGTAGCAGTCATGGTAATTGCGCTATTGATTCTGGCCTTCCATGCGGTCTGTTACTGTTTCCTCCCAACAATGTCTCCTGGTGACGATGCTAAATATTTTAACAGGGATTTACTCTGGGGTCGGGATACATATCCGGTTTCTATGTTGACGACAATTGTGAATCGGGCATTTGCACCAAGTCATATATCTCTACTATTTTATTCCCGTTAGTGAGAATTAGACAACACTGAACATTTCCCTGCATTTTCACAGCTGACATCAGAACCCATCACGTAGGGTGACCGGAATGCTGTCTCTCCTCGCCGGTGACCGTGCCGGACTTCGATATGGAACAATACGCATCGTGGTGTTCGGGGGAGCATGGTGGAATTTCTGGATGCTGATTATCGGCCTTCTCGTAAATGGACACGACAATGTCAATCTTTGTCTGAAACATGCCTCGATGGGTGGAATGCTTGCCCTCGCGAACCTACCACAGTTACTCTCGACCTTCCACATGACACCGACTGTAGCCAGGGCCTTGGTGGCCATCAGCAGCGTATGTGGAGCGAGGTATGGAGGAATGTCCACGGCGCGGATAACTCAATTCGCACAGGGCAGCTTTAATTCCCTGTATGGTCCCACCGCGCAGCCTCGTTGCCAGAGGCCTGCCCCGAATTGCTACTGATACCCGTACCCGTTCAGTGCTACGATGCAGGGGATCTGTCTGTATGGCGTTTACAGTTCATTTTCAGAGAATCAAATCTCGTTAAAAAACCGCCAGGAGGATTTGTTCGGAGCTGGACTTGGTTGGATCGGCCTGATACTGTTGATTGCAATTCCCAGGTGCGTCGATCATCACATCACAACAGCCCAATGCGAGTGTACTGACTTGGAAGCCAGATGCCTGAATAATGCGCCGCTTTACACCTGCTGGAATATGCTTGTTTTTTGCGGGGTTGCTCTTTATTGGGGTATGTACGTCTTCTGGGAATGCAGATTCGCCAGAGAGCCGCTATTCCCTGGCATTCTTTGGGATGACATTCTGTTGTGCGCGAGTGTCGTCTCCGGTTGCAGCCATTAAGCAGTCTCATCCTTGTTCCCAACAGCCGCGAACGGAATATAATACCAGGTAACTTATTAGGCAATGTCTATCAACGTCATCTTCGATACTCAACCGCTCACTGTAGGATAAAGATGTGTGCACAAGCTTCTCTGTCGAAAATATATATATAGTCTTAAAAGCATTGACTTAAATGCACTTGATAAATCAGTCTTATGGTTGAACCGTGGTATTACACAAGGTAGATTATCGTCAATAAGAATAATTCAGACCACTTCGCAGTCCTCTCGACTCTGTACGTACAGCGGACTATGCGTGAAATCCGCTAAATAGGGCTTACACTTGTAGCTTATATTGCCATGACCAGAAGCTTTTCATATTTCAAACTACGTGTCAATCGTCTTGTTAACCATAGATCAGATATCCCCTCGACTGTAGTTATAGATTGCTGGATATATCGCCGCATAAGTTGAGGTAAATATATCTTGTGGTTGCCCTGTATGTTGCTCCGTATAGATAAAGGTTGCTGTATGGGTTCGCCTAAAGATTGCCAGCAGATTTCTCTGTATATTGCTCTGTGGATGCGATGCTATACAAGGTTCTAAATTATGCAGTTAGTGGCCACCTTAGTAAGTCATGTGGCCTTAGTCCACCGTAGGTACGGAGGTGTGGTGCAGTAAGTCAATGTCAAACCCGCGCAACCAAAGTCAATCTCAGGGATTGTATGTAGCACATCACGTGACTGTCAATGACTTTTGCACTGCACTTCTGTACTTAGTAGTAGTGCATTTATCTTACTCCGGTTGACCCCGGTGGTTTTGTTAGTACGGTGGGCCTTGCAACGAACGAATCATATTGATTCTGCCGCTATCTAGTAATTATCTAATATTTTGTATGACCTCCTCCTGCATTGATTACTGCCTGACATCTAGCTGGCATAGATTCGATTAGATCCCTAAGAAAATCCTCAGGGATGGCATCCCAGGCAGCTCGAACTATCTGTCGTAGGGCGTCATATGATAGTTGGTGGTCATCTGGATATCTCTCTTGAATCCAGTCCTTCATCCAATTCCATACCGTCTCAATTGGATTCAGATCAGGGGAGAAAGCTGGCTATCTAATTGGATAGATTCCGCGCTCATGAAGCTCATTAAGGGTATCTTGATGAGAATGGCCAGGTGCACCGTCTTGCATTAACTGGAGCCAGATATTCTGTCGCTTAAGGAGGCGAAGATATCCATCTATTATAGGAATCACCCTCTCAGTATATCTTTCTCCATTAATTATACCCCATTCCTTCTCCCAGAATAGACATGGCCCTTTAGTAGAACCATGAAATGAGCCCCAGAACATCCATCCACGTCTTTTAGGAGGAGAGGTGCGAAGACATGTCTCCTCTAGCTCTTCACCAGCCTTCCTAGTCACATAGATTCGTTTATGGAAGCCTGATGTAACCCATGTCTCGTCAGACCAAAGGATCTGATTCCATTGCTCTGTTGTCCAGTTCACATGCTCTAATGCCCAGGCAAGACGTACATGCTTATTCTGGTCGGATAAAGGAGGTTTTCGAAGAGCAATACAGCGGGTATAACCTCGTTTCTTTAATGCACGAGCAAGGGCGGTTGGTCCGACAGGTAGATCAAGTTCGCGACAGAGTTTATGGAATGGTAAGCGGCGATTTCGCTTAGAGGAAGAGATAAATGCTATAATATCATTAATATCTTCCTCAGAGAGCTTTGGTGGCTGCCCAGGAGCCTTCCTAGGTGTCATTTGCTGATTTTGACAGGTATACTGAACCTGGCGATGTGTGATTTGAAGCTGATCTGCAATCTGTTGATAGGTAAAGCCAGCATCTCGGAGGGTAAGGACACGGATTCGATCATCACGGCTGAGGCGACTCCTCTGCTCAGCTGCCTGCTGAGGGGGGGTGCTAGGTTCGGGGGTAGGCATGGCGTGTTGATTGCTCACTAGGCTCACTAAGATAGGAGGTCTTATTAGCTTTATATAATACTAATTAGGAAGGCGGTAATGGATGCTAGAAGGATTCAAATCCCTGCCTGGCCCACTGTACTAACAAAACCACCGAAGTCAACAGTTAGTCCTTTCGGTTAGTGGAGAAAGGATTGTTCCGGCGGCCCGCCTTTCCCGCCGGAACCTGCTCCAACACGCTCAACACACAGTGGGCCATGTCATAGTTAGTCTTATGTGCTGCAAAAGCACTTGATTGCTATGCCGTTGACTCGGACGCGCGGCATGCTGGCATGTGTCTACTGTCGCCGACGGTAAGTGCGGCGGTCCGACTCAACTTCCCACTGCGGTGAAATTGTTCCTGACGAGGTGCAGGAAACGTCGTTGCGACGGTGTCACTCCAACATGTGGCACCTGCGCCGGGAAAGGTCTTATCTGTAACTACACAAAGCCCGACTCGTCGAGGTTCGTCATCGGGGCGTGAATAGTCTTGGTAGCATGTCGATTGACTGCGAATGAACAGCGTTCCCCGCCATCCAACGCTCGCTCGAATTGCATCTCTTCTTGAGAGCCATTCCGATATTCTGAGCCGCTCTTCAGAACCTCACCATGACGATCACGTCGTTGAAAGGCCGACTATGTCAGGGTTGGCATCTCCGCGGGCTCAAATGAATCCTACATCTAACAATGCATCAATGCCGTCGGCCACCTGGCTCTTCAATAGCCCGTTTAACGTAGATGACGACACCAGTCTTCCGCCGCTGACGATCCCTTTGGGGCATCAGACAAGCACTAGCAGCCTCTTGATGCAGCCTCTAGTGCAGAAGCTTGTCGGCGTGTATCCCGAAGACGTCTTCTTCCGAGTCGAGTCAAAGCGTCAAGTGGTACCTAGTATAGCACTGGCTTGTGTACCAGATGACGATTTTGTAGAAACGCCCCGTCTTGATTCTGATACAACTAGGGCTCTGGTGGACTGCTTTTTCGAAACTGACCATAGCATTAACCCTTTTCTCGACAAAAAGGATTTCCTCGCCCGTTACAATGACGTTTTTAACGGTCATCCAAATTTGAACGACGAATCGGCCGGTGCACTTGCGGTCCTTGCTATCGGAGCAATCGATGGCAAAGCGAGGAAGAGTAACGAGGAATCCCTGGAGGATGCCCCCGGTATGCGATTCTTCAAACCAGCCTTACGTATTCTCACCACCTCATGGATGACATGTTTCACTGGTGACATTACCCTGTGTCAAGGATTGGTGTTGTGCGCTTTATACTTCCAATATCTAGTGGAACCACTGCCCGCGTGGAGACTCATTCACATGGCGTCGACGAACGTGCAACAATTGTTGATCAGGTGAGTACTTGCTCCGTAGTCCTCTCGAACATGAGGTTGATCGGTTCGACGCACGCTAGATCCAAGAAATCGATTTCCAATCCAACCGAAATAGAAGAGATCACGCGATTGAGCTGGTCGTGCTTTCTCATTGAATGGTATGCTACCTATCTACGAAGAATGTACGATTTGGGCAGGCTTACAGCATTCAGCGATATCGTTTCCGAGTTCCATCAACCACGAAGTGGCATCGAGCCCCTCGTGGACAAGATGCCCTATCCTCGCTCTGGGGACTCACCGTCTCCGGCCAGTTTGGCGTTCATGGCCGAAATTTCCGTGCGATTTCTTATTAATCGAGTGCAGCATTCTATCTATTTTACTGATGGTGTCACCATATACTCTGGCCGGCTACTAGACTCATTTTCTTCCAATCTATCCAACCAGAACATGTCCGACGAGTCACTTCTGAGTGTTTGTAAAGAGTTGGATCATCAATTGGAGACATGGTACCAGTCTCTGCCAGAGATCATCAAACCGGCTCTCTCGAGCGACCTTGACTGCAACTCACAAGCCAAAGTCCTTCGTTTGCGATACTGGTCCGCCAAACAGATAATATACCGGCCATTCCTCATATACGCAACATCACTCAGTTCAGATCAGGAGTTACCCACTTTCATTATTGATAAATGCCAAATCTGCTTCACCAGCTGCCGGATGTCTCTCGACTTCTCGAGAGAATGGCTGACAAGGTACTCGCCTTACACGTATAGTGTATTACATGAGTGAGTAGCCAGCTATCTTCTCACCACTTATGACTTCAATTAACCCTCTGGAGTTGCTTTATGTCGGCTGTGCTCCTCTCATTAGCAGCAACCTGTCCTCAGCTCTCAACCTACGTCCCAGATATTGACGATCTACTCAATACCACAACCACCATACTCAAACGGTGGTCAGCGACGGCAACGGGTATAGAGTGCGCTTTGGACATTCTGATCTCAATTCAGAAAAAGATTCGTTATCGTGATTAAAAAGGCATATCATGCTTCAAACTATGGATGGCAGGAGCAACTCAAAGAAGCTGGTTTAGGAATGAAGGAATACGTGCGGGTCCAGACCATCAGCTACCGGGTAATGAGTTCCCTTAGCAAATGCGTGATATCTATATTGCTCAAGGCCACGCGTTTCGCAAGCAAGATTGCCCGAGTGCATTGGAGGATTGGTGTCGTGCCTTCCGCGAGTAAATAATTTCGAGATGAAGCTACGAGAAGTCTTCCAAATCGCTATGATATCTTCACTACCATTTCCTTTTGCGATTTCTCATCGAGCATAGATCAAGTTTGCATTGCATAGTGAGCTGGTATCAAACTAACTGCAGTCATTCGAACTTGCCGCAGTGACGGAAACGCTTGATGTTGTTCTGGCTGTGACTAAATGGTGTGCTGTCTCTGGGGCACGACGATCACTGCGGAACTAGCTTCGAGTTCAATCTCTCCGATCTCACGGCAACAGTCGTCAATGCATCGCACAAGGCTGAAATAATCTCTCAATTCAGCATCTTAGCTCTTCGACCAAAATTGGCGCTTACCACAACAATTTCATCGGGATGGATGTCGCGCCCCCACTTTTGGGGCATTCATGGGGGTGTACTTTGCTGCCCATGGACTCGGCTTAAGCCACGAGTCCCAATGCAGGAGCGAGAAACCCTCAGTGGTCTTTACCATCACCAAATTTGAGGCTGCACGGGTTGCTCGCGAGACCGTTATCACCGGCCCGGGTCTGGAAGCCCCGACCATGAGACTGGGTGGGCTTTTCTGCTGTAAACAGGTCTGACCAGGGCCCATTGCGTCCACAGACTGCCGCCGTTGTTCAAAACTCCCATGCTGTATCTACAAGACTATAACGCTTGGCGCCTTGCGGCATTTGTCTTCTCCAATGACTGCTGAGGAAACCCTCCCGGAGTCCGATGGTACATTCACTTTTGAAAACTTACCGCCAGCTGTGAACGACTACAACCATGAATGTCGCAGCCATCGAAGATCAATCACCCGTCTAGTTCTCATTCATAACCACCCTTTGAAGACTTATCCCAGCAGAGCATAAGAAGGCTATAGAAAGCAACGCTTCGATCTATGAAAACTATGTGAATTTCCATCTGACATAAGGATAATTTCAAACTTGATGCTGTGGTGGGCGTTTGTCAGCATCCCACTCACTTACACTCCAGGACTGTTATTGATATAAACTAGTATGGTATTGTAATCCTGCAAAGTCCAGCTGAGAGATAATGTATCTGCCTAAATGCTGCTCCCCTCTTGTTTATAGGGCTGATCGATCTTAACGATCCTATTGGATTACCCAATAGAGAAGCAAATTAAGCTTTCAGCTGATGGCTCTCTCCCTGCACTAGAAGAAGTCTGGTCACGTCCTACCTTGAAATAAGTGAGAACACCATCCAACTAAACACTGCAAATAAGCGCTCTCCCTTGTTATGATAGAACATTATTATAGACTTCAAGTGATTGAACACACAGCTATTGAGTATATATATATCTTAAACAACCATCAGTAACCGTAAACCTTAATGCCTCTTTTCAGAAACAAAGGAATCCTATTTAACGTTGAACCTGCTGCTAATACATAAGTATTAAGGGCAGTTACAAGCCAGATACATAAAACCTCATCATGGGTCTTGTCAGTGCACTTCTTAAAATAATCATCATCCCTATTGTCATTTTGCTCGTTATTATCCTCCTCGTTTGTCTATACGTGAAAACACGACGTGCCAAGAAGGCAAAGGAAAGAGAACTACAACTTCACAGCATGCAATTCCAGCCGCCTGTCATCACTCAGTGGGGACCTCCCACCCAGCCATCGGCTTTCTCGCCTGCAGATGTCCAGAAACCAGCTCCTATATATTCGAGTCATGAAGTGTTAGTTTTTCCACGTTGCGCAAAAGGAGATGTCTCTGTTAACCAATTCTAGGCCTCAGATGTTCAAAGGTCCAACAGAGATGGTTTAAGCGTGGTCCGGAAATGCGAAATACTTATGATAACGATTTAATCGTTGACGGAAAGACCCAGTACTTTGCCTGTCTGTTGCTATGTGCAAGGTACAAGACATGCAATGGCCGCCCTAGTGTAAGACTCTATTCTGTGTTAAGCTTTTACGTTGAAATTTGCAGCCCAGGCATAATTGAATACCCCACCATAGCCATTCTATCTTTTGTTTTTTCCAACGCTCTTTGAAGAACTAACCATTATCTATGCCAGAGTCAAAATTGAAAATTATTGAATATGAGGAGTGAAGGGAGGACGCATCAAGCAGTAAGTGGCATTGAGGGGAAAGTTGAGGTACTAGATTGGTGCGGATAATACTATGTCTCTGTTGTTGTGCAGAGGTACAAAGTACTGTTTATTATTTCAGGGTACATCAAAGATCCATGATTTCTTTGAAAGAGAGCTGCGGTAACCTCAGGCACTGTCAGATACCATCTACAAGGCAGTAGGGCACCCATGGATTAAATTCGAGTCTTCTACCCCTCCGTCCCAGACACTCAACGTATCAAACCATCGTGGACTTTTCTCAAACAGAATGAAATGGGATGAATAAGGCCCAAAGGAGCCTGGTGATCATTATTCAACAATGCCCAATACGAGCCTCGACGTTCAAGATAATGGATATTTAAATGGACAAAGAGAAGGTGGATGCTCTTTAGGCGCAATCCTCAGCCACTGTCCTTGTCTATATAGTAGGGAGCCATGCATTATACCTTCTTAAATAGACTAGCACAGCGTTACATAGAATCAGAACCAAACCTGACCCAGTTTAATTTGGTGTTAGTTTCACCGCAAAACCCCGCTACTAGGCCTGTACTAACTGTTTTCAGAATTCGATTTCCCTTATCTTAGGCCTATGCCTAGTGCCTATCAAATATGCCTATAGAAAATTAATATTTTATATGAAACATATGGTAATTATTATCATACTAATCCATATCTAAAATATCAATTCAATTGAATAAGTGGGGGTTGAATAATTATTCTAAAGGCATAGTGATTGTTGAATGTTGATGCGTATATATACATAAACCATCACCACTTTCATACCAACCTATAACAGAAATGATTATTCCCCCGTATCTCACCAATCACTAGATATTTTGAATTGATATTTCATATTTGGACAGACTAAATATTAGGCTATCTAGTGATGTCAATATTTCTAGAGAAATCTTAGAAATCAGTGAATACTAAGCAAAATGATGATGGTTGGACGGTTGGTTAACCTGAATGGATAAACCTCAAAAACCATAACTAATTGCCATACTTTAGAACATTAAGATTGATTGGTGACATACATAGACCGTCTTACCACTCGAAGTCATCTTATGGATAATCACCTGGCTAGGCGGGCAATATCTTGCAGCAGCTAGGGGCTAGAATCCCTTCACACATGCAACGTCGTTTCGCAGTCGTAATGGATCGGCACGGACCGTCGTGTAGGAAGCTCAGCGCCGGGCGAGAAGTTCCAGAGGTCCTGCTCGGCCCGTCTGCCTAGTATGATGCTATGATCATGGCCAACCTAGTCTATATTTTATCGCCATATACGGAGCCTTGTCAAGCAAACAAATTTAGTATTTGGCGTTCTCTCCGCGCCGCGAAGAACAGCCCCCTGGTCGCCATAGCTCTCTTGTCTGCAGCCTAGCCCTGAGCTGTCCAAGTACTTTGAATGGATGAGCTAGATGGCTACCGTGAGTATCGTTCTGGTCCAATGCGTTAGGCTGTTTGCAGGCTATCCCCGTACATAGTACTGGGGTACGAGCAGTCCGCTATAGTGTGCTTATCAGAAAGGTCAACGCCGAATGAATTATACACATCCAAAATTACAACATGGCAACTGCCGCATATTCCATCATAGCATGGTGACAGTGAAAAAGCATAACATTTTGTCGTAGCCTTCCCATTCAGGTTACAGCAAGGGAAAACCTGGCAAAATTAATCCCAGGGAAAACCCGTGCCAAGGCATGAAATCATCATAGGATGACACTCTGCGGTAAGTAGGAACCTATGTCCCATCCCATAGAATGCCTACTATTAACTCACAAGGTCACAGTTGCACTATTCGGCCTCCGCGAAAAACAAATCCTTCATGGATGGATATGTAAAGACCCGAAGTTTAGGCGCCAGAACAGACGTGGCCTCCTGGCCATCGGACAGTCCGTAATGGATAGCTTTGGGTGCCGTCGCCTTTATTCTCTTTTCAAACCAGTGGACGTGGGTCCAGTCAATAAAAATCTCGTAGCCCTCGCCTTCGTCATGAATAAGGATGGTTGCCTCGTCCTTTTCCTTGAAGCGCCTTTCCAATGGGACCTTAACTTCTGGGCCCCACTGGCCGGAGGCGGGCTTAGTGTTGAATATAATCACACCCTGGCTGCGCCGGATGGATATATGGAAGACAACGTCGCCATCCATGTTAGTAATTGAGAGTTGAGTCATGTCACTTCCGCGAGCACTGGGTAGAGTTAAGTCTACAATCGGTGACTTAACAATAATTACACTGTCCGTGCCCAACTGCTGTTTGAAGGGGAGAGAATGTCCAAGCTCTAAGGTAGCCTTCGGTGGCAGAATCCTGGGAATTGTCAGCGCTCAAAAGTGGAATAAACAAGAAGCGAACTTACTTCGGAGGTGGAGGTTCAGGAGTTCGGTTATGTAAATCAGGATTAAACGCTCCCTCAGCGCCGCCAGAGATTGATGGCTGCGCCTTAAAGTTGTCAAACTCAGGCGTACGGGTGGGATCCTCGTAGTGTTTACTATCATTGGTACTACCAACAATCTCCAGCTCCAACTTTTTGACTTCGGTGGAACTCAATACTCTGCCGCCCTACGTCGTATGGCATTAGCAGTCATTCGGAGAGAAAAGGGAAGTGAAAAGGGGGGAAAGAAAAGAGGGGAGGGAAAGATTGAAAGAAAGCGACTGCATGGGATTCTCAAACCTTAATCACACTCCAGTAGACATGATCGCGAAGATATTGCAGTACAACCTCCTTGGTTAGGGACCCTAATTTCTTGCCTTCTCTCACCAGGTACAAGAGCACAGGGGTGATGGCAATATATGCAGTTGACTTGATCTTCTGTTTCTGCAACATTTTGCAATTGCCACAGTTACCATTCTCGGTCTGTGGTCGTTGACTGAAGTTATACACTTCGGCAATCAGGTCCAACATTGGGGCGGGATTCTCTTTATCCTGCGCCAGATACAGTCTGATCCAGAACGGATCTCCCCCTAAGCCATACCTGTTGACTGTTAGACTCGCGATATATTGCACTGATGATGAGTGAGATAAACAAACTTTAGGAACCGAATGCTGAAGGCATAGTCCTGGATAACCAACCCGCCCTCGATAGTCGCCATACCGTCCATTGTAGGAAATTTAGGGTCCAGGGCCAGATTTCTGGAAAATCCATAGAGCAAGTTAATCCTTCTGTTTAGGTCCTTTATGAAGAGCTCTCGATCGAATTTTTTGTTAGGGTTGTACTTCTCCAACCAAGGCTGCAGATCAGCGTATGAGTAACCCAGATTTGCTGTGTATCGCACATCATTAGGCGTTATATAAGTACCCCGCTTATCACGGCGGAAAGGGCGCAGTGGAACCGTGGGAGAAACCTTTTCCTCCTCGTAATTTTCATTTATGAATTTTTCATCACTAGGAACGGAAGCGTCATCCAGCCATTTATCAGGATTCAACGTCTGCCAGATTGCCCATAGACGGTCAATATTGCTATTCAAGGAGAGATCGATCGGTCAGTCACAAGTTCAATGGTCAACTAGGGCAACAGAAGAGCATAAGAGGATTGGCACTTGCCAGTGGTGCATCCAGAAGAGAGGATCAAAGGCTGCAACGGGAACATTGGCCATGTGCCCTTCACCTCCGGTACAGCCGTGGATGTAATTGTGGATGTACTCTAGATTAAGATCTTTATCCACTGCCTGATTTTCCTTTTGGGCCTTTTCTTCTTCTTTGGTAGCGCTTTTGTCCGTGTCATTGGCAGTTGACCATGGCTTTGTGCTGGCAAACGTGATATATTCTATGGGAACCGTGAGAAGACGAAAGACCATTTCAGCTGTTGATCCATAAGGCTTATCCGGTTGCCCCTCTTTCGCCCAGTTAGTGCTTCGGAATTTATCAGCTACTTTGTAATTGTTCACAACGCCTTGCCGCCAGGCCTCGCTGTTGGGTTTCTGATCGACCTCATCAGGCCATCGACTAGTTCCGATACACGAGCCAAACTATATTAATGAGTTAGCATTGTTTGATTTAAAAATGGAGCGTGTTTTTATGGACCTTCTTATCCTCCTCATTATCCTCTGGTGACTCCCAAGGGTTATCAACTCCTACACCGGCTGAAATCATTGGCTGTTCGGTAGGATTGCGGAATTGAAATAAAGGGTTGTCAATCCGATTGACTCCTGCTCCATCATATTTTGGGACGGTGATGGTAGGATATTTTGCCAACTCCGGCACACGATTAGTGCGGGCCCAGTCCCAGTAAGGCAGACGCCATTGGTCTGCCTGTGTTCTCCACATGGACTGCTGAGCGTTGGGGAAGTTGGGAATGATTTCGTGAACCATAGTCTCGTAGATGGCTTGCTGAATTCCCGATCCAGGGAGTGTAAGCTGTCTATATCAATTGTGAAGGAGGGACATCTTGCACATACCTCATAGAGAAGCATATATGGACGATGCCAGATGGGGAACAAGATGTTCGAGTGAGCACAGTACCCGTTTGGCAGAGGCTGTGGAGTGGGATCGTCCCATCGCGTAAATGGATGTCCATGTATACCTGCCACTCCTCAGCTTTCCATGGAGTAATATCCTTTAGCAGTTGGCTTGATACCGGCAATTTGAAAGTAAGAGAGTCTTTCTTTTGGATCCTTCTTCTGAAGCTTGTCCAGGGCTAGAATGAATAGGTCCACCTGCCTTATGTTACGCTGGTTGGTGCTCCATTCATCAACGTCCTGGCGCACCGGGACCTTTCTATTAATGCCAGCACTAGGATCGGAGTCTGGGACACGAATCCCTGCAATAGGGTAATACTCATACGGCCCAGCATCGGGCGCCATTTTACCTTAGGCGACTTGAATAATGGCAAAGGCTGAGAGAATCTTGTTTTTCGGTCAATTCGCCCGGCAAAGTGTATTGCCATGCAATTAATAACGCAAATGTCGCTTTTGCTGTTGACCCCTCCCTATTTATGTTGTCTAAGATACAAATATACCGGCCCTGATATTGGCAATTACACGACGAGTGAATGATAACGACATTCTTCATGACGCAAAATGCAGCATCTGAGACGTTAGCTAGATCCAGCTTTTTCGAAGTTAATTGCCGAAGTTATGTGTCATAGAGTAATACACCAACGCAGATTATGGATTCCCGCCTTGAGGTCTAGAACGGCTGTAGTCCAGTGTTGTGTAACCATTGAAAGCAATTTGTCATTGGATTGAGCATGTCACCATTAACCCGGGCCACATAGAGACTCGACATAATCCTACGAAGGGAACTTCTCGACCGCTCCATTTACGACGCGAGATAGAATTCCGCGTCATGTAGCAGCTATTTCACCCGGTTTCAGCATAGACAGGATAAGCCTGGCTGATCTATACGACTATCGACATTTACATGAGTGGGAGAGGTTAATACTCTGCGGAGATGGGACCGCAATGGTATGTAATATTGACGTCTACTACAAGACCTTTTGGTAAACTCTCTTTTGCGATGTGCTCATACTATGCACCAGTTGCTGTGGAATTGGCCACCTGTCTATAGCTGTGCTGCTTGCAGACGTCTTAACGCGTCTCCATCCACTAATGTCGTTGGCCTGCGACTGGACCACTTCACCCAATTCCAGATATGGCATATCCACACTACAGCTAGATGTACCAACGCCAACGTCAGTTTACGCAGGATGCAGGAGGTGTTGGATTACCGAAGAAAGTCCGTATCGGTAACATAGCATTGGTTTGGTGTCCCTAATAAACCCACAACGAAGTGTCACTAATCAGGTTTGCACCTTGAGTAGCAATTAGCATTTACTAATCCCGTAAATCTGATCAGTGTAACGTAATCAATACGGAAGCCGCCATGTCACCCGGACTTTGTGCCGAGTACTGAATTCAAGCCATTCAAAACAGCCGACAATCCTAATATTAAGCTTTATCAGACATAAAATTTAATAGAATAAGGCTAGTGAGGGTCGGACTACCACTGAAATATTTCATATATAGATAGACCAGGAAGCTGCTATATGCTAATGTAATAATTGAATCCAATCTAGTAGCAAAACCCTTCATTCTGCGTTAATGCAGAGCTATTAGTATATCTGTTTAGCGATCATATACCGTTGAATCATGATTATCACATACATAGATATAGATGCAGTAATAGGTGATTAAAGTGCCTTAATAAAATAGGATGCTTAATTGTAAGAATCCTAAGACGTCCTTTGTATGTCCTTTGTCTATACTTCCTGCGAAGGCGGACTTGAGGTTTGCAAACAGTGCACGTGATGGTATGTGATCCATCCCGAAGTGCTGACCTCTTAGAGGCTGGCAACAATCTATTCATCTAAGCATAATATTATCACTTTCGCAATCCAAATATTCTTTCACACCAGCTCTGTGTGATCCTGGCAGATTCACACCCTCATACTAAGTTTTGACATGTTAGCTTGCTTACTATTTGCATTAAGTTAGGCGGAAGAGTTGACAAATAACCCAACTTAACCAGACTTTGGGCGAGATTCAAGTTTTAATGGCCGCATGCAGAGTGACGTGCGCATCAAAAAGGCCCTAACAAGTCATTACGTCCTCAACCGAAAACATGATGCAGGACAGCGTCGCCTGAAGGTTCCATGCCGCTGTTGCCAAATCATGGTTTTAAGCTATGGGACGGATCCACATTTCTGAAAGCGGCCCCGCAAAGAATGCCAGAAGGCAACCATACATGTCAGGTTGTCGAACAGCCAATATGATTGGCCCTTCAGCAAGTCAAAATACCGCAGGCTCCATCCTCGCCATTCGCTCACAGCAAGTGCAATGATACCCTTGGATTCCGACGTGGAAAAAAAGGACAAGAGGAGCTAGTAACAAGGAGGGCTATTGAAAGAAAGCGCTATAAAGATAAATTATAATTTCAAAAGGAACTGACGAGATGTATAGAATGTATACTCAGAATTTTGATCATCTTCATAAAAGCTAGAGTTCTCTATTCATCTAGCGAAATTTTTTTGGCATAAAATCACTCCACTCCACCACATCCTTGCGCACATTTTTGAGCCTTGAACAGTGACAATTAGCACATTATGGGCGAGTACAGCACAGGTCTTAGGACCAAGACACTTTACATCACTGAAGATTCTCCCCAAGGGAACCAGTGCAAGGCTAACGGAGCCGGCGATGAAGCGGGATTCCATACTTCAATCAATACCCTGAGCGCGAAGGATATATTGCAGCTGCAGTCATGGAATGGGAAATTACCCACCGAGGAGGACAGTTGCATCCATGAGCTTATCAAGGACCAGTGCTCTGCCCAGCCAGATGCCGCGGCAGTCTGTGCTTGGGATGGCAATTTCACATACAGGGAGGTGGACCTGCTCTCCTCGAGACTGGCCGATCAGCTTATCTCCTGTGGTGTTGGCCCCAATCTCATCGTTGCTGTTCTTTTGCACAAATCCAAGTGGACTCCGGCTGTCGTCCTTGCGGTTTTGAAGGCCGGAGGGGCATTTCTCTTACTGGATCCCGCTTGCCCCGACCTCCGCCTACGCCAGATCTGTGAGGAATCGGGTGCAAGATGGATCCTTTGCCGCAACAGCCATGCTGCGAAAGCTTCGGACCTTGGGCCAGAAGTGATCACAGTGGATGCAGTACAATCACACCTTGCGATCAATGCAGTCGACATTAAAGGCCGCCAAAGGACCTCTAGTCGCAGCTTAGCCTATGTCATCTTCACCTCCGGCTCCACTGGAAAGCCCAAGGGCGTGAAGATCTGCCACCGATCTTTTTGCTCCATGGTAAGGCCTTATGTGGAGGCAGTCGGCTATAACCGGGAAACGCGCGCCCTCTCCTTTTCCTCCTACGCTTTCGATGTCAGTGTCTCGGATATGCTCATCCCTTTATTGGTTGGGGGCTGTATATGTGTGCCATCGGAGGCCCAGCTCATGGACAACCTCCCGACGGCGATTGCCCGGCTGCAAGCCAACTTTGCTGACATGACACCCACCCTCCTGAGAACCCTGCGACCGGAGCAAGTGCCGAGTATAGAGACTATCGTTGTGGGAGGCGAAGCACTATCCAAGGATATTATTGCCATCTGGAGTCCACATGTCCGTCTGGTTAATTCGTACGGACCTGCGGAATGTTCCATCAACGCGGCTCTGAACAACCGTCTAACACCACAGACGGACCCTTCAAATGTGGGCTTCCCCGTAGGCGCCCGAATTTGGATCGTGGACCCCGATGACCATGAGAAATTGATGCCCGCGTCTACCGTAGGGGAGTTGCTCATCGAAGGCCCTACTGTTGGAAGCGGGTATATCAACAGCCCAGAGCAAATGGCGGCCTCGTTCATAGAACCCCCGACATGGATGTACCATTTCCGCCCTAGCAGCCCATACAACTGGGGACTGTATAAGACGGGAGATCTTGCCAGGCGCGAGACGGACGGCTCGATTAGAATTCTCGGCCGAAAGGATAACCAGGTCAAGCTCCGTGGGCAGCGCATGGAGTTGTCCGAGGTCGAGCATCATGTCCGGGAATGTATCCCAACTCTGGACGATGTGGCAGCAGAAGTCGTCGTACCTCCAGGGGATCGAAGGACTCCTGTGCTGATGGTATTTCTTTGGGGTATGAAAGAGAAGAGCCCTGGGAACCATTTGTTCGCCGTCCCGAGTGATGCTACGCGAGCCGAGATAGCCACAGTTCAGAGCGAGCTGAAGAAGCGATTACCGATTTACATGGTCCCTGGGGTCTTCCTTGTCTTATCTACCCTGCCCTTGACAGCGACCGGCAAACTGGATCGTCGACGACTCCGGACAGACGCAGCTGCTCTGTCTTCGATGCAGTTGCTCGAATATAACGCCACTGCCACCCCCCAGACGCGAATGCCGACTACCCCATCGGAGTGCGCCCTCCAACAGATCTGGGCGCGTGTATTGAATCTACAACCACAAGTGATCAGTGCCGACGCGGATTTCTTCGGGCTGGGAGGCGATTCGATCGCTGCAATGCAGGCGTCGGCACAAGCCAGAACCGCGGGATTGAACTGTCGAGTGGCAGACATATTCCATTGCAGGACCATTTCCAAGCTGGCGGGCTCACTGGAAATGGTCCCCCAGTCCCCCATGACGATAGAAAGAGAGCAGCTGGATACCCCATTTCATCTCTCCCCGATCCAGCAAATGTTTTTCGAGGAGGTCCCGCCCCAACAACACAACTACTATAACCAAAGCTTTCTCCTGCGATGCAACCCTCCCACGACCTCAGATGAGCTTCGGGGGGCCGTCACCGAGCTTCTTACATATCACTGTATGCTCCGCACGCGATATAGTCATGTTGCTCCAGGAAGGTGGATGCAGTCAATTCCCGCTGGGGTTGATGGCAGCTACCGGTTCGACGCGAAGCAAGTCAGGAGTGACGACGAGGCCCGTGCGATCATGATGAAGAGCCAACAGTCCTTGGACATTCAGCGAGGGCCCCTGGTGAGTGTGGACCTTTTGGATATGCAAGGCGGACTTGAACCAGAACAGTATATCTTCATTGTGGCCCACCACTTGGTAGTTGACTGGGTATCCTGGCGCATAATACTGGAGGACCTAGAGGGGTTGCTCTCCACGGGGAGATTGTTGGACAGCGCTCCCTCCCTTCCTTTCCAGGTCTGGTGTCGACTTCAATCCGAGCACGCTCAAGCCCATCTTTTGCCCGACGCAGCGTTGCCATTTGAACTGCCACCTTCGCAGGATGCCTATTGGGATCTTGCCCCCCATCGGAACACTTGGGCGGACAGTCACCAGGAACGGTTTACACTGGACTTGGACGCTACGAAGTCGCTTCTCGGGCCGGCCAACAACGCTTTTGGGACGCAGCCAGTGGAGATCTTGCATGCCGCCTTGCTCTATTCGTTTGCACAGGTATTCCGGGACCGGCCGGTGCCAGCTCTCTTCTCTGAAGGCCATGGACGCGAGCCGTGGGACCCTGCTATGGACCTTTCACGCACGGTGGGGTGGTTTACCACTATCTGGCCAACCTATATTGACATAAACCATAATTACACCCTGGGGGACGTGCTGCGTCGCGTCAAGGACTGTCGACGACTGGTCCCCAATAAAGGCCGGGCTTACTTCGCCTCACGATACCTCAACAACGAGGGCCGTAAAAAGTTTGCCAACCATGGCCGTATGGAGATTTCCTTCAACTACATTGGGTTGTTTCAACAGCTTGAGCGACCTGGGGCGCGTCTGCAGTCGGCCACTCGACTATCGCGAGACGGCGTCGAGGATATCTCGGGTGATTTAGAGCGGCCAGAGTTGTTTGATATCACAGCGGTGGTGAGTCAGGGCTGTCTGGAGTTTAGGTTCGTCTACAGCCGCCACATTCCTCGACAGCAGGCTATCACCCAGTGGATTGGTACATGTGAGCAGTCCTTGAAAGCGGCTGCGCAAGAGTTGGTCTTCCAGCCCCATAGTTACACTCTCCGGGATTTCCCACTGTTACCATTGACGTATCCAAGCCTGGACAGGCTGCTATACGACACCCTGCCGGCAATTGGGCTATCTTCTGCCATGGTGCAAGCGGCGTACCCTTGCTCGCCTGTTCAGCGAGGCATTCTTGTAGCACAGTCCTGGGACCCAGATCGATACCATTGTCAGTTGATCTGCCGGGTAATTTCCTGTACGGGAGCGGTCGAACTAGACAGGATTGCTCAAGCATGGAGGCAGGTCGTTGATCGCCATGAAATCCTGAGAACGGTATTTATCGACGCTGTTACCAAGGAGGGCTATCTGGACCAGGTTGTGCTGAAGACTGTGGACGTTGATCTCGATGTGTTGGAATGGGATGAGAGCGCCGTATCAATGGTAAAACGACTCCAATCAAGGCGCCCTTTTCCTGGGGGTAGCAAGCCTCTCCATCGATTGACGCTGTGCGCAACACCCACAAATGAGGTCTTGTGTAAACTCGAAATCAATCATGCCCTAATTGACGAAATATCCGCCCAGATCGTGTTGCGCGATCTGTCACGGGCATACGACGGGCGGCTCAGTGAACCCTCCAACTTCCGTTTCGTCGATTACATTGGGATGCTGCACCAGCAAGAAAGCGAGGCCGCTCGGTGTTACTGGACAAGCTATCTCAAGGGCGTTGAGCCGTGTCTCTTTCCACCACTTAACAAGACAGGGGAGAATGATGCCAGTGGAGCATGGAGGTCTTTCGATCTCGACATCCCGGTGGATTCAAACTGGAGAACCTATTGCAGCACATATGGCGTGACCCCGGCGAATATCTTCCAGGCGGCCTGGGGGCTGGTATTACGCTGCTATACCGGTTTTGATGAGGTTTGCTTTGGTTATACGACCTCGGGGCGGGATATGCCTCTACCGGGTATTGATCACGCAGTGGGGCCCTTTATCAATATGCTAGTCTCACGACTGGCTCTGAGGGCCGATACCTCTCTGCTGGAGGTGCTACAGGGAAGTCAGACGGACTACACACGAGCGCTAGCTCACCAACACTATGCTCTCGCTGACATATTTCACTCGATGAACCTCTCGGGTAAGACTCTCTTCAACACAGGCATATCGCTGAACAGGCTCGTAGTGGGCTCCGAGGAAGAAGAGAGTTGGTCTCCGACCATCTCATTCGAAACCATCAGTAGCGAAGATAACACCGAGGTAAGTCTAACACCAACGTTGGCCCCTGGGTAGAAATACTATAGGCCACTTGCTGATACCGCGTAACACAAGTATGATGTGATCGTTGAGATTGCCCTCCGAAGTGACATCGCTAGAGCAACTTTCACTTATCGCCCACATGTCCTATCAGAGACCCAGAAATGGGAGATGGCAGATACATTCCGTGAAGCCGTCTCCGAGATTCTTGCGTGCACACCTGATACCAGCATTAGAGAGCTCCCTCTCTTTGGCAGCAGCAACCTAGGACACGTCTCGGCAAACATCGGGGGATCACACCGGGTCGAAAACTATTGTCGTCGGCAATTGGCAAATTACAGCGGAGAGGCATTTCCGACAATACCGCGCAATTACTGCCCCGAGGCCAGTGATTCGTTTGAGCTTTCTGTGGCAATGGAGGGGCAGCCAGGGCTTTCAGACAGCGAGATCCCTCCTCTGATGCAGCTCGCATGGGCCATTGTTCTCTCTCAATATACTGGGTCCGAGGACATCCTCTTCGGCATCTTGGAGGGAGAACAGGCAGGCGGCGTCCTGCCAGTAAGGATACGTGTTGACTCATGTGATCACATTGCGGACAAGCTGCAGGAAGCTCAAGAGGACAGACAGACTCGGTTGTCTCTACAGCAATGCCGAGTTAGCAACGCACTGCCATTATACGATACGCCCGGGGCCGCCTGCCAGTACCATAATATCCTCCTCTTGGAGCCTCGGGGAGCTAGCTCCATCCGCGAACTAGACCTTCAAAGCACTCTCGGACATCCGTTGGTAGTAGTCTGTCAGCCCCTGCCCGACAACACGTTGATAGTGCGTGTGAATTTCGATAAAAACTGTCTAGAGAGCGCCAAAGCCCAGCGAATTGGCTTTCAGGTCGCGCATATTCTACGGCAAGTGCATGCCAATCCGACCCGACAAGTGGGAGAGATCCTAACGCTCAGCCCTGAGGACATGGAGCGGCTTGACCGGTGGAACGAAGTTGTTCCTGAACGAATTGAGGCATGTGTGCACGAGTGTATCCATGCACACGCTGTCGACCACCCAGACGCACCCGCCATCTGTGCGTGGGACGGAGACTTTTCCTATCAGCAGCTCGACGAGTACTCATCGCAGCTGGCATGGCAACTGAAACGGATGTATGTCCGACCGGGAGTTGTAGTACCCGTTTGCCAGGAAAAAACCCGCTGGACAGCCGTAGCTATTCTTGGAGTCCTCAAGGCCGGAGGAGCTTTCGCTCTCCTCGATCCGGAGGTTCCCACGGAGCGTTTGATGACCATTGCGGGAGATCTCAATTCACCTGTCGCCATCTCCACGCCGCATACTGCCCCGATCTGCCATCAACTGGCAGCTGAGGTAGTTGTTCTCGGAGACCCGGAGTTCCCTCTGTCTGCAAGTGCCACACCCTCGACAATGCCACCATCTACAGCCAACCCAGCGGATGACCTCTATGTAGTTTTCACATCTGGATCGACCGGCAAGCCCAAGGGTGTGGTCATTCATCATAGTGCATTTTACACCGGCGCCCTCGCACAGAACCCTAGTCGATTCTTAGACCGCTCATCCCGGACCTTACAGTTTGCTTCCTATATGTTCGATGTCAGCATCGCAGATTTTCTGCGGACACTGTTAGCCGGCGGTTGTGTGTGCATCCCCGCTCAGACCGGGTTGAAAGATACGTTGGCAGAGACGATAGGCCGGCTGCGCGTCAATCGCCTCGATCTCACACCATCGGTTCTGCGGCTGCTATCGCCCGAGGCCATTCCCTCAGTCCGCACGATAACCCTCGGCGGGGAGCCTATGACTTCCAAGGACGTCGAATGCTGGGCGGGAAAAGTTCAGCTGATGAACTGCTATGGGCCGGCCGAGTGCTCCTATTGCGTCACACAATCGCAGGTTCTCCACCCGCACCGATCCGATGCTGGGAATATTGGTCGCGGCCAGGGTGCCATCTGCTGGGTCGTGGATCGCCACGACCACCGGCGGCTGGTGCCCATCGGAGCCGTGGGTGAGTTGGTGGTTGAAGGGCCTATCGTTGGTCGCGGTTACTTGCATGATCACCAGAAGTCGGCCCAGGCCTTTATCGCAGATCCACCCCCATGGCTGAGGCGATTAGGGCGGACTGGGCTGCTGTATAAGACGGGCGACCTAGTCCAGTATACCAGGGACGGATCCTTGCTGTATATTGGGCGCAAAGACAACCAGGCCAAGCTACACGGCCAACGTCTCGAGATGGGCGAGGTCGAGTACCATGTGCGCCGGTGCTTTCCATCTTCCCGAGACGTCGTCGCCGAACTTATCACGCCCCTTGTCTCTAACGGAGAAGCAGAACCACTGTTGGCAGCCTTCATTGAGACGGGTCAATGCGATTCTCGAAAAGACCAACCGGATCAACCGGACCAAATTTTCTGTACCGCCACTTCCGAATTTCTCGCCGGTGGGCAACAAGCAAGAGAACAACTGGAGCAGCAGGTGCCCGGTTACATGGTGCCTACCATTTTCATCCCGCTGTACCGGGTGCCATTGACGCACAATGGGAAAAAAGATCGTCGCCTGCTCCGCCAGCGAGCGTCCCAAATTCCCCGCAAAGACCTATTTGCGGCATACGCGCAGAGGGGTGGAGTAATCAAACGCCCTCCTTCGACACGGACGGAACGCCTCTTGCTGTCTGTGCTGTCACAGGTGCTGGAGATTGAACCTCACGATATCGGCATGGACGATAATTTCTTTTCCCTTGGTGGCGATTCCATTGTCGCCATCCGATTTGCTCAGCTTGCGCGGCAACATCGTCTCTTTTTCCGCGTCGCCGATGTATTTCGTAACCCGAGAGTTTCTGATCTTGTGCTTTCACTTAGCGGCACAGACGAAAGTGCTGCACGAGACCCAACACCAGCAGCTGCCAGCACTGAACGGTATTTCGGATTCAAGTCTTGGGAGGAACTAAGGAAAGCATTTTTATCTTCGTCACTGTCCTGTCTGGGGCCCCAACTGCCCCATGACGATGTTCAAGATATCCTTCCTGCTACAGAAGGTCAGGATAGTAGCTTGCGGCTCCCTTGCACCTACTTTATCCTCAATCTGCGTGGGCCAATGGACAATACGAAGCTCAAGATGGCCTGTCAGGCATTGATCCAAAGGCATACGATCTTACGGACCATATTCCTGCCGTATCAATCGAAGACGGCACAAGTGGTGCTGCACGAGCGCGCCATAGATTTCTGGCGAAGTGTTCATTGTGAAGATATCGACCTGGACAGGGCGACTAATGATCTGATCAATAAGGATTGCATCCCAATTCCTTCAATGAGTGTGTTGATCACTCAATTTACATTGGTCCAGGGGCGCGATGATGACCACCGGTCTTTGGTGGTGCGGCTCTCGCATGCCCAATATGATGCATTCAGCATCTCGACCCTCCTAAGTGATCTCAAGGCCCTCTTTGAAGGCGTCTGCCTGCCGCAAGCCCCTTCATTTGCCGCTTATTTGGAAGAGTGCATGATAAGCAAGTCGGACCGCGCCGCTGACTTCTGGACGAAACTCCTCAGAGATTCTCATATGACCCGCCTTGGAAATAGAGGCTGCGGAACGGAGACATTGGATTTCAACACCCTGGTAGAAGATGAACGGACCATCCCTCTCCCTTGTCCGCTTCTACGCGGGGAGACCACTTTGGCGAACTTGATCAAAGCGGCTTGGTCCTTGGTCCTCTCTCGGCTGGGCAACTGCAGAGATGTAGTGTTTGTCCAGACAACTAACGGTCGGCACCTGGCTTCTGAAGAAACTCAGGGTGTCGTTGGGCTCTGTATCAGACGTCTCCCAGTGCGGGTGGCGCTCGATCCTACCTGGACGGTCCTGGATCTGCTTCGGGTCATCCAAAATCAGCACAGTGACGCCTTGTCATTCGAATCAGTTGAACTTCAAGAATTGATGGAACTTGGCTCGCTATGGGGCCCAGGGGTGCAGTGTGGCAGCATCCTAGTGCACCAGAACGTGAACCCAGAGAATACCTTCAAAATTGGGCAAGCGAATTGTTCAGTGCAGAGTGTGGCCAAGCCGTATCCGACAAATCATATACTGATTGAGACCATCCCCAGCAATTCCCATCTTCGAGTTCGGCTGGTAACCTCAAGTCAAATCTTGGACAAGTCAGGTGCGGAAATGGTGCTGCAGCGGCTCTGTGACACCATCATGCTTTTCGCCAGTTCGCCCAGTGTCCCACTGGCGGAAATACAGATGAGCCCTGCTCATTAATATAAGCGTACATAGATAATTGGCGTAAGAGCGGAGAGCAATCGATCCAGATTATAATACAAGAAGCAAATATAAGGTACAATTCTCTTCCTGTAGCCAGAAATTATATGGACTAGATTCAATTGAATTAACCCATGAATATAATCCTAATCCGCATGTTATCCTGCCCATTTAGCAGGATCAGCCAAGAAAGACAAGGGACTAGGTAGGGAGACTAACTAGCTAGCGAGGGAAAATTCAGAGAAAAAAATAGCTGTCTTTGCCCTTCTATCTGACAGTATCTAGGCTCTAATTATAGATAGGTAAGACATTGGGTGGAAGGGAAGGTTTCAAGAAAGTGACGTCACAAAGCAGTATTGAAGAGGTAGTAAGCGATTGTAAATATCTCTGTTGAAAGAGATACATAATATAGAGATTGCATGTTATGATGCTTTTCTCTGCATTAAGCGGCTGCATGTAGCCAGCGGGCCGCCAAGGTTGTGGGTGAAAATGTGATTTGATCCTAGTTTTCGACACCTCACCTCATCTTTCGCGCTTTCAGTTATTCGTGTTGAAAGGATATGGGTAAAGATAAGTAGGGCACTCGCGGCCCACGGGGGTAGGACCAAGGTTTCGACCAGGGCAAAGTTGTGTGGCGTACTTTCCGATAAAGAAGCACGAGTCGTAGGTACCTGGTTTCGGGTTTAGCGGATTCTCATTAGCCAAGCCGAAATAAAGACACGTACCAGCAGCACCACATGAGCTGTCACTGTTTTGGCAGTCATTATTATCTGTGTTGACCAATGGAACATGGATATTCATATGACTCCAGTCGCTAACAGAGCAGACCTGGTTATTGTAGTAGTGATCAACATAGTGTGCCTGTACATAGATATCAATGAGTCAAGTGATATGATAAAGATCTAGATAAAGGGGAGACAAACTCGAGCAATTCCATTCACCACAAAGATATTTGGCCGGAATGTTTCAATGAAAGGATGTTGTTGACCTGACTGGGTCCACGAGACGCCGTAAGAGGTTGCCACAGCCTTCCTATTTATGTTTGTTAGTATTATTCAGACCTAAAGAATACCAACATACCCCCAGGTATAGGAAAAGCCAACACGAAGGCCAAATTTTTCTAGCACACCTGCGCCAAGTTTCTTGTTCTATTAGTTCTGCCCAAGGGAAAAGGGACTCGATACCGGGCTTACGAAGTCTGGTCCCGCTTGGACGGAAACTTGGTAAGTGTATGACTTAGTATAAGTCTTCGAAATGCTACCAGGCGGGCAGAGGGTGTCGGAGATCTGATGCGTGTTGCCCCTGACGGTGTTCCAGTTCTGAGTTTGCCATTCATACCAGACCTGCTGGTTGTAAACACATTTGCAAGGTTCACACGAAGTAATATAGCTCTGTCTGGGCTCTAGGCTAGAGGAGCTGCGTGGATATCAGAATAATAATCCTTAGCTCTAGGTTCGTGGCAATATCACTTACTTGGTTGCGTTGTGGAAAGAGATGTCACGTTCATCCCAGAAACCAGGAGGGACGGCGACTCCTCCTTCTGGGAACTTGGAGAAGGTGATACCGTCAACCTCAAAGTGGTCATCCCGGTTCGGTTCAGGCAATGAGTACTTGTATGTCGCATTGCCAGTGCCACTATCTGTGATTGTACCATTGCGAACCAAGTCTAAGATAGAGACTTCATGATCCTCAGCTGCTGGTGCTTCTTGGGATGGTGCTGCTTGAATTCCGAGCCCATAAAGCGCAAGGATGAGGCCCAAGGATTGAAGAGAGACCATTTATAGAAGATTAGGATTCGTATAGTTAAATCTGTTCTGTCTATTTGAAGGAAGCTACAGAGTAGCCGGGGCGGCCTTATATATATTGTTCTGTGTCTTAGCTGATCCTTCGCTGATGTGCCCGGTGGATGGTCATATAGAAGTTATGCAGCGGTTTCGTAGAAGCTACTCCCACGTGAGGGTGGACTTAACCTCTATTGGATTAAAAATCTGGAACTCCTTTAGTTCCTATCCCCTACTACGAGCAAAGGCGCCATCAGGTAGGTTTGAAGTTTGATAGTGAAATCAATTTAACCGATTTAAAGGGCCACAAAATTTTCACCCACCAATAAGGCCGCCAGGTACGGAGTAGATGAGAGCTGCTTGTTCCCGCCACGCCAGGCAACTGTTAACCAGGTCGGACCTTATTGCTGGAATACTGAGAGTTATGCAGATTCCTACGGCTTACCCATTAGTTCTGAGCGCGTGCAAAACCTAATGGCACCATAACCGGGCGTCTGAGGCAAGAGAAACTTTAACTTTAATATCCAACTCTATCAGCCACATGCCTGTCAGGAACCAGGGGCAGGTGGAATCCTTCAGATCCTGAGGGAAATCCTTCAGATTCTGAGGACAATCCTTCAGATCCTGAGGCAAATCCTTCGATCTTTCCTCATTACGCCGGAAAGGCTTGAAAACATTGGCAAAATAGGGCCCACAGTTGAGAATTAACTGACCCCTACCACATTGCGGCTTAGGAAGTCTAAGCCTTCCTATTCGGGGTTGCGCAACGCGCGACCCGTCATGTCAATGAAAACTGACATCCCAATGATAAATCCCAGAAGATTATGCATTCGCTATATTATCTACCATACTAAAACATATAAAAATTCCGAAGATATATGAATAGAAAGTTGTTAATCTAGGGCTATCTAAAGATGCTAATTTTATTTAGCTTATCGTCTATCACTATGTTATTGCCGTGTGTAAAATTATAAATTTAAATTTTAGCTAGTATTCGTAACTTTATATGGAGAATATGCTATCTAATGCGTAATATATACTATCTAATAGGTCTATTATATAGGGGACATTCATTTTCTTAATATATAAAGAGGAAAATAGTAGGACTTAATATAATGGTGTAATTTATACCTTAATTCCTAAATAATTTTCTTAATATCTCTAGAGGCAATGCTATGACATTTTTAGAAGGGAGATATATATTTGAATAGTCTCTATAATCTATATACTTGGGAAACCAAGTCTGGACAAAACCGATTCCATGGCATAAATGCTGGAAAGGACTCGCCTTCTCGATTGAATTTCTGAGGATGTATCTAGTCGTCACAACACCACGCATTTGGCCAAACCGATGCACTCGATCTAGTGTCTGGGCCTCGATCATTGTGTTCCACTGGGGCTCAATGATATGGACGTGACTGGCCGCGGTAAGATCAACTCTAATTTCGTTCAACATGACCAGATAGGTTCATCAATCGAGACGAGAATGCTTCATATGTAACCTACCCTTCGGCAATACAGCCAATCGTAGCAAGCATGATTGTACAACTTGAACTTTCACGAAACCTTTTGAGTGCTACATTGCGTTGTTCGAGGGACGATACGTTGAAAGTCAAAGTGATTTGCCTGCAGTGCAGTCCCGAGGAGATTGAGCATCTTTGTCCAGTAGCTGAATATGACGCTAGTGATTAGATAATTGTTAGTCAGAATTAACAAGAATACCCAGAACAGTAGAACTGAGAACTCATCAAGCTGAGATCAAATGCATAAAATTGACCCATTACCTTTTTACTGCCAACTCTCCACTTTCACAGTGATTTCTCGCTTGCTCATTTCGAAGGTTCATAAGAAGAGCCTTGAACTTCGGAGGGGGACGATAATAAGACTGATGTATGGGTAGATCGGTATAGAGCATTTGGCGCAACAGGGAAGTCGGAAGGTAGTAAGGATTGGCTTTCTGGGGTTGCTAAAGTCTCCTTTCCAATCCCCGAATTGACTGGCCCTGAAATCTGGATTTTCTATGTTTCCAATGCAGAAGAAGGCAAAAGACTTTCCCCGTGATTGCATACCAATCTCAAAATGTTGATCAGGGCCAGAATGTTACCCGAGCGTGGCTGGCTCACCATCCTGCCGTGAGCGAGATTGCCGGTGACAAGGCGAGAAGCTCGACACTTGAAAAAGTTGTAAGCATTGCTTTCCGTCACATCTAGATCAACTAGATGCTCTCTATCAATGCGTCGAGGGATTTTCAATCGAACTTGAGCCGAATGTTTCGTTCGTCGCAGGCATGTTGTGGAGACGATTTCTTCAAGCGATCGAGGTCTTGTGAGTGCTTTATAGAGGCATGCATGGGAGCAGTAATCCAGTAATTAAAAGATTCCTTGCCTCCCGGCCCATTAAACGGAGGGACACCAACAAAGGACAATAATGCCACGAAGTCATCTAGCTTGTTGTGTATCGGTGTCTCCGTTAAGCACCATCGATTTAACGCGGAAATAGCGCAGGCAGCTTTAAAGGTGTTGGAAGAGCGATTACGGATTCGATGAGCTAATGTTGATTATCCTCAATTAGCGAATGTAGAAGCCGCGGGAACATAGATTAAAACCTGCCTTCATCGAGAACAATGCGGGCCCACACGTCATGCTTGTGAAACAAAACACTATCTACCATGCTTAAGGTCCTCCTCTAGACCAGGAGATAAAGGGGCTACTCGCAGCAAATGAGAAGGAGAAGCGAAAGCGTGCAGCCCCTAGATCTTTTATTGCTACTGGGGGTGTTCTGACAGGTGCTGAAGGCCAGCAACTTGCCCAAGAAGCTATACAGGCGATGGAACCAGTTCCTAAGTAGCGTGCACCACCACGATGCAATAATTGCCATCAAATTGGGCATATTCGAATTCACTGCCCTAGTAAATAATAAACGCTTGTGGAATCGACATGGTGTGAGACGACGAGAAATATGGTATAGCGGTAGGGTTGTCTCTGGTTGAGAATGGGATGTCCTGGTTTATTATAAATTTGTCCAACGGAACCTTATGAAAGCGTCGTAGGAAGTGTTGAACATGAGAACCTGAATAGGTGGATGGATACGAGTCTTGCATGGCGGATCCCAAAATATTCCGGTATCCCGTGCCAAGCACTTCCTACACTGTCCCAGCTTGGCACGGATATATAAGTTATTAGAGTGTTTTTAGTACTGCATATGCGCACTGGATAGTTGGTGGGAGGCCGTGGACGGGCTCTACTACCTCCACTCTAGCCCCGCCAATTCCCTCCTTTGGAGCCCGTTGTATCCTGCGGAGCGTTTCCTTGGCGACCTTGTCAGCATGTATGCATACCGTCGCTCCATTCTCTTTCCATTCCGCCATCTCCGCTTCTCCGGTCAAAAGACACGGGTGGTGACACCCATCTCCAGCTAGATAGACCTGTGATGCTTGCGAATCCGTGCTAAAACATTCACGTGAGTCAGCAGTCATCAAGCAGATGGCACAGCATGAAGACGGCCAGAGCACTATCGTATTTGGCTATAAACTGACCAATCACGCCCTCTGAAGTGACATCCACAACAGGTGACAGGCGAAGAGCTTCTTTGCGCTCTACAATTTGCTTATATATATGAATACATATCCCCAGTGTGTTTATGTTGTACGTGAAAAGGATGAAGAAGCTCTCGAAACAGCTTGCAAGGTGACCTATCATGCTCATCCAGTAATAATCACCTCATTCTTCACCTGGATACCCGGCCTCTTGACTGCGGATTCCCGACTGTGTACATCGCGAGCCACCAAAATTTCAGACGGCATCATCTCGTAGTCACCGTGCCCGCGTCCAGACCAATTAAGAAGCCTCTTGTCATCTCTAGCGGATGACCCTAGGGCACTCGTGGGCTTCGATTGGCTGCGCAATCGGCCCCCAGCCGATCGGGAGTTCGTGTGCCTAACGGTGTACTCGGTCAAATGACTAAAGACGTTGCCGAAGACCGGCTTCAGGGCGGGGACAGACAAGGCGATCAAGGTGCTTGAAACTTCGGCGTTCTCAACGCACAGCATGGGGTTGTAAGCCCAGCTGCCGTCGGAGGCCCATTGTCCAACGACTACTAGCCAGACACGAACGGCGGAAATAACAATTACACTATGACGGGTGAGTGAAAGGCCCCACTGGGTTGAGAAATCTGGATAGACCTACAAAACACCAGGAAACATGACAAGGGAGAGTTTGATCTTCCTGTCTAAAGAGACGTGCAACTCCTTAATCAGAATGCCGGGGATGACGAACATCATTACGTCGCAGGCGAGAGAGACGCCGGAATTGACGGAGTAGACCAATCCCCACGAGAGACAATAGTAGCTGATGGGCTCAACCTGCCAGTCATAAGGCCAGAGCCCGGTCACGGGCTTGCAGTGGAAGATTAGAAGGAAAATCTGGGGCAGATATGCGGCGGTAATGATACCAGCGACAATTATACTGCCCAGTCGTAGCTTGCTCGAGCGTGCACTAATGCGAAAGTAGAAAGCAAGACCAGATAGTCGGCAAAGGAAAAGAGCTGTTGTATAAAGAATGTGGGCGACGAAGTCAAGAACTTCCGTTTCGCGGACGGTGGACATGGAAAGGACATATTGGATATATTCGATATGGCGCCCACTACCCAGTTCTATTAGGACAATCGAGAGAACGACGAAGACCATATAAACGACCTGTAAGTGGATAATCTAGTTAGTTGCCGATTTTTCATTTTTCATGCATGGGTTACGAATGATCATTTGGTTCAATTTTTGACAAATCCATGTGCCGTATATGGGGAGCATACTTGGTGGGCTATGGTGTCAATTAGGACTGGAAAATGCACATACCATGGTGAGAACAGCCAATCCATCATCCAAACCGACTTTCTTAACCAGGAATAATCGGGCATACAAGCGGAGGAGTAACACCAAGCCCGCGAAGCAGACCATGAATAAGATGCCCACAATAGCCGAGCGATCCCGCGATTCTGCGAGATATGACAAAGCGATGTCATGAGGAATGCTTCCCATGGCATTTGCAGCCAGGATGTCTTCGGGGATTGCCATGGCTGGGCGTTCAACGGAGAGTCCGGCACGGTTTAACAGCACATGGAAAAGTGGTTCAAGAAGCGACAGTCCAAGTAGCCAGAGTCCAGCGAGAGGTGGCCAAGCTATAATAAATGTCCACAGACAGGTCTGAGATAAAAGACATAGCTGTTTACCGGCATAGGAGTTGAGAGAGACGAAAAGTGGACGTATGGGCGGGTCTTGGGCGCTGGAAAGAAACACAACGCTTTCCGGACGTTCTGACGTGGGCAGCCACCGGGATCAACGAGCTTCTTAGGGACCGTACTGAGATTTCGAGAAAGTTTACCTGTGGAGCTCAAATGGGATTATTCTGTTCCAAGCCAAGGATGAAACTTAAAGCAGCGCTCAGTTTTCGCGAGCCTGGACCATGATTCCCAAATTCATCACCGGGCACGAGAACGAATGTCACCGCTGTCCTGTTGTAACAAATAAAGTTCTCCTGAATCTCTTAGTGTTGAACCTGGTTTCTATAATGCTGCAGGTACGATGTCTACGATGTCTCTTGCGCGCCCGACGGGTTACAAGGTTTCGGCGAAAGAGTGATTTGTTATTAAAGTACTATGTAGCTACGCCAAAGGGCATTATATTTACAAATGCCAAGCCTGGAGGGGTCTCAGGTGCCAGCCAACGAGACATATCTCATGTGCAAATCCCACGCCGTGGCCAGCCAGTCCAGTCCACAAAGATTCAGGGCAGTCCACTTGACCAGCCAGACTGGCACCGAACCGAACGGCTCCCGATCGGCGGACGCGATCGAGATCCGGCTCCGACCCTGCGTTCCAAGCGCAACGACTGGGAGACATACCATGATTGGTCCATTTGGCAGAGGTCATCCCTTCTGAGAAGGATGTTCCGGTCTGCGCCCACGGAACCCGAAGCAGAAGTTCGGGAGATATCGGTTGCAAAGAAAGGGCCGACGGGTGCCAGACAAGCGTCCTCTGGTTGGTCTCGAGCGCCCCATCCATTCGTATCGACGGTTCCAATGGGTCTTCCGATGGTTCCTACTACCTGCTCCGCCGACCGCAGGAGCCAATAAGGAAGAAAAGAGCGACAGCAAACGAAGAGTGCAGAAGCACTATCGATTTCTGTCGTGTAGCGATCGATAATCGAACACAACGTGGTCAAAGGTGACCATAAGGCCATAGTGCAGTGGGCCAACCTTGATTAGTCACGAATCCACAGACATGCAACTAACTAACTAACTAGTTACCTGTTCCTTCCCGACATTAAATAATTGGGAAGATTTCTCTTAAGCTGCTCGCTCTATATGAAACCCAAGTCCTCTGGGATCCTGGATTTTTTTGTTGCCATATGATTTTCTGGTGGGCTCTGGATTCGATCCCTCCGCCTATCTAATCACTTCCATCATGGCGCCCCTGGTGCAGGCTCTCGCGAGTGGCCTCGCCCTGACTGGCTCAGCGCTCGCGGTCGCCCATAGACCGGACGTCGACCCTCTGGTCGAGTCCCAGATTTTAACGGATCCTTATGCATATGATTTCCCCCGGCTCGGAGCCCCGGGCGCGTCGCTGTTCCCCATGCGTCTCTGCCATGGGGTCAAGCTGGAGGAGGCCAGTGTGGATGATCTTCAGAAGCACATGAGTAATGGCTCCCTGACCAGCGTCCAGCTGTTGGACTGTTATCTCGACCGTATCTACCAGACCCAGCCCTATCTAAAGTGAGTGGAGTTGTAAAGGTTTATTCTCGCGTGTGATCCGGACCCAGAACTCACCAGACGATATCTCACCAGTGCTATTTTACAGCTTAACCCAGACGCTCACTCCATTGCCCGGAAGCTAGATGAGGAGCGTGCCAAGGGCAAGGTTCGCGGTCCTCTGCATGGAATTCCTTTCATTGTCAAGGACAACATTGCCACGAAGGACCGCATGGAGACTACCGCGGGGTGCTGGGCTTTGCTTGGCAGCGTTGTGCCTCGCGACTCCTTTGTGGTTCACGGTATGCGCAAGGCCGGTGCTCTGCTGCTGGGCAAAGGTGCTCTGAGTGAGTGGGCGGACATGCGCTCGAACAACTATTCCGAGGGTTTCACGGCTCGTGGTGGTCAGTGCCGCAGTGCTTACAACTTCACCGTCAATCCGGGCGGGAGCAGCACTGGCTCTGGTGTGGCCGTTGGTGCCAACCTGATTCCCATCGCTCTTGGTACTGAGACCGACGGAAGTGGTATGTAACATCACTTATTGGCTGTCTTGATTTTACCTGCAACTTCTCACACCATTCCAGTTATCAACCCTGCCCAGAGAAATGCCATCGTTGGCATCAAGCCCACCGTCGGTCTGACTTCTCGTTCTGGCGTCATTCCCGAGTCTTTGCACCAGGACACTGTCGGCACCTTTGGAAAGACCGTCCGCGATGCGGTATACACCCTCGATGCCATCTACGGTATCGACACCCGTGACAACTACACCCTTGCGCAGAAGGGTTTGACTCCCAAGGGTGGCTACACACAGTACCTGGCCAACAAGGATGTCCTTAAAGATGCCGTCTTCGGCCTCCCATGGAAGTCCTTCTGGACTCTTGGTGATGCCCGGCAAATTGCTCAGCTAGAGGAGTTGCTCGATCTGATCAAGTCTGCCGGTGCGACCATCATAAACGGTACCGAGCTCCCCCATTACCAGGAGATCGTGTCGACTAACGGCTGGAATTGGGACTACGGCTCGACCCGTGGGTACATCAATGAGTCGGAGTACTCCTACATCAAGGTTGACTTCTACAACAACCTGCGCGACTATCTCGCCGAGGTCGACAATACCAACATCAAGTCCCTCGAGGATGTCGTCAAGTACAACGAGGACAACTTTGGCTCTGAAGGTGGCTTCCCTGGTGTTCACCCTGCCTTTGGCTCCGGGCAGGATGGCCTCATCGCCTCGCTGGAGAGCAAAGGGATCATGGATGAGACTTACTTTTCGGCACTAGAGTACTGCCGTCGCACCACCCGCGAGGAGGGTATCGATGCTGCTCTGAAGCACGGGAACCGCACCTTAGACGGCCTCCTGGTGCCTCCCGATGTTGCCCAAAGCATTCAGATTGCCGCCCAGGCTGGTTATCCTGTCATCACCATCCCAGCTGGTACCGGCGTCGAGTCTGGCATGCCGTACGGCCTGGCTATCATGAACACTGCTTTCTCGGAGCCCACTCTAATCAAATATGCCAGTGCCATAGAGGATCTTCAAAAGAGCTCTGGCACTAAGTGGCAGCGCACACTACCCGAGTGGCGCGGCTACCTCCAGCGCAACTTGCCCGTGATCATGTAAGTGTTTGAACTGGGTTCCAGCGTGTGGCACGATGAAAGTTGATTCCACGTGGAAGACTGTACTATTGAGCATCACGGATGAACAAGGACTAAATTAAGTGGATAATATAAATTTGCCCGAAGTTGGCTTTACAGTGTAAAGCGCACCGGATCCGACCAGCCTTCCCATTCCGCTCATCTCCGTACGCGAACTGTCCTGGCTGGCTCCATTAGATCATGGCTTTTCGTGAGCTCTAGTCTCTACAAGCAAGCTACCAAGTTACGGTTGCAAGTTTGGTCCTTCCATTAAACAAACAGTGCAGAATTCGCCGGTTAAGATGGTTCTATCTAACTTCATCTGGGCACGGTGTATGTACTGCTCGCTACGTTCCGGTTCTTTGTTAAGCAGCGCCAACATGATGCCTGTACTGCCGCAGTTGTAGTATACAATACCTTCGGCTTTTGAGGCCAGCGACCTGGCTGCCGAAGTCTTCCAAGCGTGGCGAATTTTGAGGAGCAAATCGTGTATGTCTGCTCGGGGGCAGCGAAACGCGTTACAGTTATACACGTCGATATTGACTTCGAACCGAGGTGCGAAGATCGCACTGTAGATGGATCAACTCTATATAATTAGTACTGCAAGTTAAGCCAGGCTACTAGCAATGCTGCGCGGCCAATATCTCGCCAGTTTCATGTGATAATTGACCATCTACGAAACGCAGGATTTACCGATGTTAAGCATAAGTAATTCATATTGCCCTTAAATAAATGGCACCCAGACAGCTGGATATCAAACATTGGCTGCTGGTATGACAGTGCTTTCTTTAAGAGCATTGAACCCCTCAGCCTCACCCTGTTCTGTCGGATCCTCGGCTGGACCCCAGGTGACGTTTGGCACTTAGTCAGTGATGCAAAGTCAGAGCTGCTCAACCCAGTGGCCTATACCTTCCATGTCTTGCATATCTACACAGCGAGAAAAAAACACATCTAGTAGCATATGCGCCAGTGTTGAGTCAGATTGTTAGTGCAAGGGTGCGGTCCGTCATTTAACAATCAGTCTTGTTGCCAGCACAACTGCCTGCATCCGTCGCCGCACTGAGTTAACGTTGGGTCAGGATGACTACACGGATGGCTCTCACAGTAACAAGAATTTAATCATCATGTTCGTGCTGCGCTGTCCTATACTATATCCGATGAGGCTGACAAGCGAAGTGCCAATGCCGGCGATTTGACCGCGGAATGTGCATCGCATCTAAGAAGACCAATGGCAGTATTGCTCATGTGTTTATGATCGAATGTGGTGATGCCAAGGCTTTCGAATGTGAAGGAGAGGTGGAAGGCTGAGATCATCCTACCTAGTATGGTATTAATTCATGGCACTGCTTTACAGACTCAAACGGGATTGACCACATGCAATATCTCTACTCTTCCTATTATCTACAGGTGTCTATGAATATGAGAGCACATAGCACCGCTGCAGATCTGTCTTACTCATTATATTCCCCATGTATCCTCCTGCATTAGTCCTTCTGCAATGACTCACTCAAAGTTACTCTCCTTATATAAATACCTGGTTTATTAGATAGCTCCAATCAATCTTATCATTCTCTTATCCACTGCTGAATAACATCACCATTATATTAATCAAATCAAAATGTCCAACCCTCTCTCACCCTACTCCCCGCACACCCTCTCCCTCCTGGATCGCCTCCACGCATAATCAACCACCCAGGAATCGTCTATCTTCTGGTTAACCTACGCCACCCCCTCAACTGAGTCCTTCCACACCCTCATGCGCGATAAATTCATTGCCCTTGAGTAAGATAAGTGCTACTTCATCTACCAACTTGCCTGCACCCTCAATGCGACCACCATTGTTGAAGTAGGCACTTCCTACAGTGTGAGTGCTATTGACGTTGCTCTTACTATAATGGATGACCTCTCCGCAAATGCTACAGCCTATGGCAAAGGTGCTGTCATCATAACTAAATATAAGCTGGCCAAGGCTGAGTAGGCACATAAACACTGGGCTGAGTGTGGGGAGAGCATTAGTAGTGTGATTGACCTCTGTAATAGCGATCTGCGGGAGACGCTTAAGTTACATCTCCTTGATCAGGTTGATCTGCTGTTGCTTGATAGTAAGTTCCTCAACCTCATTATGATGACTGACTGATGATTAATAGGGTGGGGTAGTCTGGAAACCAATGGCACTACCCATGCTGAAGCTGGTCCAGCCAAAGCTGAAGTATGGCACTGTCGTAGTGGTGGATAACATGCTAAGCTTGGCGGAGGGATACAAGGAGCTCCTGGAGTATGTGCGCGCCCCTGGGAGTGGGTTTAGTACTTTGACGTTGCTGTATAAAGGGGGGCTGGAGATGAGTGTCTACCTCCCGTGTCAGTAGCTGTTTCCTCTGGTGGTATACGACATATAGCGACGACGATAATTACATCCACGATTTCCTAATGACCCAGTACTTGCGCTCTGCGATAAACATTTTACCACCAAATGCCTGTGGCACAATCTAAAATGAGCGCCTACAAGCATTTGTGGTAAATTGGATGACGTATCTGTCCGCTGCGATGGAAGGGCGATCAATAGCCACAAACAAATAGTGCCTGTCTCTAGGGCGACTTTCCCAAGTATGTGCCACCCAAGCCGAAGCTGCATAACCGCTGTCTGCCGTGCTTGTATTGACAGGAATATCAGACGATTTCACGACAGTGCCATTTCCAGCATGTTAAAATATATCGGTTTGGGCCCCTTGTGGGACAGGAAATTTGTCAGTAACGTATATAAATTTCTGCTTGTTTGGCTGTGCATACCATTTGTGAAACCCATGTCTGTGGAGTAAGTTGGGGGTATGTTTCCCGGCAAGGCCGCAACGTTGTTGCCCTCGGCTTGGAAAAAAGCAATGAGCTGCTTAGGGCCATGGACTCCAGGACCTGGGGGAAGAGAAGGAACCTTCGGTTTCTGACCACCATTGGGGTTGATAATCTTGCACTTATGTGGTGTCTGATACATGTTTCCCTGTCCGTAACCGAGGGGAACCCATCTAGATGAGTAATGGTGAGCCAGGACTGTCAATCTAACCAAAGCATCACCCATAACCAAAAATTGCAGCTTTGAGTTGATACGTACCCAGTCGCGCAGAGACATTCAGCGCAAGGAGCAAGGTCCGGAATAGAATAGTTTGCCAAAAGCTCAAATGGTGTATTTGGAGCAATAGAAACAACCACAAAGTCTTCCATGGTAACTTCCCAAATAGAACGCTTATAGGCGACTGCAAGAGCCGTACCAGCAGCAGTGGACTTGTTGGCACAGTGTAGATTCGGCTTGGCTAGTCCATGAGATGAAGTTACAAGGCCTGCCGCAATCACAGCGGGATTTGTCACCGAGTAAGGGGTCGGGTAAGCATCTTCCGGTACGCAGCTGCCGTAGAAGCCAGTACAATTCTGCCTGGTTGTCCAGCCAGCGGAGACAACGGAGTTCGCAGTGATTTCCCAAATGCCAGTCGGTTCAGCGAGCCAGCAGTTTTTCCCTTTGGATATGAACCTGCTAGAACAAGACATGAGCCATCGGTATAATAAATCATCCGTAGCTATCATATATACCAGTCGTCGCCTGACAGTCGATAGAGAGGATCAAAGATGTGACGATTTGGATCGGTTGCGTTTGTGAGCGCTCCCTGGTAGGAGCCCTTGTAGATAGTTAGTTTTTTGGGATTTTGTATCTTTTATAATTACCTCTGGACAATACATTCCCTCGGTGAATGCTGCAAGGTGCGCGGAAGTTAATGGAATGGACAAAAGAACAAAAGTCAGTGGCTTGCAGCACATTTTGAAGAGACTTGACAGAATCGAGCACACTGATAAAGGGTGTTTGATGTAAGACTAGGAAGGCCGACAGTCAACGAAGGGTGACAATTAGAAAACGTGGGTTCTGTTTGGAAAACGGGAAATGGGCAATATAAGAATGCAATTGAAAGAGGGCCAAAGTCGAGGTTAGTCAAACCTGTATCCTTGACAATGGTTTGATACAACGTCCAGAGATATGATTGCTCAAGGTATAAGTTATGCGAAGATCATTAACTCTATGTTTCACACTATCCCGGAACTTCGGGGGCATGTTACTTGCAAACACGTTACAGCATGGGGTCCAATCATCCAAATTCTAAAGCGAGAACCTAGTGGATTTTAACGGCTCAGGTATTGTTCGGTTTAACTTCGACGGCCTGGTCTCGGTGTTTCAGTCATAACTCCATTGATAGATATTTGTAAACCCTGAACAATGCCCGGTCTTTTAGGCCGTTTAGAGAGTGAGTGGATGTTTTCTATGACTTTTAGAAATACAAGGACGGCTAGTATGCTTGAAAGAGCAACTTGAACATTAGCATTTAGGGAGCTGTTGCCAAGAAGACGCCCTTGAAAGTGCCGGCTTTATAGTTTAAGTCCTCCTTATACAGGTCGAACGTAGGTGCCGCGTCCGTAAGTGGGAGAGACAAGAGACTGGCAAAATTTGAACTGTAGTCGAAATTGTATCTCATCTGCAGCCCTCGATAGCATATATTCCTTGTATCGAGAACACAGCTAAACCCCAGGTATGTAACAAACAGCGGAATTTGCCCCTCCATGTTCCTATTCTTAAATTCCTAATTTCCGGCTACCGTGGGATGCCATACCCGGATACAACAGCATGGCCACCATGTAGAGAGAGGAATCATTTCATGCCTATGTCCCATGTATGTGAGTGGCTTTTGTTGTATGCAAACTTTGTGTCTTATAAATCCCATTAAGATTGCGGTAACTAAGTTTTGGGCCTGGCTACCCCTGGTGCGTCACCGAATTCCGTACAACTGGCCGTTCTCATGGCGCCATGAAGACCGTACAAAATTGTTCCGATGTGAAGTTTATATTGATAGTGGTCTGGAAGGTTGAGCAGATAGTGGATGGATTTTGGAAAGCATAGACTGACTTTTATTGGAAGACATTCCCGCCCCTTGACTGATTTTAGGTCCATGATTGGTGGTATCGTCTCCGTTGTTACCCTTAATTTCCCCGCTTTATAGGCTTAATCTTACGGAAAGAGCAAAGGACCTGACAGACTACTACGTATGTATTGCAAATTGGTTATGACCAGCACACTCCAGCTTACGCAACCACGCCGCAATGTCCAGTTCCCGCACTATACAATTGCAGGGTTTCAACGCTACCGGACGCCACGCTCATTGAACACAGGATCGAATCCTACTTTCCTCAACGGTTGACTTGTGAAATGGTGTTCGTCTCAAACTGATGAAACCCAACTCGATACGCCAATTGAATGGGATCTGGTTGATCGTGCTGCGAGCCATCCGCGTCGAGTTTTTCAAAATATTCCTATATCGGGCAATTGCCAACCCCTCCGAGAAACGGGACTATGAAAACATGCGTTGTGACAACCAGATGACTGAATGGGGCGTAGCTTTGTACCACACCGGGGACCGGGCCCATAAATGGGTATGTCTCCGTACTCATCATTCACGATCATTTACCTGAAAATTTGACCTTCAAGTGACAATCGTATGCGATCAATACGGATACATGCATCACTTGAGTGGGCTTTATCTATTGTCTGCCCCGTTAATGAGAATGCATCTCAAGACCTCACCTTTACGGTTTTATCGGGCATGGCCTGACAATTTTATGCAGCGGCTGCCGGAGAAAGGACCACCGATAAACGTGTCTGATTTGCTGAGCAATTATGAGCTCGCAAGCCCTACGCTGCGAATATACTATTCGATGCGTGCGCATGTCGGTATTGTTTTTCTTCTCTTCTTCCGTCGTGCTTAGGATTTCATTAGTCAGGACTCGATACAAGACCACGTTGACGTTCATTGGTGTTCGAGCAACCGAGGAATGGCAAGGTTGCAGGCTACTTGTTCTGTGGCCAGGTGTTAGAACCGCCTGTCAGGTCATGGTTCTGGCCGAGATCACAATTGGACGTACAATAGGGTGCATAATATTGCCTGGGTGCGTTTCATTTCGGTTGCGTCCCCCTGTTATTATCACAACTTACCGCAATTATTCACCGTGGTGGGAAAGCTAACCTTCATGATCTATTTCATAGCATTTCCGGAATTATTCAGTCAACCAGCTCTGCAAAAACCTTGAAATGCAGGGTTACTTTTCTGAATCTGAATCTGAGCAAGCAAAGCTGAAAGAATCCTTAGGAAATTAGTCCGAGTCTAGCTCGCTCTAGAGGCATGGAGCAACGCCAGATTATCTTTGCACCCTCGCCAGCTATTGAATTGCACCTAATTTCACATACCAGGAATGGATTCTCCACTTCKGTGAACTTCGTAGTTCCTTTCCTTATGAGGATTCTGTACGTTGCTGGTTGACGCTGACGAAACCTTGGGGATCGATTTCTGTCTCACACCGGATATCATTAATCGAGCCATCGTTGCTGCAGAATATGGACGAGCCGGTGCCGTCCCGATATTCGTCGTAATCATTGACACTGTAAAAGACATGGCTACTAGTCACCTGTTTGTAGATGTCAACAGACAAGATACCTGTCAGCGAGGCAGTTGTGGCAGTGGTGTACTAAACAAGTAGTTCTGCGGTGCCAAGAATTCTCTATGGACTACAAACGCTCCGGTTACAATGCTTTAACGCCACAGTTAAACCTCAAACGTACTTCCCCTGAATGTGGGGATTCAGGACTCCTCAAACGGGACCGGCAGTGACAGGCGAAATAGTATGGTTTCTGCTCTCTCAAGGCACAGATAGAAAACTACTCCACTGTATTACCAGATTAGGAAATTGGTAGATTCATGGAGGTTTCGCGAATAGCAATACTGGAACAAAGCCACGGTTGACAAGACACATCTACATATCTCCACCACCATGAAAACAGATGACTTAACCAATTCAAGTAGCTCAATACCGACCATGAATTGCCGGGCGAAGGTTGCTGCCAATGATCAACTAACTTTAAGCTACCAACCAATGGAAGTAGGGCTTCTAATTAGTAGTGACCTAGAAAAGTAGGAGCCACCCGAACATTTTAGCGCTTGTGCTAAGCATATTTATTAATTTACTACTCATCCATATGCTTATGCACAGAGATTTAGTCCTTGCTTGCCCTAGTCTAATAAAACGATGTAACAGCATGAATGGGCCTTACTTGATCTTGAATCTACTAATCCACCGTCACGATAGGAGCTTGCGCATGATAGGTACGAGGAGATGGAACGCAGAGATGTTACTTTTCCTCAGCCTGCCCAATGGGTAGCAATGTCGTGTTCCAGTCACCACGGCTGGAGAGCCCATGAGCTTTTTGAGTCCTATATAAACAGCTGCCAGTGTTGTCGGTCTCCTTTGACGGGTCCTATCTCTAGTATATTCCTCATAAAGAGAAGTTATCTTGTCTCCTATCATTATTTCTCAAAGATTCTCTATATACTATCCTTAGCCCACGTGTTATCCTTAACACTCCTGTCTTCAAATTATATACGATCTGCCACTGTCTTGTAACCTGACCATTCCTTACAAATGTGCGGCCGCTATGCTTCCCTCCTCCCCGCCTTGGCTTCTCTGGCCTTGGCCTGGAATCCTCCCTCATACTCAGGGTACACGCTGCAGTGGAGTGACAGCTTTGCCGGCTCATCAGCAACGCTCCCTAACTCTAACAACTGGAACGTCATCACAGGAAACCTAGGGGTGAATGGCGAGCTAGAGACATATACTAGTTCAACCGCGAACGTCCAGCTGAGTGGCGGCGGCACGCTGCAGCTGGTGCCTTTGAAGGACAGCTCTGTATCAGGTGGGTGGACTTCAGGCCGTGTTGAGAGCAAGTACATCTTCACGCCGAGCGCAGGAAAGGTAACAATTGCTGAGGCCAATATCCGGTTCGGCAGCAATCCTACCTCAGACAAACAGGGGATCTGGCCGGCATTCTGGATCCTGGGGAACTCCATCCGATCAGGGACTGCGTGGCCCGAGTGTGGAGAGCTTGACATCCTTGAGGCCATCGATGGCAAGCTGACGGGCTACGGCACCGCCCATTGTGACGTTAACCCGGGCGGCATCTGTAATGAGCCGAACGGCCTAGGGGGAAGCATCACCATTCCAGATCAGTCATGGCACACATGGCGCATGGCTTGGGACCGCACCTCATCTAACTGGCAATCCGAGACAATCACCTGGTATATGGACGGCAAACAGTTCCACCAGATCACCGGGTCCCAGATCGGCAACTCGGGTGTATGGGCCACGCTGTGCCACGACCCGCTGTACTTCATCCTCAACGTCGCTGTCGGCGGCTATTGGGTAAGTCCAGAGACTCTTTTGATTTTCCACCTTCCCGAATATTCGCATCCCAAATGTTCAGAAGATGAGAGGGCTGATGTGATATGTCTTTTAACATTGAAGCCCGGGAACCCTAACTCGAACACTCTCGGCGGCTATGGCAGCATGATGGAGATCGGTTATGTCGCCGTCTACGTGTCTTAAAGCTCTGTCTGTGGTACCAGTATACTGGTTGTCAATATTGTTTTCGAGCCATCCCGTACATACTCGCTTTTGTACAGCCACCCAGTCGTTTCATCATATTTCACTCTTTATATCATCATATTAGACTTTGGGTCGTAAAAGATAATGAGTAAGTGCTGAGCTGGTGGTGGGCGCACGGGGGAACTCAGTTAAGAAAGTCTTTCTTGCTGCCGGGGAAGCACAGCCCTATCCCCCAGTTTAGCCATTCATGTCAATTTTTAATGTACCCTGTGAGCGAGTCGGACAGCCCACGCGTTTTGACCGCGATCGAAAACCTAGTCAATCCAACTACCAACCATGCCACCAAAAGTGGGTCAAAACTCAAGAAATTGAACTGAGAACGAATGGAGGATTTTGCTTGCTATCTCTGCTTTGAAAAAGTAGGAAATTTGCAATATTCGTGAAGCAGCACGTATTTGTAATGCTCCTCGCTCCACTTTGCAAGATCGACTACGCGGAAAATCATATCATCGATATCACTTCGGCCTGTAGTGACGTCCAAGTCAGTTCCAGTAATCTGGGTGGCTTTGTCCAAGTAGTCACATACGATATGGTATGCTGTAACCGGCGTGAAGACACTTGGCGTGTAAGGAGGCCCTGTATTTGGCATCGACATAGATTCAGACAGAGTTAAGATTAGCTCCATCCCCTATACCTTTTTTGAGTCCGAGCCTGGCATACCCCTGGTCAAAGTGGAGTCAAAAACTCTCTTTGTCGTCTATTATAACACGACATTAGCGCTGCAGGCCGGAAATGGTGGAAGGTTGGTAAAGTCCTTCTTGGGCAAGTACTGGGCAAAATGCTCGGTATGAAAGCCCAGCTGGGGTTCTTCCCTGAGTAGAGGCTATAAACTCGGGCAACTCCCAGATCTCCCACCTGTGGATATGATGACCCTGACCATGCTAGTCCACAGCACCACATGCGCCAAAGCGATCTCAAGCTTTTGATCATGCTCGACCTTCAAGAGACAACCGCCAAGTGGATAGCCTCTGAAAAATGAAGGGTGCTCTTTGGGGCCGACGTCGTCAGTTCCAGACCGCCCTTCCACAAACGAACAGTTTTGATCATTGTGACAATATGCGTTTGATCCATAGAGTCCGGTTAGCAATTCAACACAAGCAAGGCATAATACTGTTGCTAGGTTCCAGTTCCTTGTTAAAGAGTGCCAAGCATCTGCACTTACCCTTATTAGCATGCTAGGTTCCCAAGAAAAATCATTAGTCCTTGAATAGTTAATTGTTCATTTAGTTAACTGGGGGATAAAATACAGATAAGAAGTTTAGAAAGCCCAGAACAGTGACCCATAGGGGCTTCTGACGCAAAGCTTCTGGGTATCAATGAGAAATGCACCATGTCAATCTGCGTCCAGACACCGACCAACCAAGCAAGTCAAAAGACAACAGCAATGCAGAGAAGGGTATATCAAAAGTAAACTCAGTATAAGGCCCTCTGAAGTTCTTTCTTTCTTTCTCTTTTTGGGTGATTTTCTTGTTTTACAGCCATCATGCCATGGCGGCAGTGAGAGCGCGGCTATTATGAAGCTACAGACGCGGAAGGGCTTCTCGCCAGCGTGTCTGTGCGAGTGGATGACCACACTGGACGGGCGAGAGAAGGCCTTGTGGCAGGTGCAGCAGATGTAGCGACGTGATTCTGCAGGTAGGAGCTGGAGCTGGAGGGCGGGAGATAGTGATGGTGCTGCCAGGCCGGAGTGACAGAAGAGATTTGCGGCTGGTGTGCGGCGGCCAGGGAAGCTACAGTAGCTGCTACCATGGTGGAGGGTGCAGGGGATGGCTCAATGAGTGAGGAGTACAAGGCGACGCTGGGCAGCGGCGAGGCGTGGAAGCATCACCAGGGTCTGTTGCAGTAAAGGTATCGACCCTGTGGGCTTGTTGGAGGACAAATGGTGGCCGCTGCTGTGGAAGCCAGAGCCCAGACACAATAGGGGTGTCGGGGGCATACCAACGGACGGACTGGTGGAGAGAGAGGTCGTAGGGCGAGGCCCCTTTGAAAATCAGTCTTGGTATACAGCCTTTTCAGGCTTTCTTCTTTTTCTCTGTGCAAAAGGATGCCCCTAACCGCTATATACTGCTAATGATATGTATAGCTAGTGAGAAATGCCGAGGTATTTCTTAGCGCTTTGAACGACTGTTCTCGCTCAGAACATGTTTCGTCGCTCCGCAGGAGATTACGACTCTCAATAGAAGAACTCAGACGGAACAAAGATTTAGTCAAGGCAAAGCTTCTAGCCCAACTTGAAGATATACAAACTCAACAAACTAAATTAGATCAGTTTAGAAAACTCCATGATACGGGATGTGTTCAGTGAAAACAAATTCTGCCGGCTGGATGTCAGTGCTGGACTAGAAAAGACAATCTGCCATTCAGAGCTAACAAGGATTCTTAATTATAATCTGATGTGGGAACCTCGCGTCCTCCAATCAGAATCGGAGGCTGAGGATGAGATGAGGACGGTGATAGGTATGTGCAATGGCCAAAATGAATGACCATACTCCTCATCTGATATGTAACTAGTCAAAAGGAACTGCATCTGTGGACGGACACTTGATGCAACCACTCTTGATAAAATTCAGCTAATCTTCAGCCTTATTTTTTTCCGAGCTCAGTTCTAGCAGTTGGAAGAGCTAACTACTGGATTGCCTGCTAGACATCATTGGATGCTTTCCTGTAAGTGGGGAAGATCCATGCAGCTTTAGTGCTGACATCCAAATGGATACGTACACCTCGACCACCCGCCCACGGATTCGTAGAAGCGGCGGCTAATCCTGTTGGAACACGATCATTTCTCATTGGAGCCTACGAACTTATTATCAACTACTTTGTGCTTAGCTATACACACGTTCAGTCGCTAGCTGATAGAATATCACATTTACCATAATTGCATCAACTGCATTCCTGAAAATGATGGGCCAGAAGGTCATACAGAATCCCGGTATAGTTAATTACTTCAGATGGCTTCGAATGCTCAACCTCATGGACGTAACCTCTTTAATCGCGGAGTCAAAATCGCGTAAGTTAAGAAGCCTGCCGTGCAAGATTTTGCCAATGTGAGTTTTGCTGATGTCTTGGCCGTCTTTTTTAATTTGTGACAGGAGGACCTCCAAGAATCTAAGGGGGCTCTAATCGAAGGTAGATTTTGAGGTCTCATTGCCACGCAGAATGCATCTATTGCAGTAATACTGAAATTCTCTGGTCTTGTAACAGAGGCTACCCTTAGGGCATCATATAATCTGAGGTACTCACGGTATAAGCTAATATATAACTGACCCGTGAATAAATTTAACTGTATCTTCAAGTTATCTGATATGTTAATAGTGTCAGGACGGCTAGGAATATTGATTGTACAGGTCTAGCTGATCTAGAGATATGAAGCTTAGGTTCTGACATGGCGCGTATAAATGAATTATGGCATCTGTAGATTGTTGGACCTCTGGAAGCAGATGTATAGCCTTATAGGCAGTTATAATTATGACTTGACTTGCAGTTTATTTTCCAGAAGTAGAATTGTCGATAGAGTGGTTTAAGTCCCATTGAACAGGGCGCTAATATATGTTAGATAAACAGGGAGACCCCTTAGGCAATTGAATAGTAGTCATGAAGTTGGTTATAAATTATAATCCTGAAGGAAACTGAGTTTATAATCGAAACAAAGCGATATAGTCATTGATCTGACATGCCCCAAGGATGTTACTATACATACATTAGTCAAGAAACCCAAAGCTTATAGTTCCACTAACTAATGCCTAAAACGCAAGAGGTCTTCCCGGTAGTGAAACTCGCACGTTGAATTTTCTATACTAGAATGAATTCCCAGCCACGAAAATAGCGTTCTTCTAAGAATTCCGATCCATACGTAGTGGCAACTTCAACTAAGCTCTATAGGCGAAAAGAAATGTTCTGACCCGAAATCAGTAAAAATAAAAGGCCTTTCTAACTCAAAGGGTCTGAGCCTTACCATAGATCAAAATCATGATCAAACGGCCAAACCCGGCCCCAATATTCGATGGCTTTCCTGGACTCGGGTTCGAATACTCGGAATGAAATGTCTTTCTTTTCACATCGACGCTGCAGCGCCTCTATCTTGCAAATGTCATTGGGCACAGTCATAGCATTGCTTTCAATGCAGATGCTTTCGAGATTCGGGAAGGCGTCTGAATTCACCAGACACTCACACTGGTCGACCGTCCACTCGAGCGATGGCCTGTGCGCGTCGCAGATACACAGAATCTCCAAGGAGGATGGGAGTAATTCGACTAAGCGCCCCATAGGCCTTTCTTGATCATCCAGTTGCGCCAGCCCTGTGCAGGGGACTCGTAGAATTCTCAAGCTTGTGAAGTCTGCAAATGATCCCATGAAGACTTCTCGGTCTTGTTCTTCCTCCAAAGTGTCTGGATCATCGCTCAACGAAATCGCCTGTAATGTCGTTTTGTGATGGCAGAGATCGCGGTAAATCTTTCCCCAGTTAGTCACATTCTCTGCCACATTAACTCCGCCATCGCTGAGTCGGAAAGTCTCCAGCATCTTGCAGGTTCGGATCCAATTCTGCAATCCATTTGGTGCACAAGTGTTCTTCAAATCAATATCGGTGATATTTGAAGAGCCCATCTCAAGTCCTTTCAGTAGAATACGGTCACTGGGTTCCTCCGCCCCTAGCCAAGTGTGGAGCATGAAGCCGCCAAGCTTTCGCATGGCAGGGAATCTGAAAAACGGTAGCATCACCTCCGCTTCTGTTCCACCCTCCGTATCACAGTGCGCTGCCCATACCTCTTCAAGGTATGGAAAGACAGAATTCTCCGCTTCGGCGGCCTCAACCAGCATCGTAGAGACATAGTCGGCACCATATGCCCAAACAAAGCTGATCTTCCGCAGGTAGGTCAACCTCGGAATGAGCAGGGCTAACCACGGGTCCGTGACTCCTTGCTCAAGGTCCTTGATCCATTTTTCTTGCCGCTCTTTGTCACTTGTTGCTTCGCGGACGAGTTTCTCCACAAGATCATGGTCAAAATGAAACTCATCAGGATGATCACCGTATTCACGGGTCAATACTGTCTGCCATGCGCCCAACTGCAGCACCCTGACTAGGCTCGCGATTTCAGGACACTGAACTATCGCATAGAGAAGTTGGGATACTTCTTCAATTTCCGTAGTTCCTGGTCGATAGCTGGGCAACTCGACTGGATTGAAGGGCGTCGAGAGCATTATGACTTGGAGCGAGCGACATGAGGCTGCCAAAGATAGGCGATCATGGTACCCCTCCAATTCCTGGAAGATAAGGTGGATGATTTCATTTGGAAGTTCGAGCAGCATGGTAACTAACGCGAATGTGTAGCAGCCAAGTTGATCGAGATTTTAATTTGACAACAAGGACACGGGGTCAAAATACAGCAAGGCCACTGAAAAGAATCCGACAGGTTTCAAGGTGGGCCTAGGGATGGATCCTGTGCCTGAGGCAGTTACAGTTGATCCGATTTCTGAGACTACAGGTCCACCGACCTCGCCTGAACTGTCAGCTATGCGATACGTTAGAAATTAATTCACGCCAAGTCTAACTTTGATAATCCTAGTTTGTGATATGTTAGCTTAAATGCCAGTATTACAGCGTGGTGACTGAATGTTCACCAGTAAGACCATTTTCTGTTCCGCACTGGCCTTGCCATGGGCTGTTTTCCGACTAGACTTAGAACTCCAACAACCTGGAAGCTCTGTCAAAATGTCCCTAGATATAACGTAGCCAATTATGAATCCCAATCTCTAATTAGAATTTCTATATCTTCTTTCGTTCGCGTGGAATCGCTGCCTAAAGTTGGCGAGTTTTGAGGTTTTCCGGGTGTAACATTACCTAAGCATCCTGCTGGAATTAAATCCTCAAAACTAAACCTATTCGGGTTTTGTATTCAGAAGCTGTTACTTCCAGGCAAACTACTTCCAGCAGGTATACTTTATTATATCAAGCAATAATGTACTATGTAATGAACTAGTGCGATATGCAAGCATTCAATATCCATACTATCCAAGCATTTGATGATATCTCTCTAGGTTCGCGAAGATACTACCTCTAATACACTTTAGTATGCTGCCATAGCAATCAATCTTTACTACATGTGGATAGGAAGTTCGTGGAGGTTGTGGCAGAAGGTATCCGTGCCTACTCCTGGAGTGGATGCGCTGCACCGTAACCGTCAATTTTGAATAATATCATATTTGAAGCTATTCCATCCACCTAACATGCCTAAATCTACTAAATGTGACCTCCTTTTGGCCTGCGAAACTGCTCAGGCTCAAAAGAAACTAAATATCTCCAAGATTACACTTGATTATGGTGTTCCTATTAGGACCCTGCGTGATCGCATTAAGAACAGTGTGCAGCCTCAAACAGCCAGGAAAACAGTTAATAAAGCTTATAAGGAATATCAGGAGGCTACTTTAATACAGTAGATAGTCTATATGCAAGATCATAACATATCAGTAACGCCTAAGCTATTAGAAGCGTATACAAATCAGGCACTTCAATGCACTAGTGAAACTAGACAGGTTGGTAAGACTTAGGTATTACTTTGAGAAACAACTTCTAGAACACCTTAATCTAGGCCCTGTGAAGCAAAAGTCAAAGGAATCAAAGTATATTAAGGCTGAAGATACAGGATTATTAGGAAACTAGTATAATCAGGTTTTTTAATTCAGCTAGAGTTTCTGCATAGAATAGTATAGATTTTACTTTATAAATATTCCTAAGATTCCACTATAGTCCTTAGAGTTAACTAGGCCTATTCCTTTKTTAAATACCATCCTAAACTATTTATAAGATATAATTAAAGGATTACATACCAGTGAGCAAAGCAGGAGGATCTAAAGGTTACATAGTATTAGTTTAAAACTATATATAAAGCTATTCAGGAATTGAATTGCATAACCAAACCGCTAAAATCGAATCCGACCCTCACCGAACTCGTAGCGGTGAGAGTTCGGTTCCTAGCCTATGGAATCGCTTCGGTTTCGGTTTAGGTAGGGTGAAACTGATTCGAGTTTAGTTAAAACCGTCAGTTACAGTTTATGAGGATTTACCGGATTAGGTTCACCAAACCTCCCCATTTTGCTTAGTCATCACTAATTTCTAGGATTTCTCTAGAAATAATAATATCACTAGATAACCTAGTATCCAGTCTATCTAAATATGAAATATCAATTCAAAATATCTAGTGGTTGGTGAGATATAGGAGAATAATCATTTCTGTCAGGGGTTGGTATGGAAGTGGTGATGGTTTATATATATGTATACATCAACCTTTGACAATCACTATGATCTAAGGATAATTTTAACCACTACCCATTTAACCCTATAGATATTGAATCGATATTTTAGATCTAGATTAGTATGATGATAATTAGTATATATTTCATATAGAAATATTAATTTCTATAGGCATGGTAGTAGTATGATAGATTAGACTGGTTAAACCCAACCTGGGAACCCGAACCCAACCCGGCCCAAACCCGCCTTGGGCTGGTTCGGTTCTAAGAATGAGAACCCATGCAGGTTTTAGGTTAAAAAATAGGTTAGGTAACTTATAATATAATAGAATTACTACTTAATAGTCATATAATACATAGTAAACTAGGATCGAAGTTTAAATAAGAAGATTAACCTTCGATCCTTGTGTCCCTAATAATTCTCAATCATCCTCTGCACCGCCTCCATCACCCTCTCTATATCCCTCCTAGAATAAAACGCCGCACCGCCCCTCACCTCAACTTCCCACTCGCCCTCGCCAGATGGTTTCGCAGCCAAAATTAGTGTGGGAAATGTAATCGCGGGAACCGGGGTATATGGTACAATACGGACACCCTCCCCCGCAATTTTTGTCTCCAGCTTGTCCTCGATATTGAGGAAATGAACACCAAAGTCGAAGTGAAACTCTTTGTCACCGTCTCGTGCCCAGGTTGTGCAGTTTGTGATGATGTCGCTCAGTTGGTCAGAGTCGGTTTCGTAGCCTCGTAGGCGCTGTCGTTGGGCGTTGCATAGCGCTTGGTTGAATGATTTGGTGTTGGTGGCGGAAATGACTTCGCCAGCTTCTGGTTCTTCTTGGAGGGGCATATGGATGCGTAGCGGGACGATGTTGAGACAGGGACCTGCCATGGATTGGAGGTGTGGAGGGAGACATGCTCGGCCGGTGGTTAGATAGCCGAAGACTATGTCAATGGAATTGGTGAGTCGGGCTATTGCGCAGGCGCGCAGGGTTGTGAAAATCGTCGCCGGGGTGTACTCCGCGTGACGTGGCGGTGCGGGAAGTCTCTTCTTGAGGATAATTGCTTCGCTGGGCTGGGTGTCATTGGACTCCAAGGGTGCATCAACATCGACTCTCGTCCTGTCGGTGTCGGTGGAGAAGCGGGTTGGCTGGGAGCCGAAGAGGAGAGAGCTCCAGTATGGGTATGTTTGCCCACGAGAGTCCGACAAATAAGACATATAGCTCGAGAAACTGGGGTTGGGGGCCGGTTCTTGCGCATCACAGAATGAGGCAAAGGTGGAGGCAATAGTAGCCAAGCTGATTCCATCGAACTGCGCGTGGGAGAGCCGCAGGCACAATCGAATCCCCCCCCTTGGGCGGACGAGTGATGATGAATCTCGTGACCGGGGAGCCTGGCTCATAGCAATGATCGAAGTCTACTCGGTAAATCTTCTCGGAACCCTCCGACAGGTCGCCTGGAATTTCGTGGATGATGATTGTTGGTTGGAGATGGCTGAACAAAGCTTGGACGGGACCATCTTCAAGATCTATAAAGACCACTCGTAGAATATCTAGGTGCGCCCATACTCGGCGGCAGCTCTCGACGATGACTGTAATGTCCAGAGTAGAGGGGAGGTCCATGTAGCAGTATGCCCATTTCTCCAGAGTATTGTTGTGGAGGGCAGAGACGTAAAATTTCTGAAAATCCGTGACTGGGTAAGCCTCAATCAAAGTTGCGTTCGGTAGCCCCATCCGCGCCAGTTTGCCGGAATCCAATAAGAGACATTTGGTGTTATCCGCAGACACTCTCTCTGTGCTTTGGAACTGCTGGTCCCTCTTCTCATCGACCACCCGGGCCAGATCAGCTAGGCATGGGTGAAGGAAACAGTCGCTGACCACCACGGCCAATCCATTTTCCCGAGCTGCTTGAACAAACTGCATTGCCTAGTAACGGTGTCGTGCGCGGAGTCCACAGGCCCCATACTAATTAGGGCCGACCAGAAGGTCTGGTGACCGCAGAAAGGGCGGAGTCCATGTTCACTCCCCAGAGTCTACAGTCATCCCCTAGAGTCCACATCCACTTCAGACAGGAGTCCACAGACATCCTCTTTCTCAACCCCAGTTTTAATTATTATAGTTTACCTGCCTACCCTGGAGTCCATCTATAGTTTAGAGTTTATATTAGCTAGTTACACCACTCCCCTATAATAAATTGCGAATCGACAATTGATTATTAATTAAGTGTTAAGTGGGATTAAATATTTTAATTAATAATAGGAGTAAGGGCATAGAGTAGTAACTAGTAGATAGAGGCCCAAGGGGGTAGAGGTTTTAGTACATACCTCCCCCCTGTTACTATTCTTAAATAGGTATTATTAGATCCTCTACTAATTCATCATAGGTATATACTTAATAATAACTAGTCTATCCTATAGTAAAAATCTAATAAGTACACAGTGAAGTTTACTCTCTCCTCTAAATTTAAGGATAAATCTCTATAACTTTCCTCTAGCCCCTGCCCTACTATCTTCATGGTTAGGTCTTGCCCCCACATAAAGGGATTAATTTTATTAAGTTTAACATCAATAATTCCCACCCTTCAGGGATTAATAGAATGAGTAATTAAGATTATAACTATTATAATCACTCTTACCACTGCCCTGTGTCACACCCTGGGATCCGTCTCTGCTGTTCTCTGCTAGTCAACTACTTTGGGAACGGGGTGATATAGTCCCTGGACTATATCCAATACTCGCCTAAGGCCTACTGACCAGGTAGCCTATTGATCAGTGACATAATGACCTTTCCGGGGTCAAGGATAATCTAAAAGGTAATATAAGAACAATAATAGTAGAGATAGAAGCAAGGCCTATTGAGTACATATACTCAATAGTAGAGAGTAACTAATGAATCAGACTAGTGGACTTATACTCAAGTGAATGATTTATAATTAATATTAAATGTAAGGAACTAAACTAAGAGTGCTAGATATAATAATAATGAGTGTCCTTATATAACTATAGTTCCTCCTAGTAGTCAATACAGTAGATGGTAGAATGGTATGTTGGTAGATGTTCATGATATTGAATTACCATCTATTATATCTATCCTCCTACCATTACCAAGCCATGGCACATGGTTGGTTCCTCATATAATGTAGTGGCTATAACTGGTGTCCTTTTGGTAATTAATAATTATCCTCTATAATAATCTTAGTATTACCATCCAGTAAGTAACCACTGAACTGCTTTTCTGCGGAATACCCATCTGGATTAAGTATTCTTCTAGATTGTTTAGTATTCCTTTGGGATTGATTAGTGATTAGCAATCCTTTGGTTTCTGCCTATCACATCTGCCTTATGCTAATATGGCTGTGTTAGTATTATAACATCACCTCCCCCTCCTCTAGTGTTTTATCCCCAAAACTTAATTTAAAAGGCAGTACTTCCCTAGTAGGTATATTCTTATTTCTTTAACTATATTTACTTATCATGCCTAAGCATCATGCTAACACTATTCTTGAAGGTGTTCCTAAACTCCCCTATAACTATAACTAAGTCACTAGTTGCATTCACCAGGCAGAGTATATTATTAAGAATGGTTTCATTACTTCTTTTCCTTATAACTTTTGCGCGTCATCTAGTAAGGCCTATATAATAGATTAGACTTATCACTATTTAAAGTATATATTATGCACTCACCAGGGCTATTTATATAAGAAGGATTTTCATACTAAGAAAGAGTAGGATATCCTAAAGAGAGCTGAGAAGAAGATTACTTCTAAGCTTTCTATAACTAATAATAAGTTAGAACTTCTTTATCCTAAACTTCAGCAGTTATAAGAGTATTTAGAAAAGATTTAAAAAGAGTTAATAGAGAAATAATAGAAGGTTGCTGAGTCCTTAGCTTATTATTTATAACTTTAAAAATAATAAAAATTCCTTAAAGAGTGTAGTTTTAAGATATCAGAACATAATGCTAAACTATTATAGATCCTAGATAAGAAGAAGTCTTCTAAGCAGCCTAATCCTGCAGCTAAAATTAAACAGCTGGCTATAACTTCTAAAAATCCTAATTTTAACTAGATGTTATTAGAGATTAATTAGGTCCCCCCTTCCTTCTAGAAGAATTTTAATTTTCCTTTAAGCAGTACTATTAAATAAGTTAGTAGCAGCCTGCTAGGTTCTTAATAGGCTCCTATATATTTTCTAAAATATTATAACCTTTCTATTTCACAAGGTAGTATAGCTTTCTGCTAACTTATTTATAACTTAGGATTTATTTAACCTTATATTCTTATTCTATGTTATTATTAATTTCTATATTTTCAGTAATTTTTGCATTCTTTAGTGCTAGTTCTAATAATAAGATATAAAGTACTAGGTAAATTTTTAATATACTTCCTAGTAATTATAGTTTATAGTTAACTAGCCCTTTCTTCTCTTTAATAATAAAAGGTCTAATTTTCTAATGGTCTAGTTTCTAACTTAGTTACTTAGTTTTAATATTTCTATAGAGTAGGTAAACTTTCTCCCCCTTTTTTAAGTCTAGAGCACTCCCATGCTTCTTATTATAATATATTACTATTTTAAGGTTTATAAATTTAATATCCCTTAAAAGTTAGGTTCATAGGTAATTAATAGTATCTACTAATTCTATAGCTTCTTCTGCTATAGGTACTTTGTTCTATAGTTCTCTAATTAATATAGGGTTATATCTATAATTAGTAAAGAAAGGTGTTTCCCCTGTAGTGGAGTGAATGGTGTTATTATATATAAATTATGCTATTAGTAGGTAGATTACCTAATTATCTTACTAGTAATTCATGTAGTATTATAAGTATTACTTAACTATCTGATTTATTTATTTAGTTTATCCATTAGCTTGCAGATGATATATAGTCATAAGTCTTTGCTTAATTCCTATTAAGTCTGTTAGTAATTACCAAAATTTTAATATAAATAGCTTATCTTAGTCTGATGTAATGTATCTTAGCATTCTATGGTTAATGATTATATATCCTATAAGCAGGCTCGCCAGCTGTGATGCTGTCATGTTTATCATGGTTGGAATTAGATGGATGAATTTTATTAATCTATTGGTTACTATCATTAGGTAATTATACCCTTTTGACTTTAGTAATAGTCTAATAAAGTTAATAGTAATCTATTCCTATAGATGCTTTAGTATTTCTAGTAATTACATTTTCCTATAAGGCTGGTGCCTAGCTAGCTTATCTTAGATATAGGTTTTATATTAATAAATATATTCCTATACCTTCCTCCTTATGTTTAGAAAGTAATAGTTTCTTAAGATAGCTTTAGCTATTTTCTTAGTTCCCATATAACCATGTATTAGGTTATTATGGTATCTAGTAATAATCTTATTTCTTATATACTTGGGTATATAGATGAGTCCTTATAAGTATATTAACCCTTAGTTATCTATAGTTATGTGCTCATTTTCTACTAAATTCTTAAGTATTTCTTAAATAATTTTATCTCTTTTAGTTACTTTAATAATTTTCTAAATAAGTAGGTCCTCTTATAGCTCAATCATTGCTGCAAGAGTGTGATGGTTATATATTAGTAATCTATCCTCTTATTATTTAAGTATTACTAGTATGATTATTTTTCCTTAAAGTTTATAATCTAGTTATTAGCTAAGTATATCAGCTTGCCCATTTTCTATTCCTTTATAATGAATAATCTTAAAGTCATACTATAAGAGTATCTTAGCCTATCTAGCTTATTTTCTTATTAATTCTTTTATCATTATAAAGAATGTAAGATTCTTATAATTAGTCTTTATAATAACTATCTATTATACTCCTTCTAGGTAAACTCTCTAGACTTTAAATACTACTACTATAGCTAGCAGTTCTTTATTATAGATATTATAGTTAAGTTCTGCTTAAATTAACTTCCTTAAGTAGAATATAACTAGTCATAGTTTTCTATTATTTCCTGGTTAAGTCATTCTCATTCTAATTATATAGTTAGATATATTAGTTTTAATAGTTATCTCTTTTTCTAGATTATGCTGCACAAGGATAGGTATATTTATAATCTATTTTTTTACTTCTTTAAAGGCTTCTTTATGCTCTATTTACTATATAAACTCTTTTTCCTTCTTAAGTAGTATAAAGAGTAGTATTATTACCTTTATATATCCTTTAATAAATTATTAGTAGTAATTAATTAGTCTAAGGAATTATTATACTTCCTTGATATTTTTTAGTTAAGGCTAATTAATAATTACCTTTACCTTATTCTAGTCCATGTAGATCCCTTTAGTAGATATCTAGTATTCTAAGAACTTAGTCTCTTAAACATAGAATTTATACTTCTTTAGTTTTAACTTAATATTTACCTCCTGAAGTTTCTGTAATACTTTGCTAATATATTCTATATACTTATCCTTTTCTTTTAAGAATATTAAGATATTATCTAAGTAGGTAATTATAAAGAGATACAAATATTCTTGCAATACTTTATTAATAAATTACTAAAATAATGCTAGTGTATTAGTAAGCCTAAATAGCATAACTAAATATTTATAGTAACTAAATTTTATCCTAAATATAGTTTTCCATTCTTCTCCTTCTATAATTCAGATATGGTTATATACATTAGTAATATCCAGCTTTATAAACTATTTAGCTCCTTAAATTTGATCTTAGATCTCATAGATTAGTGGAAGTAGATAATAGTCTTTAGTTATAATTATATTTAAAGGATGATAATTAATATAAGGTTATAAACTCCCATCCTTCTTTGGTATAAAGAGTAGACTATATCCTACTAGTAATTTTGATGGTTATATTTTCCCAAGGCTTAGTTCCTTATTAATATATTCCTTAAGGATTAGTATTTCTTTTTCTGAGAGCTAGTAAAGCTTTTTACAGGCTAGTGATATTCCTTCCTTAAGAGGAATCTTGT